GCGCTAAATAGAAGAATGATCTACTTAGCGTCTTATTTAAAATTTCTACAGTTTCTACTCCTAATTTAAGAAAAAGTTTCGCCGTTAAGATAGAAGAGCCTTTAGATAAGAATAATATCGATCTTATCATAATTAAAACGGATGAAGACTTAGAGACATACTACCGAACAATATTACGCGGACTAAGCGGTGACATTATATTCAACGATTTCAAAGCTAAGTGCATAAGTAAAGCTTTCTCTAGTGATAAATCACAGAAATATATTTTTTTTAAAATTTTATTAGGAGGCACTAAGGGAGTTATCGTCGACTATATAAAAATCCTTAGAGCGTTACTAAAGAGAGCTCGTAATAGAGAGAAGAAATTAATTCTCGTTACTCACTATAGTAAAGTCTCTAGATATAAGTTCGAGTCATATCTAACTAGTGATATCCAAAACTAACTATATTTATTCTAATAGTATTAAATCGACCATTACGCTAACCCGAGCTTAACGATCCGGCTAATAAAATTACGAATAGCATTAAATACGATTAACTAGAATTAAATAGCGAAGTTCAACTAAGCCCGGATAGCTAAGTTTAAGTAGAAACTCTTTAGACTCCGTAAGACACAGACTAGATTCTTATATCTTAGTATTCCATAAATCCGAAAAGAAGAAGAAAGATCTCTAAATCTCTCCCGAAGAATATTTAGTTAGTTAAGAAAGACTAGCTACCTATAAAAAAGATTAAACTAGAAGACGAACTAAATATTAGTACGGAGAATACGAACTCTCTCTCTCTTTAGTTTAAATCCGAGAAAGAAAATACTCTTAAAGAAGATACTCTTAAAGAAGATACTCTAAAAGAAAATACTCTAAAAGAAGATACTTTAGAAGAAGATACTCTAAAAGAAGATACTCTAAAAGAAGATACTCTAGAAGAAGATACTCTAAAAGAAGATACTCTAAAAGAAGATACTCTAAAAGAAAATACTCTTAAAGAAGATACTCTTAAAGAAGATACTCTTAAAGAAGATACTCTTAGAGAAGATACTCTTAGAGAAGATACTCTTAGAGAAGATACTACTGAAGGAGTTACCGAAGATAACTATAGTAATAATAATTATAGTGAAGACGACGATAAAATACGACCACTACTAAAGAAAATACTCTCGACGTTTAGTCACGACTATTTAAAACCTCTAGAGAAACTTCTATTATAGCGAGATATAGATACTCTTAGTAGCATCGGAAATCTATAGATAATAAATTATTACGACAATAACTTTATATAGATCGGTAAAGGTAACGAAAGACCACTCGACGATGACTCTATCACTATCGACGGTGACGAAGATAAGATAGATCGTACTATATTAGATTAGTAGATAGTTCTTTAAGCACAGCGAGAAAAGTTTATATAGCTCAGCTCTAAAATACTTAAAGAGATATATATCTTCTTTAAAGTCGACGTCGAGCAAGTGAGACGGTACGATGACGAGTTCTATATCGACGATATACTTCGCTCACTACGAGTATACTAACTATACGGAATCTATTTCACTCTACGCATTGAGTTACGCGATATTCGATAAGTAGATAGTACTACTATTTCCTCGACAGATACGATTCTATTAGTAGACTAACCTAGATTTAGTAAGTCTACTTAATTTACAACGATTATTACGACGACTACGCTCTTAGAAAGAGTATAGAACGAAGTCGATAGAGCTCGGGCATTCTTCGACTCTTAAATTTAGTCGACGTATTTACTAGTATCCGGGAGAGATTACTAATAAAATAAAAATATATTCTATTCTTCGCTTAAGTCATTCGCGATCTATTATTCTTACGTAGAGAGAAACCCGTTATTTAAGATACGACCTACATTAGGGACGATAATATTGGTGATATCTAATGTTCTTCTCATTAATATAATTAAAGAATAATATAAGTAAGTGAATATAAAGACGAATAAATTTAAGTTCTACGTTTACGCATAAATAACTAAAGAGTCGGGTAAGAAGACTTAACGCGCTCAGCTATAGATAAGTAATAAAGTAATGAAAACTAATGTTCGGGAACTTTATATAGAAAAGAACGATACCCGCACTCTCTTCATACGAGCCGAAAAGTCTCTCATCGGGCTTTATCGATACGTCTTCATTATCGCCGCGCCATTATATAAGACGAATATAGTTAATACCGAAATTTATAAACTCCTATATAGCCGATACACTCGAGATAAATTTCATTAGGAACTAAGTATCTCGAACTCAATGATGACGAATGCGCGAGAACTCATCTTCGAGCGCTCTAAATGAAATCGTCTCACAACGCCTAAGATCATAATGATGTTAGGCACATTAATTCGACTCGGCGCAAGAGACCTAGTAAGGATATCTTCTCTCTGAATACTCTACGCGTATCTTAAGAAACGTAAGGAACTTCTAAACGGTGTTACTCTAAGATCGCTAAACTAACCTAAAAATTAGTAGTAAATAGAGTCACGTATGAAGAACGACTTCTAGAGATCGTACACGCCGTTCGGACTATACGAACTGACTACTCGGTGGCCAAGAGAGAAGGAGCAATACACGATGGAATAAATAACGTTACTATTAGTAATTATAATCCAGCGTACGAGAGATACTAAGTAGCTTAATGGAAAGATTCTCCTCCCGCTCCCGCGTATATATTATCGTCTTTATACGATCTAGATAAGTAAGGTAAATATAAACTACGTTAGAACAACACTTTACAAAAGTTTTAATGACAAACTATAAGCAGCTAAAAATAAGAATAAAATAACGGGTAGCGAGCCGATATTTAGTAGTTTATCCTCGATCCTACAGAAATATACGACTTTACCGGGACTCGTAAGAGTCTACGCTAACAATAAGCACTTAAAGATCGTAGATAGCCCTGAAAAATTCGACTTCGGAGTGAAATATATAAAGAAATGAAAAGTCTTCACTAAAAACATCGACGACGCGGCTAAAAGTATATATCACCGACATCTAACACTTCTAATAAATAGCGCTCTAAAATTTCCGATTCTATAGTCTATTCTTATCGAGTAGCTCTAGAAGATAGACTTTCTTAGGAGACCCTCGAAGGATATTGTTTTCGCGAAAAATAACGAAACTACCCTCGTCATATTTAAGGTATATTCGGGTTAAAGAAATGACTATAGTTAAAGGCTAACCGAGTATAGTACATTAAGGACGTAATGGCTTAGACTTTATTATTTAAGATTATTACGGCCTTCGTATACGGTTCTATAGATAAAGCTCTACGTCACTAGGTATTAGTTAACTTTCAGAATGAGGATGAAGTCAATATTCTTATTGGTGTGTTAGAAGCATTAGGTATAGGCCTAACATTAATAAGAGCTTAATTCGTTATCTTAATGAAATAGTAAGGCGACCCCGGACTACACGAGTAAATAATCGGTCGAATGTTACGCAGAGATAACTTTAACTAGAATGACCTTAATATCTTTAAATTATACTGCGATAACTTCTCGTCTAAAGTGGCCTTACACTAAAGAAGACTCGGTCGAGAGAAATTCACCAACCGAATTAATTTATAGGCACTAAATAAAATCGTAGATACAGTGACTACCGATACCTCGAACGACGATTCGGAGGAAAACGATAGTGATGAGTTAAGTGGAGCGGATGACAAGATAAATATTAATGACGATAAACCTATTATATTATCGGATGATAAGAATAATAAGCGTAGTTAAATTAAGAGAATAAAACTATCACAACCTAAGGAACACTAAGACTACTATAGATGATTAGTGTCGGATGTGAATAATTAAGCAGTAGATAGTACGTATAATTAAACGCGAACATACTGAATATAAACAGAAATAATTAGATATAAATAGATATAGTAGTACTCTATATATATACTGGAATATAATGTACTTAATATAACTAGATATAACTAAGTACGGATTTAATTATAGGCTTCGAATGAATGTACTAAGATATAGTGTAATAGAGCACTTTAGGGTTCGACGTATATATACAACAACGCACAGAGACCTATCCAGTAGGTCGGGAATCGAGAACTCGTTTCTAGTTAACGCTAATAGAGTAACATCATAACTAACACCACTCCCAGGGAGACAGCGGCTAGGGCAGGGAGCGCCTAGCACGGCGACGGCGTTAAGAAGTAGGAAAGGGCCGACGAAACACTTAGAAATAGGTAGACGACATTAAAAACATAGAATACTCTGTTAAATCTATAAAGAATGGCACACAGCCAACACTATGAATTGTTCAGCACTGCCCGCCCTTTTATGACTACGAGTATCGATTAAGAACATATTAAGCAATGTGATGCGCACTTATAGTTATAGTAGGGCGGCGTTGATAACTAATAGTAGGCGTGGGCTCTCACAGATGTTAGCTTAGCGTCCCATGAGCGGCGCTGGGCTCGCTGGGCCACCACGGCATTCGGGAATGCTCTGGGCCGCGGGAAAAATTGCCGATGTACGTAGGGGATAAATCTATCGCATTTGGGAATGTCTATACAAAGTGTCAGCCTTGTGCAGTCTTGAGTTTAACTGAATTCGCTCATTTTAACAACCCTTCCGTACACTCATTCTTGCCCTGTTGATGGCTATATTAGTCTCTCTAATCTCGCCAGTTGTTGCTAAGAGAGGGGGGAGAGAGAGTCAACAATATCGAGTCGAATTGACAACACTTGGCATATTATTTACATGGCAGACTCACTAAGATCGTATATAACAGTGTTCCTCATTCGGTGGCGTTTTTAATTCTGCGAAAACTAACCTCGCTGTCGCGGATTTGCATAGAGATGTAACAAATCTCGGCCTTGCCGCTCGGCCATGTGCGCTTTCGGAACTCTGTAATATCAGCCTACTCTCTTGATCCCTCATATTTCTTGGTATAAACTCTCTTCTCCCCTCTCTATCTAGTCGTAGAGGTGCTCGAGAAGAATCATCTCCCAAGACTCCAGACTTAGAGGCGTCTTTCAATGTTGTCGTTCTTTGAGGACTACCCAGAATTTCCTCTGAATTGCAAACCACTAGATCGATCATCGTCAACGCCAATCCTCCCAGTTGACGGACAAATTCCGTGGAACCACTCACCTGTGATTTCGTCACCCATGGGTGGTCCTTGTTGACAATCTCTGCGTCGAAGTGGCGGAAAAATTGTGCAATGTATTTGTGCACTTCGATGAGTGCTAGATTGCGACCGATGCAACTCCTACTTCCCATTCCAAACTGGAAGCGCAGCTAGTCAGCCATCAGGGATGGCCAGGGGGACTGTGATTGGACAGGAGGGCGCGGCTTACCGTGGTCAAGTCCCGATTCATACCACCGATACGACCCTTGTCGGCCTCTGATTCGGCAATCCATCGCTCGGGTACCCACCGACTCGCGTTAGGGCCGAAAATATCCACCGATCTGTTCATCGAAGCTGCACTAATCCCGCAGACTACATTCTGATCAAAATGATACTTTCCAACTTGCAAACCCTCTGCAGGGAGCACTCGAGGAAGCTGATATGTAATCGAAGGGTGCAGCCGCATGCTTTCTTTGACGACGGCGGACAAAAAGGGTAGGTTCTCGCAATCTTTGAAGCTGATCTCCTCTTTGTCTGTGAGACCTAGGTCTTTGTATGCCTGGTCGATTTCTGCCATGAGACGCTGCTTGTGACTCGGATTTTGCAGCACCGCACCAAGTACGGCTAGAATCGCTACGGTAGTGGTGTCGGCTCCGGCCCCCAAGATATTGACGCCTTCGATCATGACATCTCCTTTCTTGACCGGGTTCCCGGATTGATCCTTTGCATCAATGAAGTGCTGAAGCAAGTCTCGACGTTGGCCTCCTAAACCGTTCTTCATGCGGCTATCCACCCTGACCTCAAGCCAGTCGAGAAACACGCTGAAAGCATTCAATCTTTTCCCACCCACTTTTTTGATGAGCCATTGAGCGACTGGATTGTTGAACCAGAACATCTGGAGAGGCATGTTCCCCATGTTAGCCATCAGCCAGAATCCATCATGTATACTACCGATGATGCCATCGACGTCCTTCTCTTGCTGAATCATACCGAGAGGCCCGCCCAGTGCGAGTGTACCGACAACATCAAAGGTGAAGTAGTTCACCCATTTATCGAGTTCAATAGGCTGACCCCTAGCCACGAGCTCTCTGAACTTCGCCCAACCTTGGTTGGCCACATCTTGGATTAGGCTTTCCATGGACAACATGGAGGACATGGAGTAAGCAGCCGTGACACGGCTTCGAAGATGCCGATGAAGTTTGATATCCGTGGCAGCAAAGAACGAGATCTGCATATTCGGCACGTACCTACGATAGAGAAGCCTGTTAATCAACTTGGGGTGCTGCTGAAGATGCTAATATGTAAAGATGTTTTGAAAAATACAAGGAAAGGCGTACCAGGAGTGATACCAATTTGTCTGTGATATTGTTAGCACATTCGCGGAAAAGCGAACCTTGAATCCGCCAAAAAAAAATTCCAAGAAAGAATTGAAGCACTAACCTTCTGGGACACTTTACCGTGACCATAGAGTGCGCGAAGAGCATCTCGATCAACGAAACTGACTTCATTCGGCGCAATCCTGACGACATTTCCATATTTCTCGTGGAGTTCAGTCACATCCCGTAACCAGGTACCTTTGAAATAGCGAATATTTCTCCAGGCCTGACTGAAACGTGCCAGGAATGGCCCCGGAACTTGGCATAGTTGATGAAACCAACAATAGTATATGGCCTGGACGACGTATACAAAAATGAACAATGCACCTAGGAATTTCCAATCTGCGTTAGCTAGAAGGGAAGCAATGAGCGAGGGTGGTTGACCAGTTCTGCCAGATGCCACAGAATGGGTGGCATTCCGGTTCACAATGGCGTCTGGGAAGAAGTTCATGTCTGTTGAATGCAACATCAAGTCCGCAAGGAAAGAGATGTCTTTCAATATTGTCTCACATTTATGTACAAGTCGCTGGGGTCGGTCCTTGAAAGCCTCTGTGGGCTGCATTTAACGCCAAATTAGGAGGATCATGAACATGCCCCAGAAAGGCACCGCGCTATTCCCCAAGCCCCGCACCCCGCACCCGGAAAGGCTATAGATGGAATTTGGTTCTCCCTCGGTCAGATGTGGGTGCTCCGCGGAGCCAGCCATCTCCTTCCAGGTGGGCACCGCCGCGGACTTACGACCTCCGGAATGGGATAAGGGAATAATGAGAATGATCATGGCTGCCGTGTATGGAGTAGTCGTTCTTGATTGGCAAGCTGTCCGATGTCCCTCCGTAATTAGATCCTGGGCTCCAGATTATTCCATAGGGATCGCGATTCTATGGATACCAGGAACGAAAGTGCTCGGCAGATATGGTTAAACGATTCTTTTCTTGTCCGTTCTTTCACATCGACAATATTGGAGCCTATTTCTTGTACCAGTGAAATGTTTTTGGCTCTGTGTAGGAAACCAAACCCTCTTCACCCCATTCGCCTCCAAGCCCACTCTCCTTATGTCCAGCGAGGTGAGCATGCGGCAGAGGTCTTTCAAAGCCGTTGATCCAGACTGCACCCGCCTGCACCCGCTCTGCCAAAGTGAACGCCTTGCGCACGTCAGAAGACCACACTGCGCCTCCCAGTCCTGTGTTGGTATCATTGACCCTCCTAATCACTTCTTCTTCGGTCTTCCATTTCATCACAGGTACAATTGGTCCTGCATCATGTTAGCTTAGTGACAAAAACTTCGAGGCCAGCGAGGATGCACCAAATGGTTCTTCCTTGACAATGGCCGAGTCGTCGGGAGGGTTGTCCACCACCGTCGGTTTCAGCATGAAACTGGACTGCGTGCCTGTGTCACCGCCTAGAGCAAAATGGTATCCCTTGTCCCGACAGTCCCTAATGAAGCCTCTCACGATTTCGTACTGCATGGCGTTCTGTACAGGGCCCAGTGACATGCTGTCGCCGTCCTCCTTTTCATCAGTATTCCAAGACTTGACCTCGTTGACGAAGTCCTTCAAAAACGTGTCATAAATGGACTCGTGAACATATAGCCGCTTGCTCGCGAGACAGTACTGTCCCGAGTTGGTGAATGATCCGATCGCAACTTGAACAGCAGTCTTGGATATATCGACGTCCGGACAAATAATCGAGGCTCCATTGCCTCCTAGCTCCAGTGTCAGTCTTTTCAACGTAGGTGCAGCGGCAGCCATGATGGCCTTCCCGGTCTTGATGGACCCTGTGAAGCTAATCTTTTGAATTCCGGCGTGTTGGCACATCCGAGGACCTAAGCGGTCGTCACCGTTCAGGGCTTGAATGACTCCTGGAGGGAACAGGCCTTGGACCAATTCAACGAACTTGACCACACTGTATGGGGTGAAGGGCGATGGCTTGACAATCACACAGTTGCCAGTGCTCAATGACGCGCATATTTTGCCCATGGCGAGGACAAGAGGATAGTTCCAGGGGCATATAGCGGCAACGACACCAACTGGGACTCTGTGAATCGCAAGCTGAAATTCTTCGTCGTCTTGGAGGATTTTCGGGCTAATTGGACCGAGGTTTGCTGGTATTGTGTGTGTTAGGGATCGGCTGCAAGGAAGTGGCGAGGATGTCAGGCGAACCGTACCGTGATAGTTCAACCATCCCAATGAGTGTTCTACTTCCAATCTCGCAAATCGAAGCTACAGTGCCGTCAGTTCTAGATATCCTTTAGCAAGGCTACTTTCTCACAGGTTTCCCCGTCTCCAGCTTCAATAGGAGAGCCATCTGTTCTCGTTTCGATGCAAGTACATCGTAAGCTTTGCGTAGAAGGCTGGCTCGCTCTTCCCATTTGGTTGAGGACCAGGAAGGGAACGCGTTTGTTGCTGACTTGACTGCTTTTTCCAGGTCATCAGGAGTCGCTAACGGGACGTCCCAGAGTTCCTTTGTGGTTGAAGGGTCCACTGCACGCCGCTGTTGAGATCCGGAGTGCAGCCCCCCCTCTATGCAATTGTAGAACTGGTAGAATTGATCGTCCTTCATTGTGCAAACCAGTTGAGCTACTTGCTCCTCCTACCTCTCCTGAGGCTTATGAACATACTACGAACTAAAGTACTATCGAGTAGCCACCGACGAGTTACGGCTTGATTGGTTCGTTGCGCTTTGGAGGGGTCAACGGAAGGTTTGTACGCACAATCCTCTGACCAAGGTCGTGACGCTCAACGTGCACCGACTCGTGGTCCGGTCGTCGAACCCAGAGTTCTAGTTCATGGAGAGCATGTCTAGGTGCCGAGGTTGTTCGCCCAATGTACTACTGGCGCAATATCACCAACGTGCAACGCCCGCGGCATGAGGTTGCTCGGTTGCCCAGATTTGCCGAAATAAAAAGCTCAACTGGAAAGTAGTGGGAAAGACTATGTCGGCGTGGCCTGAGCCGTGTAATCTTGCCTCATCTATCACTAATTACAGGACTGTTTCCATGTGCCTGCAGGCTTATACAACCAACGCTTCACATTAGTGGAAGAGATGTACGTATGAACCCAAGTTTTGATCGGCAGATGCACCTTGATCTATGTCCTATGGGTAACCCCTTCATTTCCTCTCCATTTGACACTAACGACCTGCTTGGGGAGCCTTGACCCAGAACCATCTCGTTCTAGCTGCCAAGTTATATCTCAATTTTGTACATACTAGGATCATAGTTCTTCGGCCAGATACCATTTTTTCCCGGAGCCAGGATACCTTTGGGATCCAATGCATTCTTGATTGCTTCGTTCAGCCTCATCATCGAGTTGTTGTTGAAATTGTATGTGCTTGCGATCTGGTCCATCAGCGCAAGATGAGTCCGATACTCGCCCCAGCCTCGTGCAGCGGCATCGTCAATCAGGATTTTGATCAGTCGATGGGCTCGTTGTCGACTATCGGGATCCTTTTTATCGAAGACTATACACACAATATGATGCATCTCTCTCATCCCGACGATAAAAGTCCCGATGAAGTCGAAGCCAAATTCCTCGCTTCGACGGCGTGTTACTTCGTATTGTGCCACAGCATCCTCACCTGTCACCTTTGCAATGGGGCTAAAGAAAAGATGCGCGCCATTGGGTAGCCAATCGACCCATTTTAGCTCAGTCATGGTAGGAATTCCTTGGAGCGTTAGGTGGCGAGTTTGTAGCACAACATTATCGGGCATCTCCTCCGGAAAGAAAAACTTAACTCCCTTGATTGAGGAGAAAGAGGCTTTTATGACTTGCCACATAGCCACTCGGACCGGCTCTGGTCCATAAAGCGCGCCGTAAAAGTTCCAGCGCCCAAGTCCAAGAGAAGCTGCGATCGCGTCTAGTTCCGCGTCGTTTAGTGGGCGGTCCTCGTTGGTGTAGCTTTTGCGGTCTCCCTAGATATTGTTAGGCTTACTCAGTTCGGAGAGAGAGTTAAAATTACCATCACTGCAGCATCCAGCAGAATATGTCGCAACGTAGGGACATTCTGCAGGACCATGCCCACACGAAGCGGGCGAATCGTCTCAATAGCCTGGTGTAAATCTTCGTCGCGCGGAATGGTGATTAAATAAGATTGGTAGCCTCCAGGATTGACCATTAGCCACATCCCCATCTTGACAACAATTCCTTAGAAAATTAGCAGATTGCCTTTTCAACTATACAAAGGCAGCTTACCAAGGGACGACTGAGAGAAGATTCCGTCGTTGTAAGGTCCGAAGCCGTAGTTGAAAAGCTGCCAGCACTTATTTGGCGGCTGTTCATGTGGTGGTAGAGATGAATCCTCGTCTGGAGAGGGCAAAGAGCCCATCCCGGTTCGAATCAAAGTCCCGTCGGGAAGAACCACCTCCATCCCGCAATGCATCATCCAATGGTCACCATAGGGTGTGTATCCGACTCCTCTCTCGATGGTATTTCCAATGATAGAGCCGCCACCAAGATCTGGAACGTCGACCCACAGTTTATCCCGGAGATTGTTAGTCACCAGGTATTCGTGTAGGGCGGAGAATGTCACTCCTGGCTCAAGGAGGGCGTATGCTCCCTCCACATTGACTTCGAGAACTTTGTTCATGTGCCGGCCCATGTCGAGACCTACACTTCCTGGAACTCTCGGGGCAGCACCCCCATAGCCAACGTTGCGGCCAATGGAAAAGGGCCATACTGGAATCTCGAACATGTTGCAGATCTTCATAATTGACTGGACATCGGGGACATTTCTCGGTGCGACGACCGCAGAGCTGACGAGTCTAGTCTTGTAGACAATGTGGAACATATCATGGGCTTTACCCGGGTCGAGGTAGTTGTCATGGTAGAGCTCTGCCTCATCGGAAATCACCGTCACGTTCTCGCTGCCCGTGACACTGGCAATCTCCTCAATAAATCTCTGGAACTTGTCATTGTCTGTGCCCGGAGGCAAAACTAATGGTCGTTTGACGGACTGTGACTCTCGTGGCGCGCTTCCTTCTGGCTGCCGATAAGCCAGCGGCTCGTTTGCTACAGCAGAGGTTGTCATGTTGAAACGAGTGCCTCGAAATTTCGAGACCCTGAGCTGATCTTCGACGCAGGACAAGAATGAGGAGAATCATGGCATTTAGTATGCTTTCTGCACTTTTGTTATGGTTCCAGGAGCCCCCAGTGAACCGAGGTGTCGGCCTCAGTAACATGGTTGCTCTCTCTATACTAGCGGAAGACACTCTGTGGCGCTCCCTCCGCTAGCGTACCGAGGGAGTCAGTGGTAGGTGACGCCGAGGCGCCAAAGCCCCACACGATAATGGGGTGGGATGTGGGCGTCCACATTTTTCCGAGGCAGCCGTCACCAATACCGAAAAGGCCATGCCTTTGGGATAATTTTGGGGCTTCAGGATCGGCTTTTGACGACGGGACTGCCTGATGTACGAAGGGCGGTTAAGGGTCCGATCTTTGCATGTCACGCCAAATTTATCTGTGTGTTTCCAATGCCTCTCTTGATGTCCTATTTACCGAGCACATGCAGAGTGTTTCGAACGGCAGTTTAACCTGGTACTAAGTAGCAGTCGCCGTAACTGTACAGGCTTCTTTGACAGTGCTAGGACCTCTTTTCCCCAACAGCTTGTGTCGTCTCAGAGACGTCCAAAATGCTATAGACTAATCCATCACTGAGAGTACTGCGCAGGAGCATAAATACTGAAAATATACAACGCCGTTTACGTAAGTCTGTCCTGGTTGACTCTTTTGGGGGGGGGGGGGGGGAATACGACATTATTACTATTTTTTCAAGCTACTACTCGTGGATTTCGCTATTTTCTCATGGAGAAATATATTGCATGATACTAGGCACAAACTTGATGGGGGGAGGCTTCAAGAATTGCCCAATTCTGTTCTCTCTACTCTTTTATTTCTCTAATTATTTCTCTAGTTAGCACTCAAGATGCACAACAGCGGCCCATTTATAGCCGCAAGCTGGTCGTGATGACTGTTTCTCTCTTTCTCTTTTGACTCTAGATATGGCACAATGAGAACAGTGGCTGAATCGTTGGTACCACCCAAGAATCAGTGATGCTTGGGAAGCGGCACTTGTATCTCCTGATGCGCCAACCTCGCTCTATGCATAGGGGCCGATTTCGAGTTCATGCTAAGCACCAGGTTTACCGGTGAGATTTCGTCTCCGAACTCGAACTACTAGAGGACCTTCCTTTTCGGAGTTGCCAACACTGACGGTTCTCATCTTTTCCTTGGGATTCGTACTCTCGAGCTTGGAGCACTTCAAGACCGTGGTGACAACCTTGAGAATATTTATCATGGCCATATTCCGACCGATGCACATTCTGTGAACCATGCTGAATGGTGCCAAGTTTCGCTTGCACGATTCTGCATTCGGGCCCAAGAATCGGTCCGGGTCGTAAACGTCATGTGTTGGACCCCAAATGGCGGGATCATGGTGCATGACGTGGTTGGAGCTGAAGATTGTTGTCTGTGCCGAAGGTCAACTTCACCAGACCCTTTGCTAAGCAGAAAAAAAAGCTCACCCCACTCGGCACGAAATGTCCGTCGATGGTCATCTCCCTTTGAGCGGTGACCTTTCGTGTCAGGGTCATCGTGAAGGCAGGGTTGATCCTAAAGATCTCTTGGATACAGGCTATTGTACATGTCAGCGTCTGCTCCAGACTGTCAACCGGACACGCAACTTCGACGGCCCTAGGCAACTTCTGGTCGATTTCACACATGATTCTACCGAGAAGAGCAGGGCTCTGTCGAAGGTGTGAGAATAATAGCGTTAGGGTGCCCGAGATGGTATGTGATCCAACAACCCTATCAAATGTTAGAGAGTCAAGCCAAGTTGTTGTGAAGCGAGAAGTCCTACACCATGAAAGGCTTCGGTGTTGACGCCCACTTCTGTCAGTATCGCTCCCGTGACGGAGTCCACCGCATTTATGAGACAAGATAACAGGTCATTCCTGCTTGTCGACTTTTGATGTGTCCATCGATGAAAGGCTCCATCAGTTTGATAGATTGCAACGAGAATGCGTGGGCCATCTGGCGACACCTAACGGCGTGAATCTGGACGAGTTTAGTTCAACCTGCTGCGTTCCCCAGTCCACGGGAAAGCTCACATATTCATCTTGTGTCCCGAATAGGTTGGGATTGAAAGCTGTGAATCCGTCGTAGAACTTGGTCTCGGGCAGCGACCTTCCGCCTTTGTAAATCAAGCTGGTCGCGGATTCGGTGCGAAACGAGAGGTCATTGGGACCCACTGACCACCTCACCGTGATGCTCATGCATGGTGGCTAGTGTTTCGGGGAGGTGTCGGGTCGAAAGATGATATACCTTCCAAAGTTTCGTGATTGACGCCCAGAATGGACCATGATATCCAGCAAGAGGATGGAAGAATTGGTAGTAGATAGCATAGACGGTACCCAATAGGAAAGATACCACGCCCACGGTAGTATACAAGGAGCAATTGCCCATCATAGCAAGGATTTGGGCTATGGGCATAGCAGTTGAGTTGGACAATGATTCCACGATTGGGAAAAGAAGGGAAACAGAATGAAAATCAAACCCCTCGAAGCGAAGAGCGAAACTTGCAGATGAATGTGAAGCCGCCTAGCATATCAAGTTCGCGCCCACCACATTTGCCGATTGGGGCGCCAGAGCATTTCCGAGCCACCACCCTTCCGGATGTTGGTATAAGTAACCCGCGCAACCCAGATCACTCTAAATTTCCAACCATCAAGTTCCTGGCTGTTGAGATGAGCACTGCACCGCTTTCCGGTTTCGAGGGTTACAAGAGTAAGGTCCTGACTTACAAAACGTCGGCTGACCTCCAGCTCTCCTTGAACGTGCTTTACCCCCCAACGAAACCCTCTTGGTCAGTTCCTGTGCTGCTCCATTACCATGGTGGATTTCTGGTGAGCATCTTCTCTCACATGTTAGAGAATTTCCGTCTAACCCTTTTCCCGACAGATTCTAGGAGACCGTTATTCCTTCATGCCATATTGGCTGGTCAACGCCTGCGTCAACCGCGGGTGGATATTCGCTACTCCCGATTATCGACTGATCCCGGAATCGTCTGGCGACGATGTGGTACAGGATGCAGTGGACACCTATCAATGGGTCCTGCACTCCTTGTCCACACATCTTGATATTCAGGTCGGACCCGTCATACTCGCCGGGTCCAGTGCTTGTGGCTATCTCGCAATGACGACTGCGAGTCTCGCTGGGCAAAGACCGGCCGCTCTGTTGTCAATCTACGGCATGCTAGACCCCTCAATGCGCTATACACGACAAAGCGGGCCAATATCTTTGGTCAGCCACACATCGATACTGCGCCTGTGATTGAACAATTGACAGCGCTACGGCAGAGCAGACCCCAAGTCCTCGTTGGCTATCCCTGGCCTGCCGACCCCAGTCGAGACCCTCGGTTTGCCATAATCGCCACGTTACATATCGAAGCACTTTTTCCAGACTTTATTGCTGGAGTACCGGGCTTGAGTGAAGCCGTCGCGGAACAGGGTGTGAACGCAGTTCCACCTGCCCAGAGGCACCTCTTTCCCCTGTCGTTTGGAGGGTCCTCAAAATTTCCGCCAACCGTCCTTTTCCATGGCAAGAACGACTCTGCCGTTCCATGGCACTTGAGCCAAGTTGCATGGGAAAAGCTGTGTGAACATGGTGTTGACGTCTACATCGAATTCCCACCGGATGCAGAGCATGGCTTTGACGCACGCACAGGTCGCGTCGATATAGAAAGGGACAATGCTGACATTTTGACGGCTCCTAGTTTCGAGGGTCTGCGAAATGTGCTTAAGTCTTTGGACCAGCTTGTAGCGGCTACACAAAATGCAAAAGAGAATTAGCTGTGTAGATTTGAGAAAAATGGTTCATAGATTCACGCGCTCTACGAGGTTAGGTTTGCTTTGCTTGAATGCGAGTGGATAAATATCGCCGCCGGTGCAATTCCAGCCCCCCAATATGCCAACCAAGTGTCGCCTCGATATCGAACTGGCAGACCCAGAGCCGCTTCAGAGACAGCCTCGACGTTGGAAAAAATGAGGTGTGGCGTAGTGCGCATCTGTGTCTTCCAAGGTTTTCCTAGACAGCATGTGGGTCAAGCTAGTGATAGAGTAAGCCGAATCCGTCAACGTCACAACCCGGTAGCACAAGGGTGGAAAGTCAGATTTCGAGCTCGGAATGCGGAATCTCGGAGGAGATTGATTTCCGAGTGTCCCTGACGCTCTGGGAAGGCTGGGATGTTTGTGGTGGAGGGAATACTGTTTCCACAGAGCCTAATCCGCGGAACAAAATCCGTTGTTTGCATTGGAGATTGGCAAAGATCAGAGAGGTTTTTGGGTGTTGTCTTGATCATAAAAAGCGTTGCAATATGTCCCTCGTGCTTTTTCAGAAAGTCGAGCGGATAGTGCGCAAGAAAAAAATACAATGACTCCATCGATGGACACAGTCGTCCAGTTACCACTGCTGTGGGCGTTGACAGCTTTCCTGCTGACTACTTGGCTTCCTTTTCGCACCGCCTTCAGACCAGGACTGTGGTCTATCCCAGGACCCTTCCTGGCGAAATTCACGGACTTGTGGAAACTGGCAGCTGTCTGGGCAGGCCACCTTGAACAAACCATCATTGAACAACACCGACAATATGGAGATCTTGTTCGTATCGGGCCCATCACTATCAGCATGGTCGACCCCAGAGGTATTGAATTGATATACGGATTGAAATCAAACTTTCCCAAGGTGAGGGTGGAGGTTCCATGTCGATGTGGATCCGGCTCACTGTTTGTCACACAGAGCAAGTTCTACAATGCATTCATGGCGGTGAACAAAGGGAAGCCGGTCGAGACCTTCTTCACCACCCAAAACATGCTGTATCACTCTGCCATCAAGCGTCCGGTAAGCTCGGCGTATTCCATGACGACAATCACCGACAACGAGTGGCATATCGATAAGATCATGGAAAAACTGCTGTGGTACCTGGAGGCCGAGTTTTGTAGGAAGATCATGCTCGAACACAATCGATATTGGCCAATGGCTTCATTTCTGTGGGGCAGCGGTTGTAACTTCTTCAGCCGACATGCATTAAGGCCATCCGGGCAGATTCTTTCGACGTGATTTCGGAAATGACCTGGTCCAACTCTTTTGGCTACCTCGAACACGGGGCTGACATCAATAGCATGATCCGGTCGCTAGAAGCGGACATGGACTACTATGCTCCGGTAGGCTCTTCCTAGCGCATTACAGACAGCGAAAGCGTCATGATGATGCGCTTTCCCAGCCTTCCAAATCATCCTGGACGCTGACCAATCATTCTGTAGGTAGGAAAAATGCCGTGGATCGACGATCTTTTCAGGGGAAATCCCATCAACCTGTACGTTGCCCGAAAAAGCAGCACCTTTGCGAAACTTGCCGTCGACAAGATCCGAGAACGACGGGCAAAAACCACGCTTTCGGCACAAGAAGAGCGAGACTTTCTGAGCAGGTTCCTCAAAGCCAGCAAGACACGTTACCAAACGGTAGATGACAAGGAAATCGCTTCATACATGGTCACGAACATCGTTGCGGGGAGCGAAAGGACTGCCATCTCTATAAGGGCGGTTCTCTACTACCTGCTGAAGACTCCCGCGGCATGTAAGAAGCTGCGAGAGGAAATCGACACCGCCGATCTCCCCGATGGCCCGTTGGGCTATACAAGCGTGGAGAGGCTGCCCTATCTGGGCGCGTACATCAAAGAAGCACTGCGCGTCCATCCTGTAGTGGGACTACCCCTGGAACGTGTCACGCCGATTACGTTCCAGTTACCCAACGGTCAGAGCCTCCCTGCCGGTACAGTCGTCGGGATGTGTGCGTGGCCTGTCCACCGTGACCTCGCAACTTTCGGGAACTGGGTTGAAGAGTATATGGCGGAATGGTGGTTGCAGGGGTCTGACGAGGACGAAGAGACATTCGATTACCGCATCAATCGTATGAAGCGAGCGGACCTCACTTTCAGACATGGAACAAGGGCATGTCTTGGGAGAAACATCGGATTGATCGAGACTTACAAAACCATCCCGACGTTGCTGAGAGCATTGAATATCGAACCCGTCGACCCCCGCACAGAATGGACTCTCAAGAAGGCGTGGTTCGTGCGACAGGCCGATTTCAAAGGAGTCTGCCTCCGGACAGCAACTTCGACCTCATTTTCCTGAATAATTGAGTGCACCTCACACCACTCGAATTGCCTGACTAAGGGGAATTTAAGGGTATAATAAGTATTTTGAATTTCTTAGCTTATAACCCTATGCGGCCTGAGAGAGTTTGATGGGCATTGCGAATTTTAGTTTTGATATTCCTTATTTAGACCAATCTAACGGTATAAAGTGCAGTGGATTATTCTAATATTCACTATAATGCAAGTGGATTTATGAAATCTGAGCTTAAATACAAATGGTGTGACTCAATTGGCTAGAAATAAGCTTAAATTGATTTCTCGCTTAATGTAGTAGTCTTAAAAATTCAGGACTCACAGGGGAGAGTACCTTATCCGTACTGGGTATAGGTTAAGTAGACTCGGGGTGTGCTAGCCCTGAATCGTAGACTAAAGCCGCTGCTTTTAAAAAGGCTCGCGTTTTAATTGGATATGCTCAGCGCTCGAGGATGCTCTGATAGCGGACCGAAAAGACCAATCATAGCCGTTAATGTCAGTCTTCGCTAAGGTGAGCAAGGTCGGCGTTGCACCATCCATGCCGAGGCACTACCCAGTAGACCTTTTGACCCTTTTGCCTGGTGCGACACGGGTGATCTCTCACCCGAGCTCGGGCGAGCCGGAGATGAGCACAGGGCGGCATCACTCCCGTCCCGATCGGGGACGAGGCGCGAGCAGTTTTTACTTATCTCAGCGCAATCACCCTGCATCAGGTCGAGGGGGAGTTTCTCGCTTTTGGAACCAACATACTGTAACTCATTTCTCCGTCTACAGTACAGAGAACTGCAAAACCGAAATACTGATTCGGCCTGTTTCGCGCACCTGACTGACTCGGAGCCGCAGTCCTATCGAAACGATGACGAAATTTTATGTTAGATGGCTTTCAAGGTGATGAGGGGGATATCATTTGTCGGCGATTGGTGGTGGGTGGGCCTCCTGCATAGATACCCCGTTGTTGCTTCTTGGAGTGGTTTAGTTCTCGAATCTTCATTTCTTGTTCCCTGGAGCTTGTACCCCGTAGCAAGGAGAGTTTTTTTTTTTAACTCATCTTTTCGCGCCAAGACTGTGTAATAAGTAGGCGCATTGCTGCCAAGATTTAAATTTATGCCAAGCGGCTAGTCTTTGTGAGTCCCCAAATCATTTAAATATCACGTCTGCTGCTCCTGAGGTCATCTTCTTTTTTCCTTTCTTTTCTCAGCTCTGTGAGTACCATTGAACCTCGCCTTCTAAAGCAACCATGCTAATGATGTCTCAGCTTTGCCAACTGGCTTAGATCAAGTGTAGTATCTGTTCTTTTCAGTTTAATCGTGAGTGTCACATCCAGAGCTGGCCTGTTCATTGACCTGGGCTAACAACTCTCGCAGTCTGAAATGTCACTACGGTGACAAACATTGATTAAATTTATTTTTGAACCTCGCTCGAGACTCTCTGTGCTTGCACAGAAGTCTCTTGCACCGTGTCCGAGGCCTTACACTGCCGCCTTGTGACGCGAACAACATCCTTTTCATCACTGTCCTTTGCCTTGAGCAAAGCTTTGGAGAAGAGTCAGAATCTCGGGTTAATGTGGAATCTGGAGTGCGAACGATCTGAAGGCTTGATAGAGCTCGGAGAATGTCCGAAAAATTCACTGCGGAATTCTGACCTGGGCGCTCGGCATCTCAACGCACCTGCGGACATCGAGCTTTGCTGCCCTAGCATATATATGATTCTAGACCAACAGTCTGTACAATGAAGAAATGACCGTAGAGGCCCAGAGCACAAAACAAGTCTTTGCCATCGTCAACAGTCATCTGAAATCGGTAAATTGTCAGGCACGCAGTAGTGCTGTAATTACTGGTGTACATAGCAACCTTGTTTTCAGGTGAGGGCGCTTCTGTCCAAGCAGCGGTTCACGGGCCCTTCCAACTTTATTTCTACAGAACAACCACGCCCATATATGTCTTGGGTGGCATGAAAGCAATCGATCTGCAGAGGTATCATGTCTGGCGACACGGCCATGGCCAACAACAACGCGGCCCCGGCGCCCTCGCCCAACGTCGACCCCGCCATCTTCAGCTCTCTTCAAGCAAAAATCGACAAAGAAACCGCAATCCGGGACGAGCTCAAGGAGATTGTCGAAACCCTCTCAAAGCAAGGTCGAGTCACGCAATCAATCCTCTCTCGCATCCACAACACGCCCACTGCGGACCTCGAAGAATCCGTCCTCGCACCCTGCTCTGAATCCCTCAAAGAACAGGCGGCCACGGTGAAAAGTCTGGCGCAGGCCGCCTCGAAATATCCCTTCTACAAATGGAACTCGATATGGCAGCGAGAGATTCAGAACGTGGTCAGCAACGTACAAATGTGTGAGTGGCTCAAGAGCGGGAGTCTGGTGACTCTGGAAGAAGTCGGACAGAGACTACATGGTATGTGTTGCTGCTCATTTTACACACGCGCGACACACATTGAACTGATCGAATCCGGGGCTGACTAACCGGCTTCTCATCAACAGTACCGGTCAACCTGCAAGACGAAGATGCCTTCCACGTCACGATCGAAGACTACCTCCTCGCCCTGACCGCCATGATTGAGGAGCTTGCCCGTCTTGCCCCCAACGCCGTAACCCTCGGCGACTACGCCCGACCGCTGCAGATCTCAAAATTTACAAAGGACGTCCATGCCGGGTTCCAGCTGCTAAATCTCAAGAACGATATCCTCCGCCGACGCGTGGATGGGCTCAAATACAGTGTCAAAAAGGTGGAAGACGTCGTGTATGATTTGAGTCTCCGGGGTTTGATTCCGAAACATTGAGGTTTACTTGAGGTGGAATTGTAACGAACTCAACTGTAGTAATACACATACTCTGATGGTGTGACAAGGCTGTATGAGTACACAAGACTTATCATGCGTTCTCTGGCTATGACCAGGCACAGATATCAAGGGGGCGTTAACGTGTCAGCAACAGACGATTACGTCCAAGGCTGGATGTGCTGTATAAAAACAGATTGATGCCGAATGATTACGATCATGAGGGGACGAGCACTGCTACACAGAAAGGCAAGTATGATCGAGCGGAAGAAAGCTCAGATGAATGTCGAGCTCTCTTGAGCAATCACTGATATAGCGAGCTCTTTCGAGCTACTAGGCATTGAGCATTGTCGAAACCATCGAGTGGTAGTCGACATAGACTACCCGCGATGCAGATTTTTGACTCCCGAAAAAAGGTTACTCCGTCTCCATGTGATCCTTCATGCTGTCGGAGCGCCATCTTTCTGAGGGCTAGTTCATGCTCCTCTTCCAGCCCTGCCTTTATCCGTCTGGTGATTCTGTCACCAACGATAGACGACGTTGCTCAACGTCCTTCATGAACGAGGCGGCTCGGTGGCCTTTTTGAATTCCTCCCCATCCACTCTCACGCTGCTCTCAGCCGTTGCCGGTTCTCTCAGGCCCGAAGCCGATCCCGTGCCCAATTTGACGTTCACGCCGCCACTGCCGACATTCACGGTGCGTTGGTCCGCGGACTGGAGATCTGCACTTGCTCCTCCGACGGGGGGTCGGGGAGAGGCAGGTTCGCCTTGACACGGTCGATTTGGTCTTGTTTGGATCCCTGTTCCGAGAGGAGTTGCTAGAGGGGTGGAGGAGATGTTAGCTAAGAGCTGACGAAAGGGCAAATCTAACAGCAAACACCATGACTTCGTCACCTACCTTCATTGCTGATATATCTGAATCTTTGGGTGTCTTGCCTCCATGGAACTTGGACTCCTTCGACTCCATCTTGCGGACGTCCTCGCCGGTGATGTGGAAGGTTTGTTCGGACATGGCTGTGTTTGTTTTCCTTTTTTTTTTTCCTCCAGGTCTTGGAGCTGTCTCGCTGTATCTAGAAGAGACAAATTCGGGTTGGGTTTCGATTATAGTTAACGGCGTACGATTGATTTTGGTAAGAGGACATCTAAGACAGACTTAGGATCTGCCTGGGTGTTCTCATTTAAGCCTGAAGCCAGTGTGGCTTGCGAAGACGTCACTTCTCTAAGAGGCCAATGATGATGGCACCGTGTGGTGATGATCCCTTCTTGGCCAGCTTCTCGTTTTCTGCCGGTGATCTCGAAACTTCGCGTGAGGCCCATGGAAGGCTCCGCCTGAGTAAAGCCATAACATGCATCCTTGCACATACGTCATGGCCCAAGGGGGGTTTAGTGCAGATAAAAGGTCTTGTAGGATGCCATTTCCGGCCCAATTATGGTGGTGATGTTCCTGGGCTGAACAAATCAGAGGCGCGTTTCTGCATGGAAAATTACTTGTACTTGTACTGTAGTACCAGCCAAGGCACAATCCACCTCGAGCAGATATCGGTCGTCTCACAGTCCACTGCGCCGAGAACGTGGCAAATTTGTCTCGTCGATGAAGGTCCAGTAGATTTCGTCGAACATGGAGGTATATCTCGCAGCAAGACAGATCCAGCACAGCCCGTTGTCGAGTGGCTGTTCCATGTGCTTGGATAGACGCTGTGGACCAGCCGATGTGCAATCCCCTTCCTTCCTTCGCTCTCTCATCCTCATATTCGCGACGAGCGTCTAGAAGCGACGAAGCCGTGGCATAAAGCGCACCACGAACTCGTGAAGGTCAGACTCCCAATGCTCCGGCCTTTGGTGCAAAAGCTACCATGGCGCAGTGCAGGCAGCCTCAGTTGGTCCCACGTAAGTGAACTCCCAATCGACAACACCAGTAATGCGCAGGTTCTGGCAGTTAAAAGAAGGTTGGAAGGTTGGAAGTCGTCGCACTGCAACGAATTGAGAGAGCTTCTTGCAGCCCAGGAGGCCGTCAACAAACTCTCCTCTTTCAGAGGGGCAGATTATGAGTCAGGCAGCGAGTTCAAGCAAAGCAAGACGTGAAGGGGGCAAATGGCAAATCGACCTACAAGACAAAAAACATAACTCGAACGGCTCTAACGCGGTGGAAGTATCTGCCCTCGATCAGAGCGTAGCACTTGTACATACATGTCTCCAAGATCCTCAAAGAGCCCCTATGCTGGATGCCGACGGTAGAATACTGATGAAACAAATTGTGGCGCTCAATTCCAAATATGTCATCCAACTTCGAGCTCAATATCGTCGACGCAGAACTCCCAGTCTTCCATTATAACATCGTCCAAGTGAAAAACAGCCCACATCTCCAGCTTGCCTAAGCCATTCCATGTCTTCCTGGTGAACTTCTCTACTCGTACGTGCAGAACGTCATGGAAACCGGCAGGGAAATCGACCTTCCAAGTCAAAGTATCGTCTGAATCATTCGAACGGAAACCTTGTAGGTTGATCGTGACAGAGCCAATGGGCATGTCTAGCGGCTTGATCTTCAGCGCGTGGACAGTGAAGGTCTCCGATGAATTATATAACCAGATGGATGGCCGTTCACCTGGTGTACTCTGGCGGCCGTGTGGTTTCACCAACGGCCTGGCCGTTGCAGCTCCGTACAATGCATTTGGCCTTGAGACAGCACAGTTCAGGTCGTAAGCGGAAATGACGCCGTCCAATCTGGGATGCGATGGTTTGAAGGCATAGAAGTCGTTCAACACAAATCCGTGGTACGATGGTGGTATATCTCCGAAACCATCCGGGGTCTCAATATCATCAAACTGCAGCATGGTTAGCCACCACTGAGCGCACTTGTGAATCTTCGAGAAAGTGGCACAGACGTTCAGGATTTGGAATCCTTCTTCGAGCACCCTCTGCTCAGGATGAGCAGAAACTGTATTGAAGCAGAACGCCAGGACGAAGCATATCAGAACCACAGAATGCAACCGCAAGATGCTTTGGAAGATGGGTTGCCTTGAATTGGACAGACAGATGACCACAATCGCGATGAAAGTCTTGATTAAATCATTGAACCAGAGATGCAAAAGGGCCGTGACCAGAAAAGCAACACGGTAGAAAATCTGATACAGAAGCATTCTGCTTCGTTACTCTCGAGCGGGTTGAATATGTCCAAGAAACGCCGCGATGTCTCCTTGCCGTTTCGCAGCCCTGGAGTCGTGTTCGTATAAAGACATCGCTTCCTCCAACGAAAAGGCCACGCGGCAAGTACAGAATTAAACTCGTTCAGGAAGACCGAGAGGAACTTCGTTGAGGGCTTTGAGGAGGATTTGTGGGTTGAACTTGGAGTTTGATTCGATATCCAAATCGCATGTCATTTAAGGTGCCGCCGCACATGTGTCTCTCCCTCTGCGCCCATTTGAGTCTTCGACAATTTTCCACTACACCACACGAACAAACCGGACTGCCAGTCTGATAATTCGGCGGCCGTCCAGGCCGGGGAAATCGCCCTCTTTTCTCCTTCCTTCTCCTGCCAGGAATAATAGTGCGCTCGAGAGTGCGTCCCTACGATGCCCCGAGATCCACTCATTGCACTTGTGGGCAAGCCATCCTCAGGGAAGTCGACTACACTCAACAGGTATTCCACTCTTGCCCACTGGATGGATGTTCCCCGACTCACAAGCCCTTTGCAGCTTGACAGACGCTAGTTCGAAAGTCGGTCAGTGCGCGATGATTCTTCCCGAGCAAAGAGGTGGACACCGGCTGATGATCTCTGCGCAGGCAACTTCCCGTAAGAGATATAAGAGCCCTCGGCCTGACCTGCCCTGCGTGAACTAAAATCTGTGTGCTCTACCAGGTTCACGACGATCGACCCTCAAAGAGCGGTCGGATACCTCCAGGTCGACTGCGCCTGCAAGCGACATGGCCTTACCAACAGGTGCCGGCCGAACTACGGTTCCTGCGTCGACGGCAAGAGATCCGTGCCCATAGAACTCCTTGACGTTGCCGGGCTGGTCCCTGGCGCACACGAGGGCAGAGGACTGGGCAACAAGTTTCTGGACGACTTGCGCCACGCGGATGCGCTCATACACGTGGTGGATGTCAGCGGGACCACAGACGCCGACGGCAAAACCACTCGGGGCTACGACCCCAGTGTAGATATCGAATGGCTGCGAGGAGAGATCGTTCGATGGATCCAGGGCAACTTGATGGAGAAATGGGGGAGTATCAAGAGACGGCATGTTGCTGTGAAGGCCTCGCCGGTGGAAACCCTCCAGGCACAGTTCTCAGGCTACGGCAGTACCAGCGCAGTCGTCGCGCGGTGTCTGGACAAATTACAATTAAAACAGCCCCTAGAGGAATGGAGCGATGAAACCATCCTCAAAGTCGTCAACACCTTCACGGACGAGAAATTCCCCACAGTGCTTGCCCTGAACAAGATCGACCATCCAGATGCAGATCGCAACATTGCCAAGATCGCAAAACAACAGCCGGCGGAACGTATCGTTCTATGCAGCGCGATTTCGGAGGTGTTCCTGCGGCGGCTGACGAAGCAAGGCTACATCAAGTACAAAGAAGGAGCGGAATACCTGGACACCCGGGAAGATCTGATCGAGCAGGGTGATCCCAACGGTGGCGGACTCAAGGAGATGGACGACAGGTTGAAACAGCGGATAGAAAATCTCAAGGATATGGTGCTCTACCGGTTCGGCAGCACCGGCGTGGTGCAGGTCTTGAGTCGCGCAGCGGCAATGCTAGGCCTCGTGCCTGTGTTCCCCGTGAGGAACATCCACACATACGGGTCGGGAACAGCGGGGTCTACGGCTGTTTTTAGGGACTGTGTGCTGGTGAAGAAAGGCAGTACGGTTGCGGACGTAGCACGGAAAGTTATGGGCGACGCCCCCATTGCATTTGTCGAGGGAGACGGCGGGAGGAGGATTGCCGAGGATTCTATAATCGAGGCTGGGAAGAATGATATACTGTCCTTTCATGTCGGGCGGTAACACTTGGGCCTTTGATGTGTACGCAGCAAAGGCCAAAGCCGACAAGAATACGAAGGACAATTAAAAACAAAATGACGGTCCCGTTGTTCCAATGTATAGAGAATATCCGAATGAAGCACCCATGACCGATACCATTCTCAATGGCCTTACTGGCATCCTTTTGGTGGATTTATTGAGCTTTCTGCTCATGTCATTAGCAAGTCCAGTCCTGGCGTGCAACTCCGTAGTGTGGGCTCCCTCTCAAGTAATATCATAGCAGGCCAACTCAAGATCTCTTGCTAGGAAGGGAAAAAGTCGTAAGACTTACTGATCCTCTCTCGTCGTTCATGCCGATAACCGGCTCCGGTGCCTTGGGATGCTCCTCCTTTGCCCTCTTGTTATTTCCCCTCTCGTCTCTGCGTGAAATGGCATCGCTCCCTTCCTTCATTTCCTCGTGATCCTTCATCCCCTGTTGTGACGTCTCTGCTTGTACGTCGTGGGCGGGCCGTTTCACCGCGTGGTCTCGGCCGTGTCGACCGCCCCATCCTGGGAGGCTGTCATGGGCAGGTGTGCTGGCTTTGCTGTCGGCGGATGAAGGTTGAGAGTGTTGATTGAACTCGTGAAGGAGGCCCGAGGTCGAGAGAAGGCGTGGATGTTGGTGGAAGCGGATGTGAGGGAGCGTACGAGGTCTGGGAAGGCCCCTCAGGAGGCGAGGCATGTTGGGTTCTCCACAGGATATGGAACAAGTTCCACAACTTGTGCGTTTGTCTCGATGAGATGGTTATACCAAAAGGGCGAGTCCTCTAGTGAGCGAGTCAAAAGGACATCTTGATAAACTGCGCATTAAGGTCCTGGTGGTAATGCAGACTCGCACTTATAAAGTCAATTGGATTCTGTCATGTCTGTGATGTCGAAATAATGACGACATTGAGCTCCTGGGCCGTCGTCTCGGCACCAGTGCCATGTTGTAGCAACGGCTCTCAGAATTCAAACCACCGACGCGGCGAAATCAAAACCCAGCTGCCTGGGGTTTGGAGTCTGTCGTTAAATGCAACAGTAGTTGGCGAGAAGAATGAAACGGCTGCCATTGTGAGGTTCGATGGATGGATGCCAGGTGTCGACCGAAGAAGCCCATGTCTGAAGGAGATAATCATGTCAGACAATGGACAAATGACCGCCATCTTGCGCATTCTTGCGCATTTAATTAGTCATTGTGGTCATTCTGGCAGTATTGAATCTGTCAGACACGCTGGCAACGGGTTGCAACGGGGCAGTCCTTCGTACCTCGGGTGGCACAACAGTCTATATCCTACGACCGAGCCTTGCAATCGCCAACGAACCGCAGCCTTGTTACAATGGGAATATAATGTGCTCATTCATGGTGCCCGCATTGCCATGGAGCACCAAGCAAGCGCGATTATTCGAGAGACGGATCTAGTAAGTCCCCCCTCTCCCACGAACCTTGTGCGCAACTCCGATGGGTTGTTCTGAATACACCCATGCATTGCTTGTCCGAGGCCCCTGGCACCGAGAGCCTGATACTGTGGGGAAATGGACAGCGCTACCAAATCTTGCGGGGTTGACACCCTCTCACACTCCGCGGAGTGAGTGCCTCGGTCCGTGGTGCTTATTGCCGAGTGCTGTTCTAAAAGGACACTGCCTCGCTGTCCTTGACTCTGGTTCCGGCCAGTAGTATGGAACGCTGACAAGTATGGCCTCGCACTTACGCTACGACAACCAAGTTGCTATCATCACTGGAGCTGGCAACGGCCTGGGAAAACAGTATGCCAAATTTCTCGCCTCACGCGGTGCTAAGGTTGTGGTCAATGATCTAGGCGGCACCTTCAATGGCAAAGATGCCGGTGGCAGAGGCGACTCCAGGGTCGCCGACATTGTGGTCAAGGAGATAAGGGATGCAGGTGGTATTGCCGTGGCCAACTATGATCCCGTCCAGAATGGCGACAAGATCGTGAAGACTGCCATCGATGCTTTCGGGAGAGTCGATATCCTCATCAACAACGCGGGTATCCTTCGCGACATCACACTCCGCAACATGAAGACGGAAGACTGGGATAGCATCATGGATGTCCATGTCCATGGCGCTTTCAAGACAGCCCGTGCAGCGTGGCCGTACATGCGTAAGCAGAAGTACGGTCGAATCATTAACACGTCATCGTCATCTGGTCTATTCGGAAACTTTGGACAGAGCAATTATGCAGCGGCAAAGATGGCCCTGGTCGGTTTCAGCGAGACCTTGGCCAAAGAAGGAGCAAAGTACAACATCACTTGCAATGTGCTCGCACCCGGTGCGGCTAGCAGACTGACCCAAACCGTCTGGACCCAAGACATGATGGAAGTCATGAAACCCGACTGGGTCGTTCCGCTTGTGGGCGTATTAGTCAACGAGAAATGTCATGAGAATGGAAGTATCTTCGAGGCGGCGGCAGGTCACTACAGTAAGATCCGGTGGGAGCGGAGCAAAGGATTCCTCGCACGCCCGGAGGACTTGACCGCGGATATCGTGCTGGAAAACTGGGAGAAAATTGTGAATTGGGCGGGTGCAGAGCATCCAAAAGAACCCGCAAGGATTTTGCAATTCCTTGACGAGGCGAAATCCTTGCCGAAGACCAACGCCCGAGCTGGAAGTCGGGTGAGCTTCAAAGACAGAGTGGTCCTGGTAACTGGCGGTGGTGCTGGATTAGGACGAGCGTACAGTCTTCATTTTGCTCAACTTGGCGCAAAGGTTGCGGTGAACGATGTCAAGAATGCCGAAAAGGTCGCCAACGAGATCAAGTCTAGGGGAGGCGAGGCAATTGCCGTGCCAATGTCCGTCGAGGAGGGAGAAGCTATTGTGCGACGAGTGGTAGAGACCTTTGGCCGGATCGATGTCGTGGTCAACAACGCCGGAATCCTAGGAGACAAGGCGTTCATGAACATGACAGACGAGCAGTGGTATTCGGTTATGAACATTCACCTACGGGGAACATATCTCGTCACCAGAGCCGCCTTTCCGATCATGTTGAAGCAGAGATATGGACGCATTGTCAACATTACCAGCACGAGCGGCATTTATGGAAACTTTGGACAGGCCAATTATGCAGCTGCGGTAAGTCCATTTCAACCCCGTCATCAGAGCATAAATAACCAACGACCCCCTTGGTAGAAATGCGGCATTGTCGGCTTCACAAAGACCATCGCTCGAGAAGGAGCCAAGTATAACGTCGCGGTCAACTCACTAGCCCCCACAGCCGGGACGAACATGACTCGAACAGTCTGGCCCGAGAAAGACGTTGAGGCCGTCAAACCAGAATATGTCGCGCCCGTTGTTGCGGCACTGTGTAGCGAGAAACCTCCAGCGACAGGACAGCTGTTTGAATCCGGTTGTGGGTGGATTGGAGCCACTCGTTGGCAGAGAGCTCGGGGCGTTGATTTTGACCACGAAAAGGGCGTACCGAGCGTGGAACAGGTTGCGCAAGTGAGTCTTTGACACGGATAGGCAGATTCGGAACGACCGTCGCTGATGAAATCTTCAGGCATTCCCAGAGATCTGCAATTTTGACAATGGTCAGGCAGATAACCCAGATACCCCACAGGACGGAAGCAAGTACACCATGGGCAACGTACTGAAGAATCCAAAGATTGTAAGTCCTGGATGTCTTGAGAATTTGGGTCTTCTAGACGCTGACGATATGACAGGCCGCAGCATTGTCCCAAGAGAACCGCGCCAACCGCAAATATATTGCAAAAATTCAAGAAGCCATATCAATGAAGCCTATCCCATCAGCTTACACCTATGACGATCGGGATGTCATTCTGTACAACCTTTCCCTAGGCGCGCACCGCACCGACCTCGACCTTGTCTATGAGAATTCGCCAAACTTCCAGGTTCTCCCGACGTTCGGCATTGTACCCACATATTCCGCGACCACGCCCTGGAAAGTGCAAGATATTGTCCCCAACTACGACCAACGCATGCTCCTCCACGGAGAGCAATATCTAGAGATCAAGCAGTTCCCCATTCCAACATCGGGCACGCTCAAGACAGAAACAAGCTTGGTCGAAGTCGTCGACAAGGGAAACGCCGCCCTTGTACGCAGAGGCGCCACCACCGTCGACAGCGCAGGCCGACCCGTCTTCTACAACGAAAGCGTCGCGTTCATCCGCGGATCCGGCAACTTCGGCGGCCAACGCAAACCGTCCGACCGCGGCGCCGCCACGGCCATCAACACGGCCCCATCCCGCGCCCCGGACAAGGTCGTCGCGGAAAAGACATCCGAAGACCTCGCGGCCCTGTACAGATTGATGGGCGACCGCAACCCCTTGCACATCGACCCGAAATTCTCGGCCGCGGGCGGCTTCAAGGACCCCATCTTGCACGGCCTGGCCACCTTTGGAATCACGGCCAAACACGTCTTCCAGGCGTACGGCCCCTTCAAGAACATTAAAGTCCGGTTCAGCGGCACCGTCTTGCCCGGCCAGACCATCGTCACCGAGATGTGGAAGGAAGGTGGAAAAATCCTGTACCAGGCCAAAGTGAAGGAGACGGGCAAATCCTGCATCAGCAATGCGGCGGTCGAGTTGTTGCAGGGGAGTTCGAAGCTGTGAAACACCTAATCTAGGTCTAGGTAGGTAGGCGGGTGATAGTAATACGTAGTACAGAGTACTCGTTTTTTTACTGGGCTGGACCGAGCCCCTCGTTTGTACCTACTTGCAGTAGTACCGACGAGCTTAGTACAGTAGATACAGTACTTGGAGATCTCTTAACCGCCCCCTGAGACCCCACCTTTCCGAATACGGAGCCTCTAAAGTATAGCGCTAGTTTTATTTAGGAAGAGCGAGAGAGCCCCGGGGCGATCGATCGACGACTAGGCTCGATTTTGAAATTTTTATTTTCTTCTTTTCTTTTCTTTTCCATCGCATTGCCGCCAGACAAAGCCTAGTTCAGGGGATAGGAGGGAGGAGCGGGAAGATGTATATATGTGGCGTGCATGCATGCAGGCAGCGTGACACGCAAAATGTTGAGATGACTTGACTTGACCTGACCTGACCTGCCTATTACAAGAAGGAGAATTGAATGCCGGTGGAGCTGAGTGGATTACGAGGTAGGTACATAGGCCGGGGATGGAGATTGTATTGGCAAAGGAGGTCCATAGCAAGGACGAATAGCATACCTAGGTAGGTACGGGACTCGCGTCCGATCAATAGCCTGGCCATGTTTCTGGACGGATCAAATGCTACTTGGAAGTGAAGTATCAATACATATGTACTCCGTATTTTTATTCTCACTCTTGCAAATATAAACAAAACACAGTTTGTGCTTTTGCTCACACTGGAGCTTCGCTAAACACACGACACGTCTAGGGAGGACCGTCCCCTCTGCCACATACAGGCTTGCCGCATATCAATTTTTGCCTCCATGTCCCTTCTTCTTACTTCATTGCATCTCTTGCAGCCGTGGAATCATCCGTCAAAAGTTCCTACATATTCAAATCCGCCTTCAACCCTGCCTCAAATCCAGATAGCATCGGGGGTATATACCATGGTCACATCGTCAAACATTTTCTCGTCAATGTACAACCTTTTTCAAACAGCCTTCGCCCGCTGAAAGAACAACCAATTCACTCCCAAAGAACAGAGTCTTCGCGCGGAACTCATCAACCTACACTGGTTCGAACAGGTAGCTTAAGCTTCCACCTCGTGAAAATCAAATTCATCGTCCACCGGAATGGTGATACCCCGATATGTCTCCGGCAGTTCCAAACTGTCGCCTGTGACTGTTGAGCCGTTGTGGCTCCCGGCAGTGCTAAATAGAAAATCATCACCGCTTGTCAAGGATTCCTCGGAAAAGCTGAGCAGGCTTTGAGGCACGGGGGCTTTCGCCGCAAGATCCATGCCCGAGAGGTGCCATGTGTCTGGAGTCCATTCGTTGCTGGGTACCTGATAGAGCGAATTGGTGTTGACTGGAATTTCCTGATACATCACCGGGTTATTTGGGTCGAACCCATCTAGAAGCGTTTCCCATCCAGAGTCGGGAAGGGTAGGTGTTGGCTGCTTCTTCGGAGGGAGCATCGTGCTCGAGGATGTCCTGGTTTGCGAGTCGCCAAACTCATCCCCAAGCGGCAGATAGTCTAGGTTTATGGCTGGAGTACCCAGTGGCCCTGGGGCGTTGATTTGGCGAGGCGAGGAAGTGGCCACTGGCAAAACTGGCAACGATCGGGTGGAAGACAAGCTGATAGTGCTATTTGCACGACGGGCTGGGCTAAGGGGCGTCGGTCCAGTTTGGGGCACAGTAGCACGCCTGTTGGGGTCCTCGGGCTTTCCTTTGTTGCTAAATGAGGACCATCGTGAGGCAATCGCTTGCAGCTGCTTCCTCGTAGATTTTGACCTGGATTCAGCAGGAGCAGGCATTGTGCTAGCCGCTTTTTGAGCGCTGGTAGTGGTCTGATCTGGACTTCGTGACGAAGCCGGCCGCGCTTCTATTGGGATAAAGCAGGTGGCGATCTTCTGAAACTCCACCGCAGCTGGCGCATTCTCGGAATGCAGCATGCCCACGAGCATGGTTAAGGACTTTTGGTTGTCTTTGGCGAGCTTGCTGTCGTCTTCCAAATCAAGCGATTGCCAGAGTATCGCCAAACCTGAGTTCAGCAGGAGGTCGGCCTTGTTCAGTGGGAAGGTATAGTTCATGCGGCGCTCTAGGAGAAGATCAAGAATCTGGAGAACATGCTTGCCTGCGGCCGCCAAAACGATGCCCGCAGCTGAGGAAGCGCTTCCTGACGCGTGGCAGAGCAACGGTCGGTGAATCAAACTTCTAGTATAGAAGTAGGCGAGTGACTGTGGAATGATTAGAGTTCGGGGCAGAAAATGAAGGGACCACAAACATACCAATAGTGGCGATCTACAGCCGATCAAATTCGTCGCTGGCTTGTCATTGCAGAAGCGCAAGCGAAGATGCTCAGGTAGTTCCTCTGACCATTGATCAAGCTCGTCAGAGAGCGCATGAAGTTTGGTCAACGATAGTTGATAGCTAGCTCTGGCGGGATACAGGGTATCCAAAGCCTTGGATAGGATTCTGGAAAGGCGGAACAAAGAAAGTGCGCTCGAAATCTTGGTCAGTTCACCAGGAAGAGTAGGAGAGAAACCTTGAGTGCTAAGGTTCTCGTCGTCGACGTCGGCTGGGTATTCTGTGGTTATGTCACTGTCTCGGAGGAGGACTGGAGTACCAGTCGCGGCAGATATGAATCTGGAAAGAGGTGTGAGTCATTTGAGACGAACGTGAAAGGCTTACGGATATGTTGACGTCGAGAAGGAAACCAAGAACTTACTTGTCAAGGACATATTGGCTCCAGAACACCTTCTTTCTAGTCTCCGCCTCGAGAGGCGACAAGCTGTGATATTTGTGTCCCTGATGGAGCTCGAGTTCGTGGCACATTGTGATTGCAATGCCACGATGACGCGCTAGATGGGTGTAGTCGGCTCGCAGCATGTAACAGATCTGAGCTAGGACGTGGCATTGGAGGGTTGGGAGTGAAGCATTGGAGGACGTCGAGTAGAGAGCTTTGCGCCATTGAGCCTCGTATGACGGAGTGTTCTTCTTTGGAGTGGAAATATTGGAAAGCGCTGCAATTTCAAAAATCAAGAATAGTTGAGCGTATGCTTGCTTATTGCTCTGCCAGTTGCCCGACTCAGGGTTGGCGAGGTACTGTTCATAAACTCGAAGGAACGTCGGTCGATGGAGAACCGGCATCAACGGTTGCCATTCCTGGAAGAAGAGATCTACTCGTGTTAGTAAGGTGCGCGACAATAGCAAAGGGCGAAGTAGTAAATAGACATACTTATGTATTGATCAGAATGAAGCCTTGGGGGTACTTTGGGGCCAGGGACAGTGGTTCGCCGCGTGGGCTGGATGACTTTCTGTAGGCCAGACGACGAGATTCCAGTCGTTTGCTGGCCAGCTTCTTGTACTTTCTGATCAAATGCCTCGACGAAGGAGGGCGTGGTCGAGGAACCAGTCGAAGTGGCCTTGGGCTGCACCGGTGCCGGGATTTCAACGTGCAACACCTCTTCTCTGGCGGATTCAACTTCAGCCTTGACCTGTGCGGCATGTGAAGGCGACAAAGATGCAGAGCACTTTCGAGAGGGAGGAGAGAAACTGTGGATGCGGGAGAGCATGTCGATCTTCTCATCCTTCTCGTCCAGCAGCTCCTTGAGCTCTCGGACCTCAGCCTCGAGGCCGCGAACACGGTCTTCCAATGATTCTGTGTAACCTCTGGGGAAAGCTCTGCGACTCAGCTTGTCGCTGGTCTTGCACTCGAAGCCGACATTGGCACACTGAGTACAGCATGGCCTCACGCCGTCGCACCGGATCTTCTTGCTGCGGCACCTGTCACAAGCTTGCGCAATCCTGCTCTGCGTACTGCTCCCCACGCGAATCATCTTCATCGGCAAGATGCCGGGCATCGTGGCAAGATATGTGAGGTCTGTGACCGGCGTTGCAAGTATTGCAGCTGCATATAAAGTACAAGAAACCACGTTTCGTCGTGCCGGGGGGGGGAGGGGGGTTGAGATTAAGGAAGGGCGTTTTCAAGCAGATGATTCAACAAATGTCCACAACTTCCAAGAGAACGAGGATCGGATGTAAAAGAAAAACAAGCACAGGGGCGAGAGCGAGATTATGACAACATGCCACCCCGCGACAGAAGAGAGTAGTTGGATGCGTATTCGAGGAAGATCAGGGCGAGGGAAGATTCGATTGGGTGAATTGCGTTGGACGGGAGGTTGGACAAGGGTACGGAGCAGAACCAAGCTGCAGGGAGGGCGGGATCTGGATGTCTGGGGGGGTGGTCTGAATGAAGTTTTTCTTTTCGTGTTCGAGTTGTGCAGGAGAAGTTTCGCAGTGTATTGGATTTGGGAGGAATTCGCTCCGACACGGCCAAAATATGAACTATAGGCCGCTCCCTGGCCACTGTGGGTGGCTTGGGGCTAGCCTGGGGATGCACATCGGGGCATGGAGCGAGGAAGGAACAGCGCGGGGTGTGAAAGTTTTGTTGAGACCCCGAGTATCAGCGCTCCGAGTCCAAGGGCTAGGCAAGTGCTAGGGAGCCTAGGAAGGCCTGGGAAACCCCTACGGGGCCTAGTGTCCCCAGGCCGGGCACCGGCTATTCCGCCCAGATTCCATCCAAGTGGCCTCAACGCATACGACATAGGCAGGCAAGCCATCATCCCCTTGGGTGAATTCTCTTCTTACAGGCTATCGTGCTCTTTGCTCGTTCCAGCTGGGTTCCATTTCCCCGCAGACGTCGAGCACCAACAAGTCACAAACAAGATCGGCAGAAGGGGCAAAAGGCCCCAATAATAGCGTTTTCGAATCGACCTTTCCGACGCAGCCACCTCAGTAAGATGGCTTGGGATCCAACCAAAGCGCATTAGTCGCCTCTGCTTCCATCCACCCGAGCAATTCCCGCCCAGAAGGGTCAGGTTCCCGACATCATGCGATCGATTTCCACCACTGAAAACGTATCTCGGCCTCGACTTGAATCGAACTACCGCTCCTCTTGCCTCGTTCGCTTAATTTGCCCAGTCTTGCTGTTGGTCTAGCGGAACCGCTCAAACACCACCATGAAGCAATTCAAAAGAGGTGGCAAGTGGCAATGATGTAGATGGGATCTGGGCTTTCATCACCTTTGGTAGCAGCACGTACATGGTGCTGCAAAGAGCCTTCATCTCAGCTCGAGGGTTGAATTGTCGTCGCTGGCTGTCACAGCACTGTCTCCGGCCCAGCACGAGTCTTGTCGGTCGCCCATGGACGAACGGAAGCCTGCGGAAAAACCCCAGTATGAGCCACATTGTCTACGACTCGATGATCCACCCTGTTGCAAGAGGTAAGGAGGGGCCAGCGATAAGTTCTGCCTGCCATGTCCGGATGTTAGATGCGTCGTCAGCCCACTCAAGTGCAGAAGTGCCTCAAAGCCGTACTTTGATTTGGTAGCTCACACCACTCAAACCATGCCTTCCGGGCTGACCCGCTTTAAAATGGAAGATGGAAGCCTGAATAAGCATTTCTTCGGTTGGGATCTCTGTCCATCTCGCATTTGAACCACGAGCCTGGTTTTACGAAAAGTCGTCTGGGGTTCCAGCTGGGGACTCCGTGTCGGCCTGGCCTTGTGCCAAGTAGTCACCGACAACCTTGGATTCCAGGAGTCCTGCCTTCTGTACGAGGTAGGGAATTAGAATACGCGCTAGTAACATATGCAGTATGCGAAGTAACGTACCTCTCTCTCAAGCGTTTCATAGGCCCTGGTCAGGAGCTTCATCTCCAGCCCCCGAAGTTTCCCGATGGGCCCATATACCGACTCTCTGACCTGATCACTGCGAACAGTGCTGATATAGTGATCTTCACTTTCTGCGAGTTGTGATCCTTGAGCTTCAATCCTTTCTTGCACCGTTACAACGGCCCGCAGGACGAATATGTCTCGGAGGCGGTCTTGAAGCAAGATGGACTGTAATGTGTCCGTGACAAGCGCCTTGTCTTTCCACAGAGCCTTCAGCTCCGCATCTCCGTCGATAGTCTGCTCCACTCGAAAATCTAGACCGTCTTCCTCGTTGACGCATGCCCACCAGACAAAGCTGCTCTCCCACCGTACCTGATCTGAGTCATCGACATAGATACGGACCCCTGGTGCTTCTTGCGCCAACCGGATCTTGGCCATTCGTAGAGGGTCGTCGGCTGGGATGGACAAACTGAGGAACATCTCCCTGGCACTGCTCGCGTGCTCTTCCAGAAACCCATAAGAAAATATCATCTCGCATGCTCCGCCGCACCCGTACATTATGGTAATCTCCTCTCCTTGTTGAACGATCCTGTCATCTCGGACAACGAGCAATATGGAGCCTGAGCCTTCATCCACCTCGAACCTGGCATTGTATCGGCGGTCGGAGGCATGATTGGCCATGTCAATGACAGGGACCATGCCAACGCCAGCATTGCGGGGCAGCTCCAGCGCACGAGAGCGATACATGGCATCTGCAAGTTTCCAATCTTCCAAGGTCAAGCAATCTGCACATTCACTCCACCAAATCTCTTGGCACCAGGGGATCTTTGCAGTTGCAGCTTTTAGATTGTCGAATTCCCGCTCCAGACTAATCAATTTCTGGTCCAGTGCTTCTGCGAGAGATGTGCCAATGAGTAATTTCCTCTCTTCAGCGGTGTAGAATGTCGGGAGAAGGATCTCGTGCGGCAGCAGTTTGACATAGCCGGCGAAAGGATTGTTAAACCCCAGCGCACGGCCCTGGGAGCTGGGAATGTTGATCGTCATCTGGTAGATGAGAAACAATAGCACTGCCGTCCGAGGATTCTGGTATTTAGGCCGAAGAGTCAGTGTGATGCAAAGATGACCTACCTGATGGATGCTTCAGACACGCTGTTGTCTAGGCCTACCTGGGACAAGGCAGCTGCTGCCTCGATGAGTTCTTTTAGATCCTGATCTGCTTTTGCATATTGCTCAACTCGCTCTTTTGACAAGACCAGTTCGCTGGGGACAGCAACAAGTGGCTCTCCCGGACCATGCTCGCTCTTTGCGACCAAGCCACCCCCTTTGTCGTTGCCATCTTCTCTCATTATGTGCGGTTCGATCGAAGCTTGGAAGAGCTGAACATCATTGAAATGAGCCCAAACATGCAGGTCCTCCAGCGGGAGCGCGACCTGCTTCATATTCTGGTCCTGGAATTTCAGTAGAACGTGACTTGGTGGTCTAGTGGTGCTGGCTGTTGGACATCGAAATATTGATCTATGGTGCCCCAAAGGTTGTCGTCGGAAAATGACGGAGACACTCTAGTTTCAAAGCTTGGCAAACGGCGGAGCATAACTGTCTCAGGTGCAACCATCCAGTCTTGAACTCTCGAGAAGTGAAGGCTCTCTAAGTTTGCCACTGGTGACGTCCTTGGTGACATTTCGTCCTCGAACTTGTCGACCCAAGGCCTTTGGGTGTCCTTGATCAACCGCGCCAGAGAATGAGGATGCAGGTCCCCTCGGTCACTTGGTCGCCCCATCTGATGTCTATGTCATTCGTTTATCTTGACGTGAGCCAGACCTGGCCGCCACCGCCGCGTCGCTGCTCCTCGTTTTTGAGACATGGTGGGCTTAATTTTGCCTCGATTGAATCCCATTTCTGACCTTTTCCTATCTGGGTGCCTGGTTGGTGTACGTAACTATTCGCAACGATGCAACCAGTGCCTTGTTAACTGACGGTGCTTGAATCCCGAGAGCCCAAAGCTGTGGTGTTGCCGCTACATACTCACTTTGATATCCTATTCGCCATCAATATTCAAGCTAGGGGATGAACTCAGCACGGTTGCGGTAACGAAGCCAAAGAAAAAGAGTACAGTCGTCCGTCTATTTCTCATCATTTTGGAGAAACTGGGGGATCAACACAACCCATTCCCAACTTGGCTTTCCCCATCTCTCGGTCCTTATGGATAGCAATGAGAGACTACTGCACCTCGGGGTCTCCGCCTTTCCCCGGCACAGCTGGGCAAAAGACAATGGTGACACCGCGGGACCGATCGCCAGATTTCTAATTGCAGCCAGCAATTCGGTTCTGAGCCAGCCTTGTCTCCACATAAGGGATGCAGCCTCGCTGTTCACTGATAAGGAAGGTTTTCCGATATCCAGCCTTGCCAACCCCGCATTTTCTAGACCTCTTTTTTTCCCTCATGTGTTCTCAAAGCTCTTTAGGATTGGTCGACGAACTAGCGAGTAGATTGATGAGCTTCAAGTCATCTGATCGGGAAGTGATCATTCTTGTAACACCTCCCTTTCTGCATGCTCGTGATCTTAGCATTTATCCCCCAAGAAGATGCAGTTGGTAAATGATGAAGAAGGAAGACGCCCGATGGAGAGGACTAATATCATGGTATCTCCAGACAGCATTCAGTCGACTCCAGATTGGTGCAATCAGAAGATCTTCCAACGCAATCGTCTGCCCCCTCGTTCCTACTATATTCCGGAGACGGCCATGTGCTTGAACGGGAAATGGTCCTTCAATTACTCTCCGAGCCCTCAACAGGCGCCTGACTGTAAAAGATTCAGCACGAATTCCCCATACGATCTAAAAAGGCAGGAGGTTTCCTGGGCCCCCATCAATGTTCCAGGCCATTGGCAATTGCAGGGTTATGGCAGACCTCATTACACAAACGTCGTCTACCCCTTTCCCGTCTGTCCACCTGATGCACCAACCGAGAATCCCACTGGAACTTATTGTCGAGATTTCGATCTCCCCTCCACATTCAACGAGTCTAGTCAGCTGAGAATGAGGTTTGACGGAGTCGACAGCGCGTTCTATCTGTGGCTGAATGGAGTGGAGATTGGCTATGCTCAAGGGAGTAGAAATCCGGCAGAATTCGATGTCACAAGGCACGTGGTGAGAGGCAAACCCAACCATGTCCTGGTCAAAGTTCTCCAATGGTGCTCCGGAAGCTATATCGAAGATCAAGATCAATGGTGGCTCTCTGGCATCTTTCGCGACGTGCATCTAATAGCATTTCCAGGTCGGACACGAATCGATGATTTTTTCATCAGGACGCATCTTGATGGAAAGTACGAGGACGCAGAATTGGACGTTGACCTCGATCTGGTGTTGGATGATGATTGCTGCCTGTCCTTGACACTTGGGGATACCGAAGGCAGAACTATCAACAAGGAGGAGCATATCCTCATTTCAGCAAGATCTACAAAATACTCACATTCGATCAAAGTCTCGAATCCACGCAAATGGACTGCAGAGACACCTTATCTCTACCGGTTAGATATATGCCTTTGCCCAGTCAAAGATGGTACTACTCCGATTCACTCTATCCACCACCGTGTCGGTTTTCGCTCCGTTGAGCTCAAAAATGGCAACATCTGCGTCAACGGAAAAGCCATTCTATTCCAAGGCTCGAATCGTCATGACAACCACCCGCACGTCGGCCGAGCGGTATCACTCGACTGGGTTCGTCGCGACCTCCTGCTTATGAAGAAGCACAACATCAATGCAGTGCGATGTTCTCATTATCCCTCCCACCCTGGACTCCCTGGCCTGTGTGATGAATTGGGTTTGTGGGTCATTGACGAAGCAGATCTCGAATGCCATGGCTTTGCTACTGCAGCCGCTTTAGGGCTCAATCTTGACGCCCTGGGTTACGATGAGAAGGTACAACGTACATCCAAAGACGCTGCAGATTACACCTCTGACAACGTCGAGTGGGAATCTGCCTATCTTGATCGGATGCACCAGTTGGTTGAACGGGACAAGAACCATCCAAGTGTTATCATCTGGTCGTTGGGCAATGAAGCATTCTACGGCCGTAATCACGCTGCCATGTCCAAGTGGGCGAAGCAGCGTGATGCTGGCCGCCTGATACATTACGAGCCAGACTGGCAAGCCAAGTCCACCGACATGATATCTCACATGTACACATCTCCTGCAGACTTGAAGAGGGAGGCAGAGTCCGAGGGCGATGATTTCGAGAAACCCATCGTCCTCTGTGAATATGCCCATGCAATGGGTAACGGTCCAGGGCTTTTGGGCACGTACCGATCCCTCTTCCGCTCTCACAGACGGCTTCAAGGAGGATTCGTCTGGGAATGGGCGAACCACGGACTCTGGAAAGAAGATGCCGACGGTAAAAAATACTATGCTTATGGTGGCGACTTTGGAGATGTGCCGAACGATGGCACATTCGTCATGGACGGGCTGTGTCACAGTGACCATACACCCACTCGGGGCTTGGTAGAACTGAAGAAGATATACGAGCCAATTGAGGCCATGCTTGACGGGACAGATCTCATTTTGCGAAACCATTACGACTTCATTGGATTGGAACATGTCAGGGCGGAGTACGACGTCCAAGCTTGTACGCAAGGGTTGGTTAATCCTGCCCCAATTTCAAATGATAACAGGGCTTCACCTAACGACCCCCTGAACAGGACCAAGCTCATTGCGGCCGGAGTACTAGCCATTCCCGCAGTCCCACCAGGCAAGGAAGGAAGAATCCATCTTCCAGATGATGTCTTCAAGAACAAGACTCCCCACGAATGCTGGTTCACGGTTTCATTCCGGCTGAAAAGGGACAAGCGATGGGCAAAGGCCGGCCATGTGATAGCGTGGTATCAGACTCAACTGAGCAAGCCCGCCACAAATCTCAAGTCATCCTTCACCAGCGTTCTCTCTTCCGAGCACGGAAGCAAAGTAGGGACAACTTCATCTCCCGCTTCTTCCAGCGCGCCAGTGCTCACCTTCTCCTCAACCCATCTGGACTACAAAATCTCCAACTCCACAACCACCATCACCTTCGACCGCGTCCGCGGGCAGATCTCCTCGTTCACCCACAACTCCAACCCAGTGCTGTCCGACACCCGTGTTGAGAGCGACAACCCGGCCTCGCCCTCCCCGTTGCTCTCTCTGGACTTTTGGCGACCACCTACCGACAATGACGTTGCATGGCAGACGGGCGAATGGAAAAGATACGGTCTGCATATGATGACAAGTCGGTTGAGGAGGTTCGAGGCGAGCATGCAGCCGAGTTCGACGCCCTCGACAAGGATCAACGCGGATTCGGCGGACGAGGTCGTGGAGGTTCCGGTGGTGACATTGAAAGCCGAGCATTCTCTCTCCCCACCAAGTCTGGCCTGGCATTTTGATGCTATTACTACCTACACTATCAGCACCGCTTCGACTGCCAGTCCCAGCAGTAGCAACCACGTCGACTACTCCTCGACCGCAGGTACGGAACCTCGACTGACGATGCAAATCCACACGCGCCTTATCCCGCATGGCTCGCACCCACGCAACCTGCCCCGGATCGGCCATTGCATCCAACTCGCACCTCAATACAAATACGTAAAATGGTTCGGCCGCGGGCCGCTAGAGTCTTATAATGACAAATACCTCTCTCAGCAGGTGGGGATCTGGGAACGCAAAATCACCGACATGGCACAACACTACGAAGTACCCCAGGAGAACGGGAACCGAAGTCAAGTACGGTGGTGCACGGTATCGGCGGTACCGTCAGAGGACGGCCCTCTCTTTGCAGAGGTTGGAGACGGCAACAACGACAACGACGGTGCCGACGGGAAGGCAAGGCAAGGTCCTCTAACTAGCGAAGTCATCCCAGTCCCCATCTTCGGCGCAACGTACCTCCCAGGCCCCAATGCCGAGCAAGATCGTCCACACATGCAATTCTCCACGCAGCTTTACGACGCCGCAACGCTCGCCAACGCAAAGCACCCATGCGACCTGCTCGAGCCGGGCAAGAGGAGGAACGGTGCCCTGTGGCGCCTCGACGCGGACGTCGCTGGCGTAGGCACCGCAGCGTGTGGGCCTGGAACGGAGGAGAAGGACCAGGTGCTGTGCCGTGAGATGGAGTGGACTTTGGTTCTGCAAGTTCTATGAACGAGGACACTGTCAATTTGGGCCCTATCAATCTTATCCATAGGGGCGGGGAAGGGCAAGGGAAGCGGAAAAGGAAAAGGGAAAAAAAAAGACAAAGAGAGGAGAGCCCAGAGGACAAATGACTCCGGACCTATGTATGTAGCGCCCTAGGATCAAATCTTCAATGTGGCTCTTCTCTCCTCGTCATGCTTCCTTGCCCAAGACACGAGAGAAAAGATCGGTACGGAGGACATATTACACGGTGCAGAGAGGCACCCCAAATAGGGGAGCAATGTCCGAGTGAGGACCTCGTACCCCGTACTGCCCATACTACGCGGGCGCTACGTAGTACGTACATAGGTGCTAGGTTCATACAGTAGATACCGGTTGTCGGTTAGTGAAATGGTTCGAGGAAGCGAAGGCCGATCGCCTGCGGTTTAAGATTGGGCGTGTTTCTTTTTGCTTTTCATTCTTTCTTCTTTTGGAGAGAACAAAACTCGGCGAAGACTAGGCCGCCGTCATCAGGTGCATGCACGCTTCTCCTTTATCTTGATGGCGAAGCAGGACAGACGCAGTACCGAGTATGGAGCGGTCTCTGGAATCTGGACCTCCTCGCACAAGTACATACCGAGTAGAGTTGATAACGAGACGCACGTGTTCCCATTGTACATGATACGTGTGATACAGGTTGCTAGTTGCGAGCATGACATCCCCCTCTATTGATATTGTACACTATTGCTACGTCTAGACAAGCATGTTGGATAGTGGGGCACAAAGGACGCATGCGGCCGAATCCGACTTCGAGAGTTTCTTTCCAAGTTTGAGTCTTCGGATATCAGGCCGATCCCGTTCTTCAAAGCATCCACTTCATCCGTATATCATAATCCAGGCCCGTGCAAGGAGTAAAATGGCACCGCAGCTGCTCCAAACTTGGCCAGATCGAGTTGGCTCCCACAGTTATATGTCGAGTCTGTATGGAAATGACCAGATAAGCGTGCAACTGTTGATATTTCCACAGGTGCCAGTGCCTTGGTTATTTCCGTTCCATATCCGATGGGAGGAACATCTTCGAGATGGAGCCGAAGCCGATGAAGTCGGCGGTTTCCGACCAATAGAAGACCCAGAACCGGACCAAAATTGTCGCAGTGGCACGTTCCACTCCATATGCTCTTGAGATCTGTTTCTCTGATATGCCAAGTATCCAACAAGACTTCGTCTGCCACTGTAGATCCTGAAGGCTCCACCACGCTCTAATCTAGCAATGAAAAACGCGTAAGGAAAACCAGACGTCAACGCCGGGTATGATATGCGATACGAAAGCAAGTAGATCGTAACATGTACAGGGAGATATAGTTTGGATAGTTTGCTTAGTTGGAGATGACATAGGTTGCAGTGCCCGATATAACCGCGACCTACAACAAAGTCAGCCTTGCGCGGCAATAGCCAGAGGGGAGGGAAATTAACTTACAGTGCATCCTTGTGAATTGCATCCGCTAGCACCACAGTATTGACCGTTGGAGTATTTGCAAGATCCAGACAAGTTACCCTTCAACTCAACAGTACCTTGATACTGAGTGCTGGTTGTTGGGGAATTTTGGAAGATTGATAACCAGGTCACACCTCCCTTGGCACCCACGCCAAAGTTGATGGGGGCATAGTTACCAATATTCTGGCCAGGTGATCCCCATTGGCAGCCTTGAGCGGCAGACACTCCGATAGGATTCAAGTAATACTGGGCAGAGGTCGATTGTCCTTGCCATTCATAGTAGCTGGCAGCATCAGGAACGGTCAACTGTTCTGTTTCACCAGGTTGGAGTTCGACTGGAATGGTTTCAGACTCAGTCCCAGGGTAATCGGTACGGCAGATTGCGACAACACCGCCAGCGTTGTTAGTAGCTTGAACACCACCAACACCGGCAATACAAAGGTTGTTGGAGAGACCAGGGTTGGTCAAGTGAAGCTTGCCGCCAGAGCAAGAGAGGCCGCCAACAGATTGACCGGTGGCTCCTTGAGTCGAAGGCCACTGGGATTTCTGGTATCCTGGAGGGCAGGCATAGGAACACATCATTCCCTCCGTGCAAGTCTCGCCCGACACACCGGTCACAATGTGGTTAACGAAGCCACCGGCAATGGTAACTGCTTGCAAGCCAGACCAGCCACCCATTCCAAGGTAGTCGAGAGAAATGGCACCGTACTGCGAGGGGAAAGTGCTGCAATCGAGTTGACCGTCCGGGAATGGTGCGTTGATACCAGTGCCGCCAGAGGATACAGACGAAGATTGAGTCGGTGCTGAGCTGGAACTTGCAGATTCACTTGGACTGGACCAATCTGACGAAGATGGTTTCTGGAAGAACTCTGCTGGTGCAGAGGAAGACGCAGGTGCCGACCAGGTAGTGGTCGAGGGTGCAGCGCTCGATTCGGTCGAAGTTGAAGAAGCTGAAGACCAGGTACTTGTTGAAACCTGCGAGCAAACGCCGGGATCTTGACCATCCACGAACTTCAATTCATGGCCCTCCAGACCGTCGCACACTTCTCCAGCTGAGAGCTCCTTGCCATTGAGCATATACACGTAGGCGGTTGGGCCCGCCGTCCAAGCGGTCTCGGTGACATCCCGCTCCTTGTGCTCGTGCATGCGTCGATGTTTGTGGACGTGAGGTTGGGCGACAGTGGCCGTGGCAGCGACTGCCGTCAAGGCAATCGAGGAGAATCTCATGTCGACTGCGTTGGGATTGTCGAAACGAGTGTACGCAACAGTCTTTCAAAGACTAGCAATTGGGGAAATTGTCAACGAGTGTATAGGTAATGTCCAACTGCAAAAGACGAATCTGTGTTGGAAGCACGACCCGCGTGTTAGCTCTTTGTCTGATTCCAATGTTTGCGGAGAATGAATTTGCCAATGAAAGAGGTGAAGGAAGCAAGGGATGTTCGAGGCCGTTTGCAGGGTCAGGAGGGCATACAAAGCCAGAGACTCATATGATCAGTGCTGGAATGTTGGACACGGAGGCTCGAGTGCCAGCTGGGCTTTTCGATAGGGATGGAAGACAGGGAGGAAGTTGGCGTTTAGGTCAAGGGATCTGTACAAAGGAGTGAACGAGAGAAATGTCTCTCTGGTAATGAACGTGGGCCAACTGAGGGCGGGTGGGAGAGAGATGAAGAGGATAGAGAGATGGACAGTTGTGGTGGACGAGAGAGAGAATGCAGTGTTCAGTTTGGTGTGCAATGGAATATGCAGGTTGGGAAAGAAATGGGAAAGGGGAGACGACCGACGCAATTCTGGGCACTGGCGTCTCTTTGGGTGATTCCTATGTGTCTGGGGGTGGCCCAGCGGCCGTTCAGGAACAGGTAAAGCCTGGAGCGCACCCCTGCACCCGGGCCACTGCTGGTGGTTGGCACCAAAGAGGCGCCCCTGCTGGTCAATGGCCTGCGCTGCACCACAAAGAAATTGCTGCTCCACCATGAGGCGCCCTCGATCGCCCGCTAACAAAGCTGGCTGCTTTCCCAAGGTAGCTATCCCTTGTCCCAGATCGCAGCCCCGTCTGTCATTGGCTTGGGCCTTGCTTAGACGAACGAGTCTGAGAACAAAGCGACAACCGTCGAGAGGCCGACAACAACCGCCCATCCACCGTCGCTGCTGGCCTGGGTTATCCTGGACGCTCACTGATCAGAGTGACCAAGCGAGAGTGGTGATAAGGTATCAATCAACACAACTTGATTGCGGAGGTGACAAGGAAGCTAATCATCTCCCTACAGACCCTGCTAAGCTCCTCCGCATCCCAAAACAAGCAGCCCATTGATTGAGGCCATGCAACTTCTACCAGTCCTCATACGCATGCAGTGCACTCGCTTACCGGATCCCAAATTTCCCATTCGCACACAACAAGAAATGGTCGTTGCGTCCAGCAAGTAGCAGCGCACCTCTCTACTTGCAGCGACTTGAGTTGAACCAAGGGAGCCGCCGAGGGTGTAAGATAACAAACCAGGACCTTTGATTTCGTCTATGTATATATGTAGGTACGTGAGATCAGGATCGTTTCTCTCAATGTTGATTCATTTGCTGCTCTTCCATATACTGTAGCAAACGCGACCAAATCATTCGTCATCCAGCTGGAATGAAGTGACCCGCAGAATGGGGCCCATGGACATGGGAGCTATCTCGAGCCATTCTTCAGGCTCTGATCTCGAGCAGACCCAATTCAAGGTTTCTCCTGCGCGGACAAGACAACGCAACCATCTTCGTGTACCATGACTTGGTTACTATTGACCGAGCTGTGCTACCTACCAGCAACAAGGAAGCAAATTCCCTGTGAGGCTTGAGCGACGCAGCGGGCTCTTGCCAAAATGCAAAGGTACCACCAATTGATGCTTGCTCGAAGATGCCACAAGTTGATTGCTTGCTACAGGGTTAACCACGCGTCTGGCAGCGGAGGACGCAATGCAACCTCCCATCTCCACACTTCATCTCTTTGGCGAGCGGACTTGAAGCGGAATGGATTGGTACGAGTTGCGGCGCGCAGGGAACATTGCCTCCTGCTGCATCCTTTCGGGCTCAGAAATCACCGTAGCCATCAATATCTATTCATACTATGTATTATGTACCCCGTACAAGTCCTCCATACTCGGTAGATCAAGCAGCGCGCCACGGCCACAATGGTCTCCCTACTTACGAAACCCCCCAAGCCACGAGTCCACGACCCGTTGCATCGTGGCTCTCGGTAAAGGTTTTTGTTTCTGGAACCAGTGGGGAGAGGGGGAACCCTGAGAAAAGCGGCCTGTCTCCGAGTGTTTAGGTCAAACAGCGCCTCAAACTCTGGTCTGAGGAGGTCACTCACCAGCCTACTAAATTAAAACAAAGATTTGGCGGCGTCGGTCCTTATCGATTGTCACCCAACCACAACCGCAGAGTGGCACAACCTTCTCCGGCGCCTCTCAAAGGGCTCCAGCCGCCGTCTTGCTTGTCCTGTTTCACCCTTCCAGCACTTGCACGCTCCTGCAATCTTGGACACCGACGCAAGCACTTTAACCTTTTGGATCCCGGAAGAGCTGTCACTGTCGCACTGAAGCACAGGAGGACCCAGCAAAGAAAAGATGGTGGCTGGGGAATTTGAAGGGGACGTAGGTTGCCAAAAGCCCAGATCTCCAAGCGAGAGATGACTTGCAGCACGGGCAGCGCCAGCAACAGCAAATCTTCCGAGCCACACGGCTTTCTCGCCTCTTGCGCCTTTTGCGCCTCCTCTATTCCGGGCTGGCTGAGGCTGACAGATGATGGCCTACCCAAATACTTTCAAGACGACGACGGACTACCGAGTCCTCTGTACTCTCCCAATAATGGATCATGCAATGCCTCCAACACATTTTCCTGACCCAACCCATGACACCGGGGTCAAAGAAACGAACAGATCGATGCAGCTGTCTGCTCTGTGCCAGCACCGCTGGACGGACAGGCGAGAAGAAACTCCATTGGAAGTCGCATCAAGACAGTCCGTATTTTTGATCGCTCTTGAAGACGCTCAAGACTTTCCGGACGAGGAGAGCTTCTGTGCATGGAAACATTGTCGGACAAGCTTGTTATAGAGAAAGACAGACAGAGAGGCGGATACGGAGACGGAGTGGTGGTGATGGTTATTGAATGCACTCTGTGCCGTCAACTAAACTAGCTTTAGAGCACCGCTTGTCGTGACCTCGAGCTGTGGTCTCTCGTTTCCATAGAACCAGATTATGCACATATAGCAATACAAATACAACAGTGCCTGTATGTAGGCATAGTCAACACAGGGTCGTATCACGACATGACAACCTCCCTCTTAGCTATGGTGCTCAAATGCTTGTCAACCCATCCGCCCAGCGTCTAAACACCGCCGTCAAGAAGTGTTACGAGCACTGTGCATCATTTGATATCTCGCGCGTATGCCCTGCACAAGAAGGAAGACACGCTATCCTCCGGCGAATTCAAGCAAAACCGCGGCTGCCATTCTGGTCAAAGTGAAGCCTCGTCTTTCCCAATCTGGGCAATATCTCCGTGCAACTCTTTTAGGCACACAGGGCGAATAGATTTAGGGGCAACTTGGCCAGGCCTATCACTCACAAAGGATCAGTGTTTCTCGGGTGAATTTGATCAAAACGAGGACTCCGACGCTCGTTAGGGCAGTAATGGTTAAACAACCCTTTGGACAATGCACCGGATTTTCCGCAAAAGGATGCAGAATCGAGTGCTGTCTGCCCTTATGATACATGGATATTGCATTTGTTACTTCTTCTCGTAGTTGGTTGAAGATATCGCAAGCACCACAACAAAACTCGCGATGATGAGCGAACCCGTAACAAAGGACACGGCGAAAATGCTTCCGCGACTCGCTGGGAACTTGCCACGTATGATCCAATGCTGGGCCTCGAAGTAGCGATGGAAGCCGATAAACAAGATGACAACGGAGACGCCAATGAACGTCGCTCCCAGCGGCTTTCCAACATGGCGCAGTTTCGTGGCGGCGACATCGTTTAAGGCAGCAATTTCAACGCCAGTTTCACCCGAATAGTCGTTAGAGGTTGCAGATCCGCCAACATCGCGCGGCGGGAGGAGAAGCAGTTGGTCCAGGAGAGTAGGGCCTAAAGTAGGTATCGGCGGCGGCGTACTTGCAACCGATGCAGCGATCTGTTGAAGAAAGGGCAGGAGCTCGTCTGGCAAGGAGTGTCCGACGAGCGGTGAAAGAGGCAGCGCCTGCCGTACGCTGAGAGACTCGCTGCGACTCTGAATGGCGGTGTTGAGACGAAACAGCTGGGTAATGGCAATGCCAATGCTCGCAAATGCTAGGCTGGTCCGCAGCCAGGCGAGGAAGGTTCTCTCGAGGGCAAGATGGTCCCGGGCCACGGATCCTTTGTTCTCCAGTGTTACCGAACCATATTTTTCCGGAATCTTCTTCAGCCACGCCGGCGTCCAAGCGCGTTTAGGCTCTTGCTGCGCGCAATCTTGTTCCTCTTCCTGACCGGAGCCTGCGAGAGTCGTCGATCCGAGAGTTGAAGACCCGACAGTGTTTGGAGTAGCCCTTTCTTCGGTAGTGTTGTACCGACGATCTAGCTGTCCGTCGGCCGTTCGAATGGGAGTGATCTCATCCGACTCGGTTGGGTTTCGACGATAGGACGACATGGGAGGTTGGGAGGGGGCTTTGGTGTTCTCGGAAAAGCGAACGCTAGACTGCCGCCTTGGAGGACGAGGCTGCGCTGAAGACTCCGGAGTTATGTCTGAAGAGGTGGAAAGGGATTCTGGAGTGTCATTGCCGTCGTGATTGTGCGATGCCATAGCTTCATAGCGCAATCGAAAAACGTACAATGTCCGCAGCCCCAGAAGCGAAAAGGGTCATGTCAAGAGTTTGGATGGGGACCCCGGTTAGCGATCCTTGAATTTGAGAGTCTGATAGCATTCGGGGGCTGAGGGACATCAGGTCGGCAGAAAATAAGAAGCAATGATTGGAGATGTGCAGTTCCAAAAAGAAGAAGTGGCTACGACTGAAGCTCAGAACAGCAAATAGGCGTCGATCATGCAGTCTTGCAGGTAGCGGTGAAGCCGATTGAGAAGGATACTTCAGGTCTGTTGGGAAGATGGCGCGAGCTGCAAGTATTATGCCAGAATCCAAGGTATGGCGTGATTTAAGGAACACGGCGTCGACTTTGTAAAGTGCATCGAAAACGCGTTGCAGAGGTCGAGACTCGAAGACAAAGATGCTCTTCTATAGCCGCCATCTCATAGTGCCTTAAGCTGCGCCCCAGGTTCTTTTAGACGACGCGTGACCATGCGGATGAGATCATTATTAGGACGGCAAGGCTAGTGGGCGACGCGCCGCCCACTGAGACTCTCTCTTTTGGTGGGGAAGAAGCACCCGAGTTGTGCCTAGGTAGGCGAGCCAAGTAGAAAAATAAGTGGTGGAGTCTGACAAAGAATGGACTCGGTACCTACTCGGTAATGTACGTCGTAGCGGAAGAGTACTGGGTACCCAGCAAGCCAGCCACAAAGTGGCCGCCGTGTCAAGTACCGAGTATAGCTAATAGTGTCGATAAAGAATAGAGCTCTAATATCTCTCAAGGTAAATTGAATGTGCTTATGAATGAAGGTCATTTTCGATCCAACAGCGGGGGGACTTTATGTTTGCTACCAAGACTGTTTCATCTGACAGCGCTGTTTATTTTTCCTTTGGGCTCGCTAGAATTGACATCTACTAGGTATACTTGATACTCCATCATCAATATCACAATACCGCAGAATGACATCCTTTGATAAAAACCTAGGCTCGACAGACCAGAAGGATCAACAAAGGTCATTCATCTCCCAATGCTCTCAAGGCTGCTGAAAACGGTCGAGCCGGTGACCTTGGGCCTCTTGGATGCGGTCGTGAATTTTCCTCGGACACATGGAAAGGTTTGGTCGTGCTTGCGAACCGGTCCCCGTCTTTACCGACTATACAGGTGTTGATCGATCATGGATGGGGCATCGATATGCCGGAAAGATATTTGGCTCCGCTGTTCCTGGAGTAAGCATGTACCTGCAGGGGACATGATCACAAGCTGAGTGATCTGGGTACGCTATCCAACAGGGTGCCAGCGACGAGGTTGTCCACTGGTTTCTTGACCATGGCGCTGACCCTGATGCGTATGCCGGAAAATATCAAATTACACCACTTTCTCGTGCTGTTCAGTTCGCCTCGATTGATACCGTCCGGTTACTCGTTGATCATGGTGGCGACGCGACAAAAGGCGAAGATGTCTACCACGTCCGCAAAAGGGACAAAAATAATCCAGCGACTCTGCCAATATTGACCCTGCTTCACGAGAGAGGTTGGCCCCTTCGACCATGCGCTTTCGGAAACGTTCCCCGACCTTGTGGACGTGACCATGTTCCATGGAACCGCTTCATGGACTTCTTGTGGAATTGGGAATACTGCAGTAGCACAAGTTCTGCTACAACATAGTGCGAGACCAGAGAGAAAGCCAATCGTTTCACATCGTTTGCCGCTGGATATAGCAAGAAAATACGGGCACCTGGAGATTATTCATAATATGTTGGAAAGCTCCGCAGGGTAGTACCAAGTGAAGGATTTGGCTTTCGAAAAGACAAAGAGATGTAAAGCTACGAAAATCACACCTTCTATCAGGTCTTGTTTCTAACGGAGGTCGTTTCTGGATCTCTCTCGGATATTTGAGAGACTCTACCAAGTACTTGGCGCGTACAGGGTCGTCCTGCACGTACAAATGGTGTCGGAAACGTCATGCGAGCTTGAAAAGAAAAGCGGACTGCGAGATCATTGAGCGTGAGAGATATTATCCAGAAACTGCCTTGTCCGAACACTGGTAAAAGTTGGCTGGGTGTTGTGACTGATTTTGCGTCTCGTCAGTCGGGAAAGCGAGATGCGTCATAACCTAAATCCTCAATACGAGTAATTTATATTCCACTGACACTGCACGTTAACATCGGTCTACATATAGAAGTCACTCTAGGCACTTGTACTTCTTTGAAAGGGTTTCATATTAGGTGGCTCGCGGGGTAGCTCTGGAAAAGGGCATCTCCTAAGCAACCGAGGGCGGGCAAGCAGTTTCCGGGATTCACGCCACCTGCGAAAACTGCGCTTCTTACGATGGATTGCTGGGGAGAACAACAGACTTGAATACCACTTTCAACATAGACACTTAGCACCATGGCACCCGAAGAAACGACCAAACACAGCAATGCCGGCGGAAATGCTGATAGCCAAAATGAGAAGCTGTCTCATACAATCCCCAAGTTGATTCCTGGGTCTCGAAGGAAATCATCTCAGCAGCCTGCCCTTTCAGAACCTGCTCCCCAGACACCTGCATTACCTTCCCCCCCATCGATCGAATCTGTGCATTTCACGACGCCAGTCAAGCGGATTCTGTCGCCCTCGGATCATGAGAAGTTCCTTGCCTCGCCGACGTACGTGCTGGTACTGGCATGGATCTTCACCCTGGCCGACTGCGTCCGCGGTCGTCGAATTTCCTCGCTCGATTCTCGATGTTTTTCAAACACCATCAAGGAACTTGACAGGGTCCTCGACATCTTGGAAGGAATGGTAAAACAATATCCTCCTCTCGACACGGGATCGAGATTTGGCAACCCGGTCTTTCGCAGTCTGCACAAAGCCATTGTAAGAGATGTGGACAGGATACACAAGGAAGTACTGGGACTGCACAATGAGGATGCCATCAAAGAGATCTCTGTCTATCTGATCAATTCATTTGGTTCCGAGGAGCGACTGGACTATGGGTCTGGACACGAGCTGAATTTTATGATGTGGTTGTTGTGTCTGTACCAGCTCAAGCAGATCCAACGAGAAGACTTCCCTGCGATTGTAATGCACACTTTCGTCCGATATCTCAACCTCATGCGCAAGATCCAGAGCACATACTATTTGGAACCTGCAGGGAGCCATGGCGTCTGGGGCCTCGACGACTACCAGTTCTTGCCCTTTTTGTTCGGTGCAAGCCAGCTGGTCGGGCATGCCTATATCACGCCCAGGTCAATCCACAACAACGTTGTCCTGGACGAGGAAGGCAATGACTACATCTACCTCAACCAAGTGCGGTGGGTCGACAGCGTCAAGACTGTCAAGGGCTTGCGTTGGCACAGCCCCATGCTAGACGACATCTCAGGTGCAAAGAGCTGGCAAAAGGTGGAAGACGGCATGCGGAAAATGTTCGTCAAGGAAGTCCTGGGCAAATTGCCCATCATGCAACACTTCCTTTTTGGGGGCCTAATACCGGGCACTGAGGACATGGGCCAACTGGACGAAGAGACACTTCGGGCGCAGGCGGAGAGAATGCAGCATGTGAAGGACTTCGGACACGAACCTGACTACTGGGGCGACTGCTGTGGGATCAAGGTGCCTAGCACGGTCGCAGCGGGAGAAGAGATGAGGAAGCGCATGGGCACATCGGGCGCGCTCCGCCCAATACCATTCGACTAAGAAGCACATGACGGGCGATAGCTTTCCATACTAATCGAATCGGCAGTGAAAAGCGGGAAAGCCTGCTTCACTCTTTCAACCTGACCTGGGCGTGAAGGAAAGTCGCCCTGCATCCTGCATGACCACGAACATGCCACTGTGTGGTGGGAGACTGGGCGAATGAAGATTTGCGGCCCCCAGGCAGCAGATGGCTGCCAATGCCCGTCTCCTCCACACTAGCAGCCGTGGGAGCTTTTGACCAGTTTTCGCCCAACCTTGTTGTATCTGAAGGCCGGTAGGCTCTCTTTCGGCACATTCTCTGTGCTTGTCCCTCCAATTACGGGCGCAACTCGTGCGAATGCAAAGAGAAGTCCGGACTCTCACAGACAAGAAGAGGATGAGGGCCTGGAGTCTGCCTTGTGAGCCTGACAAGGCCCGGGTACCAGCATGTGGTGATCCGCGTAGCCTCAACTTTCCATGCTTCAAATGTGCTAGTTATTGCAGTGCACGGTGGTTCCGACCTTTGCAAAGAGCTTCTTTCACACAATCATGGACACATGGCTTTCAGCCTTGTCCGGTTTCCAATGCCTGTGTCCCACTCCCTCAGCAATGCTTGAGGATTGGCATCCCAAGTGACGAGGGGTAACCATCAAAGTGTCGACCTGACTGCTCTCTCACTTCCTTGACCACTACTTCACCTTCACTTCTTCCCTTTTCGTTGTGAAGGGTCCTATCAGGCAGTGGCTGGCAGGTTCGTCAAGCTATCCTAACCTAGAGCACATCGCGACTCTTTGGCCCCTGGCTCAACTGACCGCGCCCATCTGATCCCACGCTGTCCACCCTCGAATCAGTCCTCTCTGCCCCTCCATCGCAGTATCGTTATCGCAAATCATCTCCAACTAGTGAGGATCTCGATCAAGATGGGCAAGAAGTCGAACCGTTTCTTGGGTTTCACCTCTCCTCCATCTCTGCCCAGGCACCCATGGATCTATGTCAATGACCCGACGACCAACACTCCCCATGTCTCCAGTCTCAAGGGCATCATTGGTGATTGCAGCATCTTGCACCGCTCAAATGACGGAGACGCCAACTTCGAGGCCCGGGAAAGGCTTGCTGCCAGTCTTGACACGCTCAAAGACGACGCCTTTGGCGCCGGCCAGAACGTGATGCTAATCACCGAGAACCTCGCAGACTCCAAGACTACTGACAAGCTCGAGACCGCTACCACGATCCGCGAGCAGGCCATCAAGGGTGGGCGCAACTTTGCCAGTGTGAATCTATACCTTCAGGATGGCACAAAGGAGAATGACAAGGCGACATGGGGACCAAATCATCTTGAATTGGCTATCACGAATATGACGGTCAGGGAAGTTGCGCAAAAGATCTATAGCTGGCTGTGTACGCCTCTACCAACTCCAGTGCATCGTTTTCTACCTAGATTGACTCTGAACTTACATTCTTCACGAGGTTTCAGTCACCGTCCTCTCCCCGACCGAGCATGTCCATCTCCTCCCGATTGCCAAACTCCAGGCAGTCGACAAGCAGCACTTCGCAGACTACGACTACTGCGCGATTGCTGATACCAAGAGCCACTCAAAGGATGCCAAGATCCAGTTTGTGGCTGTTATCGTCACGAAGCCCGTCGTCATCCCGAACACCCAGCGTCTACAATGGACTGTGGCGGACAAGTCTGGCTTGGTAAGTTTCACTACGCCTCTCCAGCCTGTGCCCTTCCAACCGCTGGCACTGACAAGGCTTTCACAGGGAAATTTCTACTTCCAATACCGCGGCGACACTTCCCAATACACTTGGGACTGGGTCCTTGCCCTCAGACCAGGTGACATCAAAGCCCTTCCCCGCATGCCAATGATTCAAGTCAAGGAATCCCGCCGCGTACGCATCGCCAAATTCCCGCTCCGTGCTGCAGGCTCCGCGATCTCCGGAGTCGGCCTCGCCCTCAAGACCGTTGGTCATGGCGTCGCCAAGCTCGGCGATATCACTTCCATGGGGAAGTCCTCTGAGTGGGTCCCTTCGGGTGATGTTGTCGTCGCCAAGGACGGCAAGATGAAGAAGATCGACTGGTCAGCGACATTCGAGAAGGAAAGCAAGGACAGAACGGCCAAGGTGAAGGCGGCCATGAAGAAAGAGACCCCGCCGAAGGAAAAGCACAGTGAGGCGGAGAGTGACAGGAGCACCCTGAGATGGAGCGAGTATGAGAATGAGAAGGCCATCATATCGGAGAAGGAATTCTGCTAGGATTTCGACGAGCACGAGGCGAGAATCTCCGGTGGATGCTTCGGTGGTTGAGGAGTTAGGTGAGAAAGGAGTTCCCTGACGACGTTCAACGCGAAGGCCGGACAGATGTCGCTCTTGCTCTGTTTCATGCTTTGTGCAGTGTGGGCACCATGCAGAGCTCTCCGCGGGGTTTCAATCTGACCGCGACTGCACAGCCGGATACACATCGAATGTTGGACGGCGTGGCGGTCACAATACGTTGCGAACGGGCACGGTGAGTGGCGTTTGATTTGAGCTGGATGATCAAGGAATAAGAAATTTAAGTAGGCTACACCGCAAGCTTCACAGGAGATGACGGAGAGACGCATAATGGAGAGGTGCTTGGTCTCGAAGAAGAATCAAATCCCATCCATTCGATTAAGAAAAATCCAGCTCCATGTCAATTAGGTCTGTCAATCTCGTCATAAATCGGGGCTCTCCTTTTCGTCTCGTCTTGATGCCTTTTCTATTTTGATGAATAGGTCCATGGGCGTATTCGAAAGATCCAGACCAACCATGTGGACGGGAAAGGGGGAAACGTAAAACGGGCAAAAAAAAAAAAAAAAAACGGTTAGGTAAAGAGGAAGTTCTGGCATGACTGGCGCCTGTAGTCCACAAGACACCAGACTCTGTTGGAACGAGAACGAGCAAGGGCGATTGTGCAGGACCTGGGCGTCCGGGTGCTTTACATACGTCCATACGTCCCATACGTACACCTACCTGCACCCAGGTAATAGTGCTGTACATAGCGAGGCGAGCCTCTTCCTTCCGCCGTGGCGACCTGGGCGGGGCCCGAACCTAGCTAGTATGGCACCTAGCTAGGACCTGGACTTGGACCTGAAGTCGAAGCTAAAGTCGAACAATAAAAAAAATCCAAAGTCGGAGCTGAATCATGAACCGGAAAGCTGAAAGCTAGGATTGCTTTTGAAGAGCTGATAGTACTATTGCCAGCGACAAAAGAAGCCCGAAGGGGGGGAGGGAGGGGGCTGTGCACTTTCGTCTCGCATCGCATCGCCATCCCCATCCGCGTCTGAATCCCTAACCTTACGTAGTTGGGTTGCGTAGAGGTATTACTCCGTACAACGAAGTATTCTTCTTGGTTACTTGTAGGTGTAGCTTCTCCAGGGTTACGTATTCCGCCCTGGTGGCAACAGAAGGCATGGTTGCGCACAAAGTGTAGTGGCTATGTAGCAGAGGGACCGTGGGTGCTCACCCTCGCACAGGGGGGAACAAAGTGGGTGCGTACGCTACGCATCCCCGAGGACCTGCCAGCCCGAAATCGAAAAATCGAAGCACCGAGGAATGAGAGGGTGTAAGGGTAAGCCCAGTGGCCAAATTGCAATAGGAAAAGAGTCGAGTGCCGTTCGACCTCAGACATCAGGGCGAATGTACATACACACATAGCACGTCGACGATGGGTGCTGTGGGTGGGAATGCTCCAAAGGCGAACTCATCAACAAGGCGCGTCACAATAGTTCTCAGCAAAATATTAGATACAGGTCAAGGTACCTCCAAAAACTGACTAGAAGTACTGACTATAGCCTCCAGACATCTCCTACGGTAACCCTCCTCCCCCAAGTTCTCTCAGCGCCGTGTCCTTATATCGTTAGCTCAAACATCCTGATTGAGTCAAAGTCCGTCCGCCGTCGTTCACTCATTCGCTTCATTGATATCGTTGAACCACATTGTAACAATCATACATCAGAGACACTGATATCTCACAGTGTCAATAACAACCTGGAAGCCTTCGCCACATAAACTCAATGGATAACTAACCCACTAGGGGCTCACAAATGCCCGCTGGTTAGCATCTTGGCATTGCACTGCATTGCGGAAATTTGTATATCTCTTGACTGGAACAAGCTTGTAGACACGAGGTGTGTCGCCGTGCAGTTGATAGAGGAAAAGTGACCGACGCCCAATTGCCTGCATCAATGCAAAGACCATGTAATGCCTTGTTCAGCCTTGCCTTGGGCTCAAAACGCCTGGGAAATGCCTTGCCGCAAAGATCAAGGAGGATTCTTGTTGAATCAGTATCTTGGAGAGCTGTACCCATAGGCCGGAGTGCGTGTGACAATGTTGACCGGGCCGACTCCGTATGGGGTATAAGAATGGGGTGAGGGTGTTTTGATGCTCACAACCTGGGGTGGCGGAGATGGTGGGTAGGCGTAGGGCTCGGTCTTTGCTCTTCGAAACCCATGGGATGCTCGAGAGCCGTATGAGCCGTATCCGGAATCGTGAAGATCGTTGTACTCGTACGCCGTGTAACTGGTGTTCGCCGGGGTATGCTTTCGGGTCGATGAACGTGAGCTGCGCAAGCTGTCGAAACTGTCTTGACTGTCTTGTCGTCGCCGACGGTAGACATTTGCGCTGCGTATCTCGACAGGAAGGCTCCTGCCCGACTCCTCCCGGCGATGACGTTTCTCATAGCTGTCCCCACGGTCATAATGGAGATCATCATCCACTAGGTAGATTCGTGCATGTCGTCGAGGCGAAGAATGGGCGTTCCGGGATCTGCGATCAGAAGGGGTATCGTCAGGCAGAGAGTCGCGGATGCTTTGCAGGTCCATGTTTCGCTCTGCATGTTCTTGCAACCAAGCGTCATCTGCCTTTTTTCTAGAATGGCTGCTCCATTCCTTTTCTCGCGATAACGGAGGTGCCCACGGACTTATTCCATCACCAACATCAGCAGTGGGGGGCAATTCCTCGATGGATGCTTCATCATCTTCCCTAGAGTGTCTTCGCCTGCTGATTTCTTGTCCATACCGGCCTTTGCCATCTCGCCCTCGTGTCACCGTGCTGCCAGCCTCTTTGCAGGCACGGCAGTCGCCACTTCTGGGGTAGTGATATCTTTCCAGACCCTGGCAATGCGATGAGTGGCACTCGGCGGTAGTCTTATATTCGCATCCGCATCCGTACGAGGTCTTCGTACGCACACACATGGCTTTGAGGGAGACTGAAGATCGTAATGTGAGGCAGGAGATGTACTCTTGAATGACCGAGTGATGCTCGCCTCTGTGTTGCGTGGCGTGGAGCAGATCAAATCTTTATGTACCGCTTGACAAGTCTTCACTGAGGTGGTGCAAGAGTATTGCTTCACAAAATCAGGTACAGAGGAAGAGTTCAGGTACGAAGGAAGCGGTGAGGCGTCTGGTAGACGTCTAGAACAAGTGCACACTCAATGTACACTGGCAACTTGCGGGGCTCAAAAGAAGCACAGAGGTCACACAAGCAGGTCTCAAAAGATGCTAAGCGTGACGTAGAAATACTTTTGAGACCCGGCCGGTTTTGTTATTCTCGCTGTTGCACTTCATGGATGACAGATTCTGTCTCACGTTGGAGAAAGGAAACGTGCATAAGAAGAAGAGGAATAAGAAGTAGTCTTGACAAGGGACAGAAAACGAATTCGAAAGCTTTGTAAAGTTTGTCAAGTTTGTTGTTGTAACCGCGGTTTGAAGTGATGGGAGTGTGATGAGCAAAAAAGGCTTGTGACAGTAGGTGGTGATATCCTCATGCCAGAATTGCGCGAGGAACGAGGGCGAAGTCAGGGCTTGAAGAGGCGGACTAGCTTGCCTTTTGCCAGGGAGGACTTCGGTCCAGCTGCATGATGCAGAATCCCTCCCCATCTCGCCTCAGATTCGGCCTGCGCAGGACGACGTATGCGAGAAAACGCATGGCTCGAACAATGTTGTAGCTGCGAAGCCGGGCTTGAGCGGGCTGTCGAGGTGCATGCGACGGTGCTGAGTAGGAGCCCATCTTCGGCATTTTTGGATTGGTGCTTGGGCCAATGCAGGCACCTTGTGGAACGGTACTGCGGACCTCAACGCCCGAGGAAGCAGGGGAAACGGACCATTACAACAGATGGCAAGAGATGGTCGGCTACAGGCCACCGCTGACTGGCCGATGCGACGGTTCCTCGCCCTGTCACAGGTGGTTTCATCTCGGTGGCGCCCGCCCCAATTGCCTCAGTCGGCTGTCGTTGTGGTGCCCTTTCCAGCAGGTAGGTCAAACCGTCTTTTTGCCTCGTTGATCCATTTTGTCAAGACTGCAAGTCTCATTGAATTCTGGCCTGCGCCCCACTGCTAACTGTAACTGACATTGGGCGGTGATGCTGATCTTGGGGCTGCGAATTGGGAGAGCTTGCAGACGGGGAAGCCCAGTTGCAAGAGGCCTTTCACAATAATCTGGCACCAAAGCCTGCGCCGGCGCAGTCATCATTCGTAGCCTGCACTTCCACGTTGCACGGAGCCATTGGAGTGGGAAAAAATGAGCAAAAATGCTGACCGTGCCTTTAATTCTAGCCACTGACGGCTCCAGAATTTCTTCGATCAGTCTGAATTTGTGATATTTCTGCCGCTCGTCAGGACAAGATCGTTGGATGAGGAGGATCTGGGCGTGGGGTGCCCATCGATATCGACTCATGACCGCAGATTCCGATGGACTGATGGAAGGACGTAGGTGGAGGTGAACCGGCACGACCATTGGCCTCCAAGGCTTCATCCGCTGCCCAGCACCTCCTCTTTCCTGAAGATTTCTCCCTCTTGCGAGGTCCAGAGAAAGGTTTCGACCAGTCAGTTAAAGGCCTCGACTTGAGCTTTGGGCCCGGGCCGGGATGATTAGGCATGGCAGAAGGCCTCAGACGGGCAGTCATTGCTCGTCGAGGAGAACGAGTCCGCGGATGCGACGGCAAGGTCTGTTAGTAACCCGACTCTCTTCTGACCATCTAGCAATCATTTTGCTTCGAGAATTTTGCTGGTTGGGTGAAAGCAAGGAAATATCAGCCTAGCTGCAGCATGAGAGGGAATCTTTCAGGTCAGATGAGTGCCATGCGGTGCGTTTGTATCGAACTCATGTTCGTGGGAGAGAGACAAACGAAGCCCCTCTGGTTCATCGAGAAGACTTGTCGGTGAGGGCGAGAGTGTGTCGGCCGTGCATGGAAGACTGTTGTCGTGTGCCCTCACGCAGGTGAGGCGCAGGCGCAGGCGGAAGTCTACCAAGTTGGGACATGACGGTGGGAAATGGCAGGCCGGAACTTACTGGATCTTGAATCATCATCAATGAGGTGATCCAGCGTCACGCACAAGTTTGCAACTTTGGCAATATCATGATTCTTGTTCCTCACCTGTGACCCTCCCTCGGCCTTCTGTGTCTACAAGTACTACTATTACTTGCTAGCTGTGTTGCTACATTCGCCACCCAACCTCTGGTAACAGCGAGCCCTGAGCAACTGACCTTTTGGCGACCCAATAGAGGCCATGTATATCAGAGCAAGCAGAAGGCTACAGGCTGATACGGTGAGTCTTCCGCCGCCCAATCATCATCATCCGTTGCCCCTGATTCCTCTACCCTTGTCTGCTATGTGTGCAACAAGGTCAACATCGTCCTTGGCCTCGGGCTACCAGTGTGTTCTGAAACCCTTCAGCCTCATCAGTCTCATAAATATTTCGCTGTCAGGCCATGGAGATGGATGAAGAAAGAGTCTAGATTATTCCCCTCATATTCCACCAATGAATCAATGACACAGATCTGACCGCCATGTTTTCTGGCTCCTTCATCTACTGTACGGTTGTCTTTTGATTGGTAAAGCCTGGGGACTCCCAATCGGTGGCGCCGTCGATTCAAGTTACGACGCGTGGGCCACCGGCCTTTCTGATGTTGGGCCTCTGATTCTACTCATCGGCGAACGAAGTACCAAACAATTATTGCGAGATGTTAGGGGCACCAGTGGAGCCTTCAGCCTTGCGGCCGCTCTCTTGGGACTCGTCTCCATCGTCACCAGTCTCTTCCGAATGTCGGGCTCTCATCGGATTTGCTCCTTCCTGGGATACGAGCAGGAATCCCGGAGTGTTGCCGCCTTGGAAATGTCTCGTGTTAATTGTGACGGCGTGAATCCAGAACCGGTCGACGGCTATCTGGTGCGAACAACTACTGCCACATCAGCTTTTCACGCTCGAGCGGTGGGGGTGTCTGTTGCAATCCACTGTCTCAGAAGACACCGTCAGAGATGTCACAGCCCGACTCCACTCCTGCCATGCTTACGAAGTTGCAAAGATTCGGCTGCAGGTTCCTGCAATTTGCGATCAAGAAAAGGATGGCATCAAGGACCAGTTGCTGGAAGTACTGGCGGCCGCACTGCAGGTCAATCTACTCGACCAAAAATCAGAGACTCAGAGGAATCGCCTTCAACATACACTGAATCCGCCAGCTGCGAATATATCAGGTCAACCAAGCAAAAATGCAGCAGGTGTGACGGTCTCCGTCAGCGGAGCAGGAAAGATCTCCTTCGTCATCACATTTGATGCGGTTTCTGAGTACTGCACGGCCAATGTCACATCGCGAAAGATATCGTTTCTTATCGGCTTGAGCTCGACGTTGACTATTCTGGCCTTGTATATGATCGAGGTAGGCTTCAGCCTGGCGTGGCGGCTTTCAACTGGCTGGATCCTAACGATTATAGGATATATCGGAATCGTCACCTTCGTCACTCTGGCTGCTCAAAATATCCACCATTGCAGTCACTCGATTCCGCTTCGGCCAAGAAGTGCGCCTCTTTCGCAGACGTGGAAGGATGGGCTTGTGATAGCTGCGCAGTCTGACAGCAGGTTGAGAGCAGATTTCCTTTCTGCTGTCAATGGTCGGAGACAGGCATTCGAAGCGGTTTGGCTGAAGCCTCTAACCAGCTGGGCTTGCATCAAAGCTGATGCGATTGGGATTTGCCTGACGTTGAGCTTCTTGTGTCATTACCTTGGACTTCGTTCGTCCAGCTGGTGGCTCGGTGTGTGCGAGCTTGTTATTTGCATCTCTGCCGCTTTCGCCCGTAGTCTTACCAAAAGTAGACCGGTGGAATTCCGCTCGGGGACAGGACAAGACCCTGAAGCAAGAATAGACTGGAGTTGTTGCAGCACCGGTCTGATTACCGTTCAAAACGCGACAGAGGTAAACTCTCGATCCCAACCCGTCCTCAGTGGTCTCGACTTGTGGGTATGTTCGCCAGACATGAGTGTATCAACTCCAGCCGCTGCCGAGAGCATTTCCTGGCATACAGCGGCGCTGTGCTTAAAGCATCAGCATCTAGTGGGGTGGATCTCGAAGATGACCGGAATGAGACTATGGGTCGGGAGAAGCGGGCAAAGCAGTGCTTCCCGTGCTGCCGTGATATATTCCACGTCCGGCATCCTGGTACAGCAAGGCCTGGCATCGACCGACGTAGGCATGTGCGTTGCATTCTCCTGCACAACGAACAGCCTCGCCGCTCCCACGGCGTGGCTCGCTCGCGCGATCATGAGACAACCGAGATGGAGAGTTGATCGCAAAGTCTTCACTGCGATCAATGAAACGATCGGCAACGTCCACGTCCCTTCGTTGAGCTCGACCATGACATGGTAGTCGATGAGCGAGCTGAGAAACGGACCCGAGGAAAACCAAGAGAACCTGCAAGGGGCCGTCATGTCTGGGGTTGCTGCTGCCAGCTATCAGCATCTAAATCTGTAATATAAACTCTATCAGCATCTATTTTGCCCATCCGGTGCAAACGTCTCAAATCACATCAGGATACCAGCACCTCGCTCCTTATGGACAACCTCACTCGCATGGTCTAAAATCCATCCTTGATCCCAACAGACTTTTCATGCGCCAATCTCTCATCGTTTATCCGGTGCCACCATCTGTGCGTTTCGTCCTGAATGGCTTCCGGTTTCTCGTCCCAGGGCTTCGGGCTCAGGATGAAATGCACGTTCTTCACCTGATCGTCGCGCCATATTGCATCATGGACTCCTTCCCATCTCAACGTCTTCAGAGCGTTGTAAATGTATGGCAGTCCGACCCAACGACCATAAAACCGGTCGCCGAGCAAGCTCTGATCGGCAAAGTCATAGCTGGAAGTCAAGTCGCCGTTTTTCATGGCATCCAGGATCTTGTTGTAGATGCCCTGGCTAGGATTGCATACGACTAGGCCGCCGTTGGGGGACCCTATCCCCGCGGTGGGAGGTGGCCCATGGATCTGGGCGTCGTCTGGTGTGTTGTGTTGGGAAGTGAACCCACAGTTCTCCGGTATCCAATGTTTCGGGTAATGTGGTTTGTTCAAGGGATTGCACGCGCAGGCATGACTGGCTGCGTATACCCTGTTTCCTTCGCCGTCCATCTCAGGCGGATCCAGCCCTAGCTCCATCAGTTCATCCATGTTCTTCAAAACCATCATGTCGCTGTCCAGCTGCACAACGCGGTCATACTCGGTCAGGCTGAAGGGAGTCAACTTGCTCCAACAGTCGTAGAAACGTGGATCGTTGGCATACTCCTTGGGGACTGAGGGGAGGAGGTAAGGGATAGGTTTCGCCGGGATGCCTCTGCTTTTGAGGGCTTCGAGGCCCTCGGAAGGGAATGTGTCTGTGTATAGTGCGACCAGAGGATATTTGGAGCCAACTTTCTTCAAGGAGTATTCGAGCGTGAGGAGGCCTGAGAGGTATTTGGTGTTTGTGATGAGGGTCGTCCACACTTTTCTAGGCGCATTTCCATTTATGTGGTTCTCCATCTCCGCTTTGGATGCGAGCTCGAACCTTTGCCCACTCAGACTAAACTGCCAGAATCTTTAAGCGCAGTGGAATCCGGGGGTATATACAAGTAGATGGCAGTACCTGAGCAAGAGGCCCAGTTACAGGAAGGGAGGGCCTACATGGTGGCGAGCTGTTGGCACCAGCAGCGCGGATCAAGTAGGGATGGATAGCATACCTAGGGCAGGCCAAAGCAGGCAAGCTTTTATCTAGCGGGCACTGAATTACTGGGTATTCTTTTGATGGCGAAATGGGAGCCACTCTCGCACTGTTTTTGCCTGCAGGCCAGATCCACTACATCATGCAGCCAGTCGGGGAGGCTAGATTGCCCCCGGCGATCGCAATGGAATCTTTCTCTCTCTCTCTCTCACACATTAGGATATTATGATCACCAACCACTCCTTGATTGTCAGGCCTGTTTTCGGGATCCAGGTAAGCTGAATCAGGCTTGATCGCTTTAATAATGGTTGCAACCGCGCGAGTGGCTCTCTCAAGTCGGTAGCCAGCGGTACCCGCCTGGACCAATTCCCAGCATGTCGGAAACCTTGGACAGGTAAGGAGGAACATCCTCTTCTCACGGCTCGTTGCTCTTTGCGCATGCTCACCATTGCCCAGGCCTCCAAATGATCACAAGGAAACCGTAGCTGGAGTTCTGCACCGTTCCAAGCAACACGCCAGACAGGACTCGCGAACAAAGTCCATCGCAAGCAACTACAAGGGCTTCGTGGCAGGCGTCTTCTCGGGCATAGCAAAACTCTCTGTCGGTCACCCTTTCGATACAATCAAGGTTCGCTTGCAGACCTCGCAGAAAGCGCAATTCAAAGGACCACTGGACTGCCTGTTGCAGACGCTGAGAAAAGAGGGGATAACTGGGGTCTACAAGGGTGCAACTCCGCCACTGCTAGGATGGATGGCCATGGACTCTGTCATGTTGGGAAGCTTGACAGTTTACCGGAGGCTGTTGCTTGAGAACATCTTTGCCAACCCGGCTTTCCGCCCCGGAAAGAGCGCTGCAGAGCTCGCCAACGAGAAATTACCTGCTTTTGGACATGGGATTGCAGGGACTATGGCGGGGTCTACCGTTTCGTTTATTGCTGCGCCGGTTGAACATGTCAAGGCAAGATTGCAGATTCAATACGCCGCCAAGAAGAAGGACAGGCTGTACAGTGGCCCTATAGACTGCACGAGAAAGATTCTTCGTTCCCACGGCATCTCTGGCTTGTATCACGGCCTCTTCTCAACGTTGATCTTCCGCTCGTTCTTCTTCTGCTGGTGGGGCAGCTACGACCTCATGACGACCTGGTTCAAGAAACACACCTCTCTTTCCACTCCCGCGATCAATTTCTGGGCAGGCGGGATGTCGGCACAAGTCTTCTGGCTGACCTCTTACCCTTCGGATGTGGTCAAGCAGCGCATAATGACGGATCCGTTGGGCGGCAGTTTGAATGACGGCACTCCTCGCTTTAGACACTGGAAGGATGCCGCCATTGCTGTGTATAGAGAGTCTGGATGGAGAGGGTACTGGAGGGGCTTTGTGCCCTGCTTTCTCAGAGCATTCCCTGCGAATGCGATGGCATTAGTAGCCTTTGAAGGTGTAATGAGAGCGCTTCCTGATTGATTAAGTCTACTTTTGATACCCAGGAGTTTTTGGTTTAGAATTCAACTGTATGAGTGACTGGTATTCTCTATCCCGAGTCCAATTCACCCTATAAAAAGTTTCCTCTAGTCTCATGGTCCTTTTCGACGTGAATACATCCGAGGCGGATATTCTCATCACCATCTCCTCTGCATCCACAGCCTCGCGCTAATGGCTCTTGGCAAGGCCCTATAAAATCCTTCACCTAGCTACGAACTCCCTCCCATAAACTGTTTGATCCTCATCATGGCTACTTTCATCATTAGTGAGCCTCCTCAGGCAGTCCTGCACACATTGCTCAATGCAGATGGGTCAGCAACATACAGCGCGCCACATAAGAGCTACAAAGTCGTCGCTGGGGTCAATTACCCAGTCGAAGTCCCGTACCGATCTGATGAGATGCCTGAGTCGACCTTGATTGAGGTCAATCTCAGGCCACACAATGGTGTCGGAATGGTCAAGGAGCGACATGTCGAAGAGCTCATCAAACGAACGCTTCAAGCCATTGTGCTTGGCGAGGAGACTCCACGAACCATGTTGCAGGTCACTCTCCAAGTCGTGTCTGTCGAGAGTGACGAGAGCCTACCCGGTGGAGTCAAAGGGGGCGGGCAAGGTGAGACTTATCTCGACTTGCTTACTTCAGCACTCAATGCTGCTATTCTCGGTTGCTTAGATGCAGCGGTGCAGATGAGGACATTGGCTGCTGCAGCACTCGTAGGCATCAGCAGTGGGAATGGCGCGGTTGTCACCAACCCAGGGGTTTTGCAACGAAAGAATTGCGCTAGCTTGCATATGTTTGCCTTCAGCAAAGATGGCAGAACGTTGTTGATGGAGAGTGAAGGCAAGTTCAGCATGGAGAGTTGGCAACAAGCAGCACATGCTGCTCGCTTAGCAGTCCTTGGTCACTCCGTTGTCACCGACGCCCGCACCGTCACCGGCACCAGTACCAATGCAAGCGATGTCAATAAACATTCAAACGGAGATGTTGCCATGAATGGAACAGACGCTACGACTGGAAACAACTCGGTTATCTGTGTGCTGGATGTGATAAGAAAAGCTATGGAAGCCCGGGTGATTAAGGACGAAAGCTGGCGACAGGATTGAAGATGTTACAAGTTTTGCCAGTGTGTGAATGCTGAAACAGTCACCGAGTGGGCGGCTGACCGACGCTAAACAGTGGTGAGGTGCAAGAAGTGGGGGGGTTGAGAAACAGCCTCGCCGGCACGCAAAAGCCTGTGTGCGGCAGACTTCCAGGCTAGTGAGCTATGGCTTTGGTGGTTCAGGGGGCCGATAGTTGATGTGCTAGGTGCCACTATTGGGGATCTAGGCGCTGCAACAGGGGGCGCCTTTGGGGGGTGATCAACGCCCACAGTACCCAGTAGATCCCCACGTGCCTCCCAGCAACGAGGCCCCAAGCCAGACCGGACAGACCTGGATTCCTGGGTGGTTCTCATGCATGTGCAAGTGCTACAAATACTCCTGCACAACACCGAACATCAACCACCAACTACTACCTCTACGACAACCCCATTGACCAAGGCCCTCTTTTGCTTGACGACTTCACGACCTTGAGCACTTTGTATAATCAGTCCGACCTCGGCTGGTCCAGAGGATTTGATCAATTCCAGGCACCACCCTGCACCTGCACGTCTTCTACGAGCACAAAGCATTGATTCCCCATCACACCCGCTAACTCCGAGCCTCCGGATTACTGATTTGGTGATATTTGCGCGCGCGCCTTGATTCGTATCTCGAGAAGGTTCTAGGCAAGTCCCTCAACCAGTGGCCGCCAGTGGCTCGTCTGTGCTGTCAAAGGCTTCGGCGCTCTGACTATTCCGAAGATTGGCCCGCTTGCGAGCCGTGTTCGGATTTTGCCCCTCGCAACCCTCGGCATCACTCATCCATCACCACCACACCACACTTGACCTCCAGATCGTTCAACTGTCCAGCAGATCCACTCCCGCCGGCTCGGTTTGTGCCTCGTTCGCCCTGCAGCTCCTGTTTTAGGCCTGCTTCTTTCCAACATGACCGCATCTCCCACAGTCAGTAACCTCGACATCCACGCACACGCCCACTCCACCTTATCCTCGCCCACTACCTCCGAAGCCACTAGTATCAGCACCTTTTCTCCACCAACTCCTGGCCTTGATAATCCTGACCTCCTGCTCCCTGATGGCATGGCTAATTCTACCTCCAAAAAGTCGGTTGGGGAATCCATCCTGCGTCAATATGCCGAATATCTAGATCCCATTGACGCCAATGGCCAAACACATGCAGTGCGCAACTTGGCTCACCCAGAGCCCGATCTCGTGAGCGAGAAATCCCACAGCGGCGACAGCGCGGCTCCCAGCGATCCTCTGAAGACCTCATATATTGCCCATCATCCTACCGTTCCCGTCCCAAAGCCTCTTCTGCTGCCGAAATCTCTGCTCGCCCACCGCAAAAACCCAAAGTCAATAGATATACCGAGACAAACCATCATGAAGGCTATGGTGTCGCGGCGGCCTAGTGCGGGCCCTAACACGGCGCCATTGACACTGAATGCTCTCAAGACAGCCATCAACGAAGTCGACTCGGATCAGCAAGGAGGCTGCGCTGCGTCACCATCCCTAACGGCCACCTTTGCTGGTCTCCAGGCCGGCGCTCTGTCAGCCTATTCGCCCACGTCGACGAGTTTTCTTCGCTCGCCGTGTTTTTTCCATCAGCGGTTTGACGGGGTTGTGGACATTCAGAAAGTCTTGGATGAGATTGCGGATGACGACTACTCGCATTCGAGACTGATGCAAACTGCAACGGGTGTAAGAGAGGTTTCCAAACAGCTTCAGCGCAAACCGCTGAAGCGAGCCGTACGCAACGTTATGATCGTGACTAAGGCTCGCGATAACAACCTCGTTTATTTGACGCGTGAGCTTGCAGAATGGCTGCTCTCCACGCCTCGGTACGGGAGCGAGCTTGGGGTGAATGTCTATGTGGATGCCAAGCTCCGCCATTCGAAACGCTTCGATGCCGCTGGATTGTTGGCAAAGGAACCTCGGTTCAGCAAGATGTTGAAGTATTGGACTCCGGACTTGTGCTGGTCATCGCCGGAGAAATTCGACCTGGTTCTCACAATGGGAGGTGATGGCACCGTGTTGTTTACCTCGTGGCTGTTTCAGCGCGTGGTGCCACCCGTGCTTTCCTTTTCGTTGGGAAGCTTAGGTTTCTTGACGAATTTTGAGTTCGACAAATACAAAGAACACCTTGATCGGGTCATGGGCGACGCTGGAATGCGAGTCAACCTTCGCATGCGATTTACCTGCACTGTCTGGAGAGCTGATCGATCCCCCGGAGCGGTGAAAGGCGCTGCGGAGGAGGGTGAGCAGTTCGAAGTTTTAAACGAACTTGTCATTGACCGTGGTCCTTCGGCCTATGTGTCCAACTTAGAGCTTTACGGTGACGATGAGCTCCTGACCATTGTGCAGGCTGACGGGTGTATCTTTTCCACGCCGACAGGATCCACGGCTTACTCCCTGTCAGCTGGAGGTTCTCTGATACACCCATCTATTCCTGCCATCTTGTTGACGCCCATTTGTCCACACACTCTCTCTTTCCGTCCGATGGTGCTGTCGGACACTCTTGCATTGCGAATAGCAGTGCCTCACAAGTCCCGGTCGTCAGCATATTGCTCCTTTGATGGAAAGGGACGGATTGAGTTGAGGCAAGGGGATTATGTGACCCTGGAAGCGTCGCAATATCCCCTCCCTACCGTTATGACCGGCACAAATGAATGGGTGGAAAGCGTACAAAGGGCTTTGAGATGGAATGTCAGAGGAGCAGTCCAAAAAGGATGGGACAACGGGGATGATGAGGACGGTGTTCATGTTGAGGAGAAATGGGACATTGACATCGACTCTAATCCCTGCGGAGGGACGGACAGCGGCATCGGTCCCAGTGAGGATGGGGACCAGGCAGCAAGCCCCATGAGGCGGCAGCTGAGCATGTTGAATATGTGAGGAGGCTTGCCCGGAGATGGGTCGCGTATCCCATAAATGGGTTTCGTCGCGACCATACGACATTTGTAACGACATTGGGATTTGTCGCAGTGGCAATTTTGAATACGGATGGGGCTGCTGGGGCTCAATCTGGTAAGATCTGTCCAATCTCAGTTCAGCCTTACGCAGCCTTGCGCACACCACCTGGCTTCCACTATGCTTCCTTCCACCGATATCAAAGAAGACCAGTCTTCAGAGCACGGGACTGACATTTCCAGCCAGCTCGACTTGGCGACTTGTGTCAATGTCTACATAGATAGTGGGCTTAGTGCCGTTTTTTTGCGCTCTAGAGGGTGCGACAGAAAGCTGGCTGCAAAACAACAACAAAGTCTTCGACAATTTTTTCACTCACTTCCTTTCTTCTTCGTCTCCGCTCATCTTTTCAACTGATCGCGTTTGTTAAACAGCACCATCACAGCTCTTCCAAACCTCTAGTCCTGTCTTGCGACCGTCAGATACGGACCCCGACAATACGGCAACAACTTCTCCGATCCCAACACCTTCTCCGACTCTCAAGACGTCGGCGCCCTTCAGAATGTCTTCTCCAAGCCAGTCCGCAGGTGAGCTGAAACCCAGAGATGATCGCGGCGCCCACTTTCAACCCGTCCAAACTCAGAGATGAGCGAGGCGCCCACTTTCAACCCGTCCAACATCAGAGATGATCGAGGCGCCCATTTTCAATCCACTGAGCTTTCTCTCTAACATCAACCGTAGATGCGCGGCGTAATCCTCCCTCCTCACCGTCTGAGCAGCATCAGCGTCATCACAGCTTGTCTCAGATCCCTCCAAGCCAATCCGCAGGTGAGTCCAAATTCAGAGATGATCGAGGCGCCCAATTTCAAACCACCCAGATTTCTCTAACATCAACCCTTTCTAGGTCCACGGCCTGATCCTGCCTCTTCCCCTGAGCAGCGACCGCGTCGTCACAGTTTCTCCCAGTTCCTCTTGCGTGGTGACCCTGGCTTTAGCACTGGCCTGTCCAGCCCTTCTTCTGGCTCAGACCCCGGTCCCCAGACAACTTTGAATGAACTCATCAACGACTCTGCCTCTGCATTTGCTCCTACCTCTACATCTGACAACTCAAACCTGTCCACAGCAACAACCCTCGTTGAGACGCCTGTTGATCTTCGTCGTGTGCACGCAGCCACAGACTTGGCTTCCTTACTTGCCTATCCCCAGGTCACAGACGCTCGCGACACTGACACTGATGCTCCTGTCATCGATCACAACTCTGCAACCATCCGATCACTGGACGATTCACTTGAGCCTGAACGCGCTGAACGCCAAGCTGCAACCCAAGCAAACAATCAAGTCAACGGCACTTCACTCTTTTGGTTTGATGAGCCAAGCTGGAGCTTTCACAACATCCCGGGTCAGACAGTAAATTCTGCACACGACCTTCCAAATTCGCTCCCAGCTCAAACTCATCCAAATTCATTGACGACTCCAAATCATCAAAGTTCATCATCTCGAGTTCGTCCAAATTCATCATCCTCTCAAGAAAATCAAGCAAACAACCAGGTCACTGGCGCATCTTCCCTCTGGTCTGATGAGTCAAGCTGGAGTTTTGGCAACATCCCTGGTCCGACTGTAAATTCTGCACATGACCTGCCAAATTCGCTCCCAACACGAACACGTCCAAATTCTCTGACCACTCCAAGTCATTCAAGTTCACCATTACAAGTTCATTCAGACTCATCATCCACTCCAGACAGTCCAAGCTCGCCAATCACCAATGGCTATCTGAGCTCACCGTCGACTCAAGATCTTCAAGTTCATTCAGACTCATCACCCACTCCAGGCAGTCCAAGCTCGCCAATCACGAATGGCTATCTGAGCTCACTGTCTACTCAAGATCTTCCAAACTCGGTGTTGACTCAAGAGCGTGCAACCTCACCAAGCACACCAACTGTCGATCCTCGTCGCCGCGTCAATCCACTGTTCCCTCGCCCTGATCAGGTGACAGGCACGAGTCAGGTGTCACAACCAAGTGACGTCATCATGACTCGTCGCCTCCGTCAACCAGAACCAGTCCGTCGCGCCTTCACGACACCCATCCCAGCCAACCATGATGGGGGTCGTCGGTCTGGCTCACTGCGGCCCCTGGCCAGGGACCAGGCCGAGGCCGATGCCACGACCGTTGCCTCTGAGGAGGCTGAAGACGACGACGGGGCTTCGGCCCAGGGGGATTGGCAAGCCCCTGAAGACTATTTGTCTTCAGGTGGCGAGGAGGAGGAGGACGACGACGACGAGGGCGGGCGCGTCAATCTTGATGAGATTGACGCCCCGGTTGCGGAACAGCTCCGCGCCGGGCTCGCTCACTTGAGCGAGGTCCGTGTCGAGATCGACGTCCTCGACGGCGATCTCCCTATCGGCGCCGCCAGGGGCAACCACGCGGCCGTCCGTGCCCGCACGGATCTCGTTCTTGCAGAGGGCGAGATCCGGGGTGCGATCGGTTCGCTGTGGAGGTCGCTCCTGGAGGCGAGGGAGATCGCCGTCGATGCCGAAGCCGGCATTCGGCGGCTCCAAGACGAGGTCGCCCGCCTCGCAACCGACGTCCTCGAGTCCCGACTCGAAGCCGCTCTCGCAAGGGAGCGTGCAGTCTCCAGTGAGGCTCTCCTTGAGAGGGCTCAGTTGGAGATCGCCGCCCTGCGCGAGAGACTTCGAGAGCGGGAGCTCTGAGGCGGTTGTAAGTGCGACGGCCTCGCTCTTGTGAGTGCGTCTTTTCTCTCGGGGTTTTTTTGGTGGGCGGTCCTGCGGACAGAGGGGGAGGGGGGAGGGGGGTGTGGTGGTGGTGGTGGTGGTGGTGGGTTTTCTGCTTGGGTTTGTGCTGGGTTCGTTCTGTGCTGGGCTCGCCTGTGCCCTTCGGGGCTTGAGCGACGAGAAAAGTTTTCCTTTTTTTTTTATGTTCTGAGCACTTCTGTGCTTGTGTGCCTTTCGGGGCTTAACAGAAACCCCCAAAAAATGTTTGAGTACAAATCTCCTTCCACTCCATTGCCTTCCTCTCTTGTGTGTTGGTTCCTCGTCTACCCGCCAAACTCAACCATCGGTGCCTACATGAGTACCCCGGAGTGATCCAGTCCCAATCAATATAGACTATAACGACGTTCACAGCCCACTCTATAACATCTCCCTCCGTCGATGATAAGTACTGGGACGCCTCCAGCGCTACCGTTTTCAATACATAATAGCGAAGGCAGATCGAACCAAGAACGCGGAAGACGTCATTGTGAATGAAGTGCTCTGCGACTATACTCGCTTCATGATCGATGGGTATCACCGGCATGTTGCGCGCGACGTGTGACACTAGCGATGTGAAGGCCAGAGGGCAAGACTCCGGATCGCATCTCAAAGGAGTGGTGGATGAGTGCCCGTTACTACATGAATCTCGAAGAGAGACAAGTTCTCAAATGCTGTCGATATCACGGAGAGAAGAATGAATAGGGAGCGAGGGGGCCATTTAATGAGAGGCGAGGCTGTCCACATGCGCTGACCAAGTGATTGGCTGCTGGGGCAAGGCTGCCAAGTGCCTCTTCTGCGTTGAATTTCTTCCGCCACTCGAGGGAACGAGCCGATACACTACGCAAGACTACGACAACATCACTTCAAATCAACATTTATCTCAAAACAGGTCAAAATGGCCGAAGGTATCGACAGAAATGCAGATGGTGAGTTCAGCTTCCCTCAGTGACCTGTGCGATCGATCTAGCAACTGACAAGAGAGAATTAGAGCGGATGGAGTTTTCGACTTCGAAAGAAGTCACGGTCGCGCCAACCTTTGAGGATATGCACCTCAAGGAGAACCTCCTCCGTGGAATCTACGCGTATGGCTACGAATCACCCTCAGCCGTTCAATCACGCGCCATTGTGCAAATCTGCAAAGGAAGAGACACGATTGCGCAGGCGCAATCAGGCACTGGCAAAACCGCGACCTTTGCGATCAGCATTCTTCAAATCATCGAAACATCCGTCCGTGAGACACAAGGTACGAATAGGCACCAATCAAACACGACTTGACTAATGAAGTCTAGCCCTAGTTCTGTCCCCAACCCGCGAACTGGCGACCCAAATTCAAAGCGTCATCATGGCCCTCGGAGACTACATGAACGTGCAATGTCATGCCTGTATTGGAGGCACAAACGTCGGTGAAGACATCAGAAAACTCGACTACGGGCAACATGTTGTGTCGGGTACACCTGGGCGAGTGGCAGACATGATTCGAAGACGGAATCTCCGCACACGACACATCAAGATGCTGGTGCTGGACGAAGCAGACGAACTCCTCAACCGCGGCTTCAGAGAACAGATTTATGACGTCTATCGATATCTCCCCCCCGCCACACAGGTCGTAGTGGTCTCTGCCACCCTTCCCTACGACGTGCTGGACATGACCACGAAATTCATGACCGACCCCGTCCGCATCCTGGTTAAGCGTGATGAGCTCACCCTCGAAGGCCTCAAGCAATATTTCATTGCTGTTGAAAAAGAAGAGTGGAAATTTGACACACTGTGCGATCTCTACGACACTCTCACAATCACTCAGGCGGTCATCTTCTGCAACACCCGCCGCAAGGTCGACTGGCTGACCGACAAGATGCGCGAGGCGAATTTTACAGTGAGCAGCATGCACGGCGAAATGCCACAAAAGGAACGCGACAGCATCATGTCCGACTTCAGGCAGGGCAACAGCCGAGTCCTCATTAGTACTGACGTCTGGGCTCGCGGCATCGACGTCCAACAGGTCAGTCTGGTCATCAACTACGACCTGCCCAGCAACCGAGAGAATTACATCCACAGAATCGGGCGCAGCGGAAGGTTCGGCCGCAAGGGCGTGGCGATCAACTTCGTCACCAGCGAGGACGTCCGCATCCTACGGGATATCGAGCTCTACTACTCGACGCAGATTGACGAGATGCCCATGAACGTCGCCGACTTGTTGACTTAGGAGCGCTTGTTGTTGTCCTCCCGCATGGCTTGCTGCAGAAGCAAGAACTCCCAAACCAGACCGACCCTATGGCGGCTTGCGTCTCTGGCTGAATGCATCTCGCACTGCTGCGATGACCCCGCCCACGTGGCACCATTGCATAGAACGCCCATCAAAATTCACGGCACGTCTACCACCATAATTCGCCTCGTTGACAGTCTCCATATCTCGACTTATCTCATCAGCAAATCTTATTCCATAGGGAAGGATGTAATCAGCTGGGGCCGGGATCTGCATCATGCAGAAGAAGACTCTCCGTCTGATCTGAAGCACAGCTCAATATATTGCGACAGCAGCAGCCATTGTGGCCAAGGGCTGGGGGTCTGGTTCTGAGTCCTCGCGAACGAGCTGCGACTTGAGCTTTGCCAAAGCGAATGAATGAGGGGCAGGCAGCTGCTTCCTTGTTTCTTTCAATTTCTTTAATTCCAGGTATCGGCTATTAGGTACATCGAGGATGGAAATGGGCTGGAGCTCCAAAGGTCGGTGTTTTTCTCCTGCTACCACCAGCAGAGAGTATCAGCTAAGACTGTCACAGAATGTTTCAATATCCTTATCGGCAACGATAAAAACTCTGTAACTCCAATTCAATCGTCGCAATGATCGTTATCGAATGCGTTCAGACCTTCCAGGTATTTCCCGATCCCCGTCACCTTAGCTGGGGCCATGCGTTCATCCACAACCCCTTGTACCTACTAATTCTAGTTGTCAAATGCTGAAAGCACGTCCCTCTTGGCCTCCTGAAACTCCCTCAGGATAGTCTCTCGTCTTGCCTCCGATCTCACTTTGACCTCCAGAGCGTAGGGCTTCGCGCACACAAGGAATCCTTCACTGTATGCCGTGGTCGGATCGGTGTCGGGAAGAATTGGCTTTCCATCCTTATCCTTCCCTGGCGCAAACTCAAATGCCCATAACAGCTTTGCAATCCCGAGGAACAAGTTCCTCTCTGCGAGATGGATACCGGGACACAGACGCCTTCCGGAACCGTAGCCATAATGGTCCCTGTCGTCTGGATTGGTGGATTGAGCCAGTTCGGAGGCCAGTGCGGTGACGCCCTTGTAATGGTCTGGATCAAATGTGTCGGGGTCTGGGAATCTCTTCTCGTCGTGGTGCATGCCCCATGCGTTGATGAAGATGACGGAGCCCTTGGGAATTTTGTACCCATCAATCCAGTCATCTACAGCATCAAACCGGTCAGTAACTGGCAATGATGTCGTGTTTGCGAGGTTCTCCTACCTTCATAAACAGCATGTGGGAATGCCAATGGGACCACCGGTCTGGATTTATCGTCAGCATCCAGCAGCTACAGGGGAAAGGAGCTTGCAACTGCAATCTAGGGTTTGGGGACATCTCACCTCCACCTCATCGTTTCCTTCACCGTTGCCGCCACATATGGCAATTGTGCATAGTCAGCCCATACGGGAGACCGGTCTTCGCCCATGACACTGTCGATTTCTCGCTGTGCTTTCCTCATGACCTCGGGCCACTTGGTGAAGGCCTGGATGGCCGCGATAACGATGCTCGAAGAGGTATCACTCGCTCCTTCCATCATTGTGCCGCCCAAGAAATAGAGTTGGTGCCGAGTCAATTCGAGCTTCTCTTTTTGATCGAGGACCCGGTCCATGAATGAGTACTTGCTGCCTACTGCTTCCCTGCGCTTCTCGAGACCGGTCAACATGTCGTTGTATAGGTCATTCATCGCCTTGCCGACGTCTTTGGCTCGTGAACGCCAGTTCCCGAACAGCCATTCAGGAACGTAGTGGAGAAAGGGGAAGATGTCGACAGGAGGAGTGTTGCCCGGTTCCATGACCACAGACCAATTCTCCATCAAGTCGTAGAGGCGTTTCATGTGAGGGGTGTCCACTGTCGGAGACCTGACGCCCCAGATGGTGGCGCATGCAATGCTGTTGGTGTATCGCTTTGGGTGGTCCATGTGCTGATCCGGTCGCTCGAGGAAATCTTTGAGAAGCTGACTTGCCTCGGCTTGCTGCAAGGGCAAATGGTCCTTCATGACGATTGATTCCATAAAGTGCTGGTGAATCACTTTTCTGTACCGTTGCCAGACTTTTCCATAGTGCGCGATGAGGACGTGGTCACCCCCCGTGATCAGATTGTGCGAGACGTAGCTGTGGGGTCGGTCGCTGTAGATGTTCGACTTCTTGTCGATCAGGTGTTTGACGAGGTGGCGAGAAGTGAGAACTATGGCGGTTGCAGGGCCGAGCTTGAGGGAGAAGATGCCGCCATATTTCTGTTTGATGGTGTAAGATCAGCAGTCTTGGATGGGGATCAACGACAAGTGGTGTGTACCTTGGACCATTCTGTGAACGTTAAGTAGGACCCTTTGGTTGGGATCTGATGGATGTTTCCGATCACGGGTGCTGTGGGCGGGCCTATATACGGATGCCGGGTCCATGAGTACACGATTTGCAACACGGTGGGATTGCGACAGATTCTTGTTCCACATACCGGGGGGGAGACCTTTCTCGCGCCGTCCCACGAAGAGAAACGCATATAGCAGAAGGGCGACGAGCAGCCCGCCGACGGCAGGGAGGAGGATTCCCAACGCCATGGTAAGAATTGGGGTGGGTAAGGATGGGTTGGGAGCAGGCGATTCAAGCCGCGAACCGTAAAATGTCGGTGAAGTTGGATCGTATCACAAGAGGACGGTGGTTGACTTCTGAACGGAGGAGGGTTCTTTCTTCAACGACGGTGATGCCCTCGGACTTTCGAAACCGCTCTCGCCTGAGAGACGAATGAATCAGGGAATCCTGGACTTGATATACACTTTGTCACCCTCTCTCAGAGCAGCACTTTCAACGAACCAGGATGGAGGATCTGCGATGGTTCCCAGGCTTGGGGGGGTAATTCCTCTTCCATCACCCCCTGTGTCTTGTATGTATTGGCTACTCTGGCTACTCCGTGCAAGCTGCTTCCCCACAAATTTCATCCCGCCCCCCCCACAGCCGGGCAGGTCGAGGCCTCCGCCATTTTCTAGGTCCCACCGCCAAAGTTTACACCTTGCCCTTGCCCTTCTGCGAACCAGAGCCAAGGACCGTTCATGCGCTAGGTCGAATCATGTGTCGCTCTTTGTCGCAGACCGACCAGATGAAGATCTACATTTCCGGCGGAATAACCCCCCCACGGATGCTGGGCTGGATTGGCAGCGGGGTAGGTGCATGAAGCATGAAGCCTCTCGGCTACGCCTCAGTGCCCGAGGCTTCAATGACGTGCCCATGCCTACTGGGTAGAATTCACCCTCTCCGTACCCTTGTGCCCCCCGGTAGGTTGGGTTCTTTTTATAACTGGGTGCCGCAAGGCTGAACCACAGCCTGATGACGATGCGGAGAAACATACATCTCCGCTGGTCTGATGGACCTCGGACCTGAACCCCTCATCGACTCCAGCATAAAAAGTCAAAGGAGGCCTATATATGGACAAACGTCCATCCACGGGAGTGGTTGATTTTCCACACCGAACAATCTCCAGCCCGCAAGTTTTGAAAATTTCAAAGCTCAGCGACAATGGCTCAGCTTCAAGGTAAAGTCATCGCCATCACCGGTGCAGCATCGGGGATTGGCGCGGCCACGGCACTAGAATGCGCCGCTAGAGGAGCCTCACTGTCGTTGTGCGACATCAACGAGGACGCGTTGAAAAAGGTCGTCGACGAGATCAAGGCTAAGGGGACCAAAGTAACGGGCAGACGCGTCGACGTCTCCGACTCGGACCAAGTCGATGCCTGGATTGCCGACACGGTCAAGGAGTTTGGCAAGTTGGACGGTGCGGCAAATATCGCGGGCGTCGAGACAAAGCCGGGCGGCAAGGTCTTTGCGAACATCGTCGACATTACAAACGACCACTGGGACTTTATCATGAAGATCAACCTGACCGGCCTCTTTTACTGCCTTCGCGCCGAACTCCGGGCCATGGAGCGCGGGGCTTCGATCCTCAATGTGGCGAGTTTGGCCGGTGTCATGGGCCGTCCTGGCATTGCCGCCTACTCAACCAGCAAGCACGGAGTCGTTGGCCTGACGAGAACGGCAGCCAAGGAAGTCGGCGAGCGCGGAATCAGAGTCAACGCTCTTGCTCCGTAAGTGATTTCCCCCCCCCCCCCTATCTCGCTCAACCAAGTTCCTACCATGTTCAGCTCCGTGGGCTGACTGTTGTATTTTTCCAAAAGTGGCCCTATAGAGACACCAATGCTGAACAGGCTGCTATCTGATGGTGGCACGGCGGAGCGACCAGTCACAAGCACGTACAAGACGTTGCCTCTTCAACGATTGGGTACGGCACAAGACATGGCAAAGACGATCTGTTTTGTCCTGAGCGATGACTCGAGCTACACCACGGGAGCTACATTCTCTGCAGATGGCGGTGTCGCCTGCTAAATAGAAAAAGAAAAGACTATTTGACTCTCTCTCTCTCTCTCTCCCTCTCTCTCTCTCCCTCTCTCTCTCTCTCCCTCTCTCTCTCTCTCCCTCTCTCTCTCTCCCTCTCTCTCTCTCTACCCTATCAGCCCTGAGTCCCTGCAGTAGTAGTAGTCTATATCTCTCTCCAGCACTGCCCTACCCCTGCGCCTCGAGAAGAGCGCCTCCGTTCGCAGGGACGTTGTTCCCATTGATCCACCTGCTCTCGTCGCTGGCAAGAAAGGCCACAATGCCCGCGATATCGTCGACCTCGCCCATCCTCTTCGCTGCCGTGTTCCTGCTCGCAAGGCCCGCGATGAAGTCGTCCGGAAGCAAGCCCTGCTCGAGGGGCACCTTCAGCAGGTCGGTCATGACGGGGCCCGCCGACACCGAGTTGACGGTGATGCCGTGGGGGGCGGAGAAAATCAGGGCGAGGCTGCGCGTGAAGCTGTCCAATGCGGCCTTGGACGCGCCGTAGCACACCGCCGGGTCCGCATTCGGCGTCCTGGACGCGGAGCTGCCGATCATGATCACGCGGCCGCCTCGGGGAATGTACGGAAGCGCGGAAAGGAAGAGCTGCACGGGCGCCCACGCGTTGCCGGTCATCAGGTTGTCGAAGAGTTCCTTGGTCGCGCTGGCGATTGGGGCCACGATGCTGGGGTTGAGATACGCCGCATTGCACACGACCACGTCGATGCGTGCAGTCGAGAGGTCCTGCAGCACCCTGGGCACCAGGTCGGAGGCAAAGGTCGGGGACAGCACGTCCGCCTGTATCGCCGTGGCTGTTGTGTTGGAGTTGACTTTGCGGATTTCTGCCAGCGTTTCCTCCGCCGCGGCAGTGTTCCCGTTGTACGTGATGGCGATCTTGGAAATCCCCTTGGCGGCGAAATGGATCGCGATGCCACGGCCTATGCCGCGTGACCCGCCCGTCACGAGGGCCACTTTGCCGTCCAGAGGTGCAGGGATTGTCTTTGTCGACATATGTGGATGCGGTGGATGGGGGGATCAAGAGAAGAGTAGAGCTTGTTCAAGATCCGTGTCGTCAAGGAGATGAGGGAGTTTCGTCAATCCAATGTTGGTAGAGCCGAATGTTTTCAAATATGGGTCTCGATCCTTGCTGGACTTGCTCGGTACCCGCAAGTAGAGGAGCCGCCATCCGTCCCAGACTGATAGCTTCCACGGTCATTTATACTCGAGGGCTTATGCATGAGGACGGCAGAGCTGATGACCGTTGTCCGTCCCATTTGTGATGGAGAATTTGATCAAAGCGAAGGGCGTAATGCGGCTAAGATGCGTTGCCTTGGTAGAAACCAATCCCATGGAGCTGAACCCCTCAACGGTTTCTTTGTAAAAGTGGCATGAGCAAAGCGCAAGAACAGCAATGGGAATGTCAATAGTTGTTTGCCAGCCAGAGATGATTGCGCTTTGAACTGATTGATCGTTGGATGACCGTACCCACTTGACAAGAATGGGAGACAAGACATCCAGCCATCCGACCTGGAAGTCTAACCGGTCTGGGCTGGATCGGGGTCCGTTCTTGGGTTATCAAAAATCACTGCTCACCTTAGAGAAGACTCGAAAATGTTACATTTTCCTGCGACTTCGAATCTCCGAGGCTCATAACGGAAATGCTTGGTCGTATCCTGATTCGCCCTGTCCACGGACTCCAGCAATTGGTCATGATTCATGCGGAAAATCATTCCTCTGCAGTTTTGGTGGCTGTGTTTGAGCTCAGTATCAGCCTGGCTCAGCACTTGACGTGGGAGCAATACATGTCGGATTTGACGTCAGTCTTGAGCTCCTTGTTGTAGAGCCTTGCTCCCAAGGCTGACAGCCGTTGGGTGGGGTTGCCGGATACGCTTAGATATTGTCAATTGACTCCGCTTGACTTCCCCACTCCGCAGTGACGGGGGGTGAGGACAGTGAGGGGTATTGAAACTTGCCGCGAGAGCACCAGGCTCGAGACAGCAAGATATAACGACATCAGCTTATCTGCATGACTTGGACACAGCTGCGGCTCGAAAGCCTCCTCCAGGACCCTCTTCTGATAGCGTCGTCGTCCTCGGCAACATGAACCGTACCTGCACTCGCCTTCTCCTCCATTACAAGCCTCCTTCTGCGCTTCTGAAAGTCCCCATCCGTCGTTGCTACCACCCGGAACCACGATCGTTCCAGAACAGCGCCCACGGCACGCACCGTTTTATCTATAGGTGGACTATTCAGGCGGTTGGCACTCCTTTTGCCATAGCTTACCTCTGTGGGAAGATCTCGGGGCGAAGTGATGGCGAGAGCAGCTTCAAGCTCGAACTCCCCGACATTGATTCGGCACTGTTGACCGAGCCAATTCGGGTGAAGAGCCAGGTCTGGGGACATATGCGGGTGAACTGATGGATCGGCTTTTGGACATGCGGATTGTGCGTCGAGAGAGACAGACCAAGTCTGATCCCTGGAAGTCAACCCCAAGTATCTCTATGCCCTCAGGGATAGTTGGGTGCTGTACCGGGTACTCTCGGTATCTTATTATAACCTGCCTATGGCACTTGCTTCATTGCGGGTGATTTCCGGCCGTGGAACCGAGATTAAGTGTTGATGACTTTGACATCGGACTGGCGGTCATTGTCGTCCGTATTCGATATCTCGTACTCGGTATGTATTCACGATTCGAATTCTTTGAATCGAAGACAAATTTGAGGCAATCCCCATTCCCCCATTGCGTGGTCCTGCCGTGTTACCAGAGCGACACTTCAACATACTATTATCTACGGAGCCTTGCCGACAGTGATGACCAAAGCAAGCGCCCCCGAAACGTGGGGCCCGAGTCCCTCTACTCCGGTCGTAGCGTATCCCCATAATACGAAGCCGGACAAGAGACCCGATGTTTACTTTTGGGCATCGCTGGGAGACCCTCCGTAGCCTGACTAGGGAACTAAATCAGGCGGCATTTTCAGCGGGCGAGGCAGAGAGGCAGCGAGGCAGCCTCTGGCGAGGTTCTAAAGGCTGCGGGCTTACGTGATGTCGCATTTGGTGGCATCGCTTGGCGCTATTATTTAATCTCGACCGACTTCGCCCTCGAATTGCAGACACCACAACCTATGCCACGTAAGCACACAGGCTCGCTACTATGGCGATGAATGGAAACCGACCCCAAGCACATCATTGGCAGTTGCGTCTGGAAGCCGCTCGAATTTCACCGGGACAGCTTCTCCGTTTTTCAAGATCAAGAGACTGGACATGATTTCGCCCGCTTGAGGCCGAGACATGCGCTTCCTTGTGCGCTGAGTATATGTAGTGCATGGTCCATCAAAGCAGTCGTCATCTACGAGTTCAAACTCTCGACGCAACCCAAGCCGGCAACAACACAACATCCCTGACCTCTCTGCCTGCTCTCGCCCTCCTTGCTCAGAAGGAATGCGCACATTTAACAATGGCCTCGAATGGCTGTGCCACCTACGTTTTCGTGGAAATGAAACTCAAGGGGAAGCAGGCGTCCGTCTCTCGTGGTAACCAGATTTCACATGCCTTGAAGAATCACCATCGCGCGGCGCGAAGAGAACGCACAAAATTGTATCTGGCAGCGCGCCAGAGCCTTCTAGCCAGGAATGCCCATGGCAAGCGCTATCAGGCTTTGTCAGATTCCAGCTCATCACCAGAGGAGTCGAGCTCATCAGAACGAAATAGCCCTGAGCAGAAAGAGCGGCAGGTCTCGGAAGTCGAGATTTTGAACCCCAAAGCCCTGGGCATGGTGCTTGGGCAAGGACGACTTGATCCATTCAACATATATCCGCACGATAAAATCTCGCTGTACGTGCACGAGATTCTAGATCACGGTAAGTCAATCTCGCCCTTGGCGGCATTTCCTTGTTATTCCGCCTCTGCCCCTGCTGTTGCAAACGAGAGGAACCATTGCTGCGTGGCCGACTCTCGAACCTAGACTGATTCGAGTCGTTTAGCTATCAATCACACCTGGCCTGGTGTGTGTCCCTTCGGATACGCTGCGTCGCATCCCGTCAGGCGAGCCTGGTTAGGCTGTGCTATGGACTCTCCTGTCGCTTTCTACTCTTTCATCTTTGCAGCTGGTCTGCACCATGCTTATTTGCATGGCTGGAGCAGGATATCAAAAACCGCATACAATCTGTTATTCTCGTACAAGACGAAAGCAATAAGCCTAGTCAACGCGGCATTGCAGAAGGTAGATGTCGAAATCTCGGACGCGCTTCTGGTGTCTATTCTCATCCTCGCGGCACATGGCCCAGCTGCGACTAGCTGCGACAAGGAGTCACCAGAATATCCGGTGTCTCCGCTCGCTAATGCACAGGACTTGGACTTTTATGGCAGCCTGAGATTCGATGAGTTGCACATGGGCGCACTCCGCATTCTGGTGGCGCGTCGAGGAGGGTTGAAAAACATTCAACTGTACGGCATCGCTGACATGATTGCACTGTAAGTTGGGTGACCTGTTTCACCCTCCCTTGCGTCGTATGCCTTCCAGGCTTGCAGAAGCGCGCCGACTAATCTGAGCAATACAGTGGCGAAGTCTATGGTGCAAGTTCGACCCTGACCAAACCAGAATTCCGGAAATGGTTCGCATGTCCAACCCCGCTCTTACTGCTACCGGATTACCAGTTTTCGTCCCGCGAAATCTTTCCTTCATTGCGAAATCGAATAGTGTTCAAGCAATTGCTGTCCATATTGTGCGCCATGTCTACAATTTGTAAAGCCCTCACACATCTTCGTCAGGGAGGAACCAATCCGGCATTTTTCACCAACATCATACGAACCAGAAACAGGGTCCAGCATCGTCTGCTCTCGCTGCCTCATCAAGAATCCAGTTCAATTCTGGACCATGGTATCTATGAAACCTGCCGCCTTGCCGCAATGATATTCAGCGACATGGTCATCTTCCCGCTTCCCCCCGCAACAGAGATCAGACCACGGCTAGCGGGGATGCTGCGGAGGACCCTCGAGAGCTTGCCGGTACACCTGGAGAGGGCGAGTCACACAGAGATCTTGCTGTGGGCCGTCATGTTGGGAGCCATTGCAGCTGCCAAAACCGAGAGGCATCGGACTTGGTACCACTTGGCTGTCAAGCAGTATGCCGTCCTGCTCGGTGCGGGCCGATGGACCGAAATGCAAACGGTCCTGAAGAGACACCTGTGGATGGAAGAGTTCTGCGACCCACCAGCGAAAGCGGTCTGGCAAGAAGCAATTGGGCTTGATTCCCCTGTGCACGCAGCATAGATGCCTGAGGCAAGCGGCCCCCTTTGCCTAGCTGGCCAAGTGTCAGAATCAGGACGATAAGAGACAACCGATGCGCATTAGCAGGATGTCGGTCCACCAGACGGATCTCCTCCGCGAGATGCCGAGGTCTTCCCTTTTCCGGACCTCCGTGAAGCTGACGCTCTCAGCTCGGCCATCTGTTTTCCGGAATTCCCAACCGTTTGCCTCAAGTCGTCGTCGACCTCGACGACGCAAACAAGCTACTGGGTTTTAACGTGTCCCGGAAGCGTCTGAGAACAAGAGTCCTATTACTCAGAGGAGTGATTCGCAGACATGGGCCCGGGTTTGACATGATCAATAGGTTGTCCATTTGTCATTACTGTCATTACACCATTTCAAATCCATAGCGACTGACATAGCACAAGCCCTTTTTTGATGCTAATTACGAATATACCGACGACGAGCCGATCCCACATGTCGCCAGCAGCCCTTGCTTTTTCTCAATCCACTGCTACCTTGCATTCCTCCGGTTACATGGGTAGCTAGAGGGACTTTTTCAGGAAATCCAGCACAAGGCCCGCCATCTGGCCTAGATTTGTCTCGAGCAGGAAGTGGCCGGCGTCAATGAGGACGACCTCTGCGTTGAGGATGTCTCGCTTGAAGGCCTCGGCGCCGGGCGGGACGAAGATGATGTCGTTCTTGCCCCAGGCGGCCAGCAGCTTGGGCTGGGCGCGGCGGAAGTACGCCTGGAATGCCGGGTACAAGGGCACGTTGGAGCGGTAGTCTGTCAGCAGGGCGATCTGGACGTCGCGGTTTCCTGCCTGCTCGTCGATCAGCGCATAGTCAAGCCAGTACGACTCCGGCTCGAGGCGCTCCGGACGTGCGCTGCCGGTCGTGTACTGGCTCTTGATCCCCGCGAGCGTCAGCGCCGTGTCGTTGATTGGGGCAGCAGCGGCCTGGAACTGTGCGGGCGTGGTCGCGTTCCAGAGCGAGAAGATGGGTGGCCAGAAGGTCGCGCCGAACCCTTCAATATAGGCGTTTGCGTTCTGCGAAATGAAAGCCAGGATCGACTGCGGCCGCTGCAGCGCGAGCCGGAACCCGATCGGCCCGCCGTAGTCGTGCATGTAGGGCACGAAGGCGGTGATATCCTTCGCGTCGAGGAACGCCGCCACGCTCTGCGTCAGCGCCGCGAAGCTGTACGTGTAGTTCAACGACTCCGGCACCACCGTAAAGCCGAAACCCGGGTAATCCGGAGCGACGACATGGTACCCGCGTGCCGCCAGGATGGGGATGAAGTTTCGGAACTGGTGCGACGATGAGGGGAAGCCGTGCAGGAGCAACAGCGTCGTGCCGTTGGTAGGGCCGGCTTCGCGATAGAACATCTGGATCCCGTTGGGCAGAGTCACATTACCCACGGTGTACGGCAGCCCACCTGCTGGGGTCTGGTGACTGAGGGTGAGGAAGGAGAAGAGACAAAGGACGAGCTGGGAGAAGTTCGAAAGCATGCCTTTGGCCATGGTGAATGAACAAGTCAGCACCTGGCAAGATGCTTCTTATTGTCCCGCGGAAAAGCCTCAGATATTCACAAACCGCGCCTCGAGTGTCGACTGCTGATCTTTGATTCTCTTCTTGAGATGCGGGCCCCCCCAATATATAGTACCTCAGTGCCCGAGCGCAAGAACCTACCTGCCACCACGAACCAGCGGTCAATGAACATACACACTGTTGCATCATCGCCGGGATCGAAAGAGGAAAGTCATGACCACGAAAAAGGGCGTGCCAAAGCGTCATCAAGAAAGCTGTTGCAGCCCCGGCCGGGACCTTGCAGAACCAAGGAAACCCCGCGCGAGCGCGAGGTCGCTCGCGTCCATACGCAGACTTGCCCGTTTCGACCTTCGTCGTCAAGTCGCCTGTCGACTCCTCACTAGTACTGTAGTAACCTGGCCAAGGCAGTGGGCTGGGGCTGGGGCTGGGGCTGGGCTGGGGCCTTTCCCAACACGGAAGGTTTCGAAACCCCTGAAAGGGAAGCCTCGTCTGCTCACCATGGTGACTAAACCCCGCCATGGGCCATTCTTGGCCATTCCCACCACTCGCTTTTGCGCGGCCTTAGACGCAGCCTTAGTAACACAGCATGGGATTTGTGTCAACTGGGCTGCTGTATACGGGACATCTGGCTGCCAAAGTACCGGCCGTTGAGAGATCCTGTAGGCGGAATGGATGTCGAGGCGGAGGCCGGTATTGGTCAATGAGGCTCGAAAGACGAGAGCGAGACCAAAAGGGACCTAACTACATACCTACATGACAGCACGGAGAACTCACATCGTCAAAATCCCATACAAAATCACTGCATTGCAGCGAGACTCTGTTTCGAATGTCTCCCGCAAATGAAGGCCAGTTATCCACGTAACTAGCCAGTTGAATGGACGAAAGGAAACCCCGACGACGCCTAACTACCGCCAAAAAAAAAAAGGTCGCCATTCCGCCCAGATCCTTCGTGTGTAGCAGAAGCGTCCGTGCCCGTTATTATTCCTTTCCAGACTCAACCATCACCTCTTTCACTCGGTGACGTCGCTGCCGCGGAACAGATCGCCCCCCACGAGGTCGTCTCTGCCTTGGTCTGCCTCATAATCCTGTCGATGAGATTTTACTGAGCACCATTTCGAGCAGGGACCCGTGTTTATCACATTGCCAGGACTCAACAGAGGCTGATCTTCTAACATTCGTCAAACTCTCGTCGAGGTTCTACCCTGGCACGGGATAATATCACAGGTTCTTGCTGTATCCTAATAGAGAGTGGTGCCTGTAGTTTTCACAATATCAAGGATTCCAAACATGTCTCGAGTTCATGAATGGTGTCGTGTGACGCTGCCCTTGGTGGCATATAGAACAGACGACGAGCTTGATACTCCTGATAAGTCATGGCGGTACTGAAAGGTCAGCTCACAATGATTCCTGAAGCGATTTATTGTTGAAGCTAGCACGTGTGTGAGAACTCCCTCGTAATTGCAAGTAGGACGAATCTCGAGCAGCCTCATCGCGGCACAAAGGCTGTGATTAATACGAGATTCAATGGAACACTCAGGGATAATCGTGCGTTAGCGATTCTGAAGATCCAGCTCCACCCCATCGTCTAATGGTAGGCAATCTCCTGTAGCATATGCTGCTTCCCGTCATTCTTTAGTTGATCGTGCGACAAATCCCGTAGCCTGGTAGGTGTCCACATGACGCACCCACATTGTGCCACGGAAAGCCCGCGGATTGCGCCAGCAGCCTCCTCTGTCATCCTCTTCTTGGCTTTTTTCTGGTCATCGGTGGCGGGCTTTTCATGGAGCTGGGCAACGAACTATAATACAAGTGGTCAGATTATCAAAGTGTTTATGGCAATGTCAATTGCTCCGGGGGCCAAGGTAATAAGAAGGCTGGGGGAAATTTTGAAAGAGGCGTCACCTTGTCGGTGCACCACTTTTCCAGCAGATTGCTTCAGATGATCTCCATCGTCCCACTTCTCCTCAACCGCCTCGTTCAGCAGATCCTCCTTGAATAAATTCCATTCTTTGTATCATCATGGCCATCACTCTCCATCGGGGACGTTTTTTCCCTCAGCAAGCGGTGTCGTGGGCCTCCTTGACGCTTGAAAGATGCAGATCTCACATTGTAATGCATGTCCTCGAACACTGGATCGATCTCCTCTTGTAGCTTCCCAGCCTTCTTGCCAATCCACCTACCTCGCTGAAACTTCCATTCCAGAGCGAGTCCTTCCGCCCAGCGTCGACAAACTTACGCCGATCTGTGATGGTCTTAGTGGTAAGCTCCCTCCAATCGCGATTCTGCTAAGTAAGTGGCTGAATGCGATCGAGAAATTCGGCTCGAGACAGATCGGCGACCTTCTCAAAGCATTCAACATGGTAGAAGTCTTGTATCAGTCAGTGTCCCTCGTGGCCAACGTGGGCAATGAGTGGCGTACCTGAACCTTGACGATATATTACCCCTGGCTGGACACAGATCCGATACTATCTAGATCGGACCTGTCCTCTGCAGGAAGAAACCTTGCATTTGGCTCGAAAAGTGGCGGTTGGTGCGATCTCAAGAAAGAAGAAAGGGAATACCTGGTCGGCTCTCTGTAATGGCACATCTAGCTTTAGTGCTGACCCTTCCGTGTCTTCAGCAGTAGATGTATTGCCGATCGAGTAGTCAGTTTGGTCAACTGGGTTGGTAGTTTGGTCAATTGGGTTGCTAGTTGCATCCATCTCGATCATGTACTGGAGCAGTCAACCGAAATAGACAACTTAAAACTTGCTTTCAATATGAATTGAGGAAGTGAACAATAGCTCCGGTTCGGCATGGAGGCATGACTCTGGTGAAGCGAAAGAAGATGAAACAGGCAAAACAGAAAAAAACCGCACGCGGGAGGTGCAAAGACGATACTGGCAAGGCAGGAGCAATAGGAGCTTCTACCAACTCGGTGGTACGTCCTCGGTACCTGGCCTGCTCTGTCCTCTAGAGCGTACGTCCACGTGATCCAAGGAAAAGACTCCTCATCCTCACTTCAGTCTTTCCATTGATGTCAATAACATAGCAACTTCGCCATCATCATGGCGGTGTTGGCTTTCCGCCGTCTCACCTGAACGCAGCAATTCTCCGAAAGGCTCTAGCTTGGCCGAACCCCGATGCCTTGAAGCAGCACACCACATCTCAATCAAAGCATAGCGACAAGTCATACCAAGATGAGACCGAGTAGTGACTTCTTGTCTGATAACAGGCAGCATCAAAGGATATTTGCAAATCGTCAGGTTGGACACTGAGGTTGGAACTGAATTCCGCATACTAACCGGCTACATATACCCGAGGCAAAGCACCCAACGCGTCCCAACTCCGAGCCCGAGATTAGCAGATGCGGGGAAGACAGAAGGGCAGGGCACAAGTCGTCGGTCAAGAGATTTCTGGCTGGAGGAAAGTTGGTTTGCTCGTTGCCTCAGATTGATCGGGAACAGCACGGAGACGTCTGAAGATGGCGACCGAAGCTTTCACGGTGTCGCGCGAGCAACTGACCGGGCCAAAAGGTGTTACTGCGTTAGTGACGGGCGGCGCGTCAGGAATTGGACTGCAAACAGTAATTCTCCTTCACGAGCTTGGCAATAATGTTATCGTCGTCGACAGAGCACGACCTCATCCAGCTGCTCCAAAGACCTTGACTTCATCACCTCGCTTCCTGTACCAACAATGCGACATTACATCATGGAAACAGCAAAGAGCCGCCTTTGAGGCCGGATTCAAGAAGTTCGGGTCCATTGACTGTGTCTTTGTCAATGCGGGAATTGCCGAGTACAAGGACCAATTCTTCAAGGACGAGCTAGACGCAGATGGATTGCTCAAGGAACCTGACAGGAGGGTCATCGACATTGACATGCACGCGGCCAATGACACGGCGAAGTTGGCCATCTACTACATGAGGAAGAAGGCGCCCGACCAGAAGCGGGGAGGGAGCATTGTCATGACCGCGAGTCTGGCGGGATATCTGGCCAGTGCTGGGGCACCGCTATACAGTGCCGCGAAACATGGTCAGGACCCAGTCATTGGCTTTCAACCTGCCGCATCGCTGATAATATGTCATAACAGGTATTGTGGGCCTGATGAGGGCATTGAAGAACGACACAGCAACACTTGGGATCGCGGTGTCTGTGGTGGCGCCGGGCATCACTTTGACCGATATCATTTCAGGCCGCAAACCCGAAGAATCTCTAGCTACATGGGCCTCGAGAATGAGAGGAGTTGGCGTTCCCATCAACGATCCGCAAGAGGTGGCCAATTGCGTGGTGTACTTGATGAGCCTGGGCATCGAGGCCAACGGCAAAGGAATGCTCATTCAAGGTGGGCGGGTGGCGGATTTGGAAAAGGGGATAGCGACGTCGAGGAAGATCTGGATGGGCGAAGAGATGTTGAATTTGTTCCGGGGGGGACGGACTGCGCCATTGTTTCCGAACAAACTATAACAAGCTTCATGGACCTCGGTCACTGGGAGGGTACCGAGTCCCCTCGCGCCCTGGACCCTGGACCCAGTACCCAGTACCCAGTACCCAGTACAGAGCAGACCGAGCCACTGTAGCTATGGATGTACGAGGAGTATAGATAAGGCTGAGGGTGGCTGGATTCTCACGCAAACCCCCCGGTTCGTGATCGACGATGGCCAGGCTGCTTCTGGCGCAATCACCAAGCCATCAAATTTCGCTTCCCTAGTTACAAAGGCAACATCCCCCGTTTCTTGAAGTTGCGGTCAACACGAGCCTTGGACAAACCCCCCCCCCGCCGCCTTCGATCCTGGGTGCAGTTCTTTGCAATCATGGGGTTGGACAGCCATGTCCTTTCGTATCTCAGCTCCACATCCTCTGTACTCTGTGCTTCAACCTGTGCATTCATTCACCCTGATGCACCTCGCCGCTCCTCTTCATGTCTGTAACTGTCAAACACCTCAATGCTGATACGGCCTTTCTCCTCGTCTTCTCCTCCAAGGCGCATCCTCTGCCTGCAGATCTCACTGCCGCAGGCGGTGCCTTTTCGGTGCTCATAGATCCATGGATCAAAGATGCCTCCATCCTTACCGCGCCCTGGGCTGCAAAGACCGAGCACGCCATCCCCAGCGCCATTGAGCATCTCTCCGAGCTCGACGAACCGGACGTGCTCATCGTGTCGCAAAACAAACCTGACCGCCGCCACAAAGACACGCTCCTCCAACTGCCTCCGGACGGGAAGACCATCATCGCGGCCGAACCGGGCGCTGCAAAGACCATCAAGAGCTGGAATCATTTTGATCCCACGAGAGTCCATGCGCTGCTCAGATATGACCCCAAGGTCAAATTCGGGCGCTCGTTGCGACTCCCGATTGCTGCTCTTTCACCACAGGGGTTTCTGGGAGAGCTCAACATTGCCTTCATCCCAACCAAACGCTACAGGACCGGTCTGCACAATGCCATCGGCATCACCTATCAGCCGCCCACTCACACGAGGAGCATTGCTCCCATTGCAACCGTGGATCTACCAAAAGCCACCAGATACTTCCACATGCCGCTCAGCCCGATAACTATGCCTCCGTCCAGCCCGCCAGCGCCTCTCACTCCTCTGGTCGATCGACCCCAGTCTCTTGATCTTCCTGCTCATGCCCGCGAGTCCGTGCAGCGCCCCCACACGGCGCATTTCAAAGGACATCGACTGCGGCTGTCTCGCTCGGCAAACACTGCTTCGTCTGAATTCCTTCCGTCGACTGACCATCCTTCCATTCGAATCCATCCAGAACCCGAAGCCGGGGCGGGAGACATCGTTCAAAGAGTGCTGACCATTCCCGACCACCCTACGCTCTTGGACAGTCCTTTCCACTTTGAACTCGATCCCGCACCCTTCACGTTTGTCAACAACCTCCCCACACCTCCAGCATCGCCTGCGCCAACCGCGGTGGCATCTTCACCAAGCGCGTCCTCAAATCCACCAGCGACATCCCCAACCAGCACTTTCTTCCACCACCGCCACAGATCTTCCGTGACCTCCCATCAGAAGTCCTTATCCAGCGTCTCCTCCATGCCACACCTCGCACGCATCACTCCCGCCCGTCCCAAAGCCATCTCAATCATTTACTCGCCTCACGGCCTCCCACTGTCTGATCTCCAGCCCTACATCCAAAATCATCTCGTCCGTCTGGCCGGCGCCCTTCCTTTGACCTTGCTCCTCCACTCTTTCGACTATGCGCAAAACCCTTGGTATCTAGGCGGCAACATCATGGCCGGGATGTACGGCGGAGCAGAAATCGCCCGCGCATTGATGGCTAGATCCTGGATTAGTGCCCACGACGGACCTAAAGACGGTCGTGGGAAAAGCGTGAAGAAATGGCGGGTGAGACGCATCTCCGTGGATGAGGTGAGAAGACATCTGTGGGAAGGAGAAGATGGCGAATGGCTAAAGAAAAGGGGATGGACCTGCGATGTTCGGCACTTGGAGGCAGGGAGAGGGATATTTATTGGACCGAGTAGAGATCTTTGCTCAGGTATGGAGGGAAAGAGGGAGAGTCGGCTGTTGAGGTTTGGCGGCGGAGAAGAGTTGAAATAGAAGGGTTGACCAAAGAGGAAGGAATTCTCGATCCCAGCGTTTTACGACTGACCAAAAGCTCTGCCGGAGTGAGTTGTGACGATACTGAGAATGGGGACACCAGAACGACTAACCTTGAATGTACAGCGTACGAGGTATACTGTTTGTCTATTTGATGAGAAACGACGTGGATACCTATACAACGACCGAGCGTATTTGTATGTATATACCTCGAACTGTGCTTTATCCCTTACCATTTTCGTTCAGGAAAGGGAGCGAGGCCGCTTTAATCGGGCACGTGACCGAGCATCAAAAAGGCCTGGCCGAGCACGGGGGAGCCACAAGGAGCGCTGGCCCTGACACCACTTCGCAGAAGCCAGGCTGAGGATCGCTTTTCGATATGTCCTCTCCTTCCGCCTTCCTCCGGACGTCGAGGACCGTGCTATGAAGGACACTAGATGGGCTGATGTGAGCTTCTCTCCGCGGACCGAAGATACTTTCTTTCTTCACACATGGCAAACTTCACACATGGCAAACAGGGGCTTCGCGGACTCACAGCCTTGTTCGTCGTCTCATCGCGTCTCGTGCTCTGCTACGCCAGAGCCCTGGTCCCGCCATGCTGTGCCTTCTTCAGCACGACGCCGTACCTGTTTCAGCGGCCGATCTTCCGCCTCGTAGCGAGCGGGCACTCGTGGGTCGCCATCTTTTTTTATCCCGATGGGGTTCGTCAATGCTTTGAAACCCATACAGCTCGCGAGGGCCAAGCAGGTCGACAAGGCTCTGAGTAAACTGGCCTCCTCGTCATTCAGTTGGATCTTTCGTTTACTGTTACCCGCCACGGTAGCCACGTTTGCTAGCTGGCTGATCTGCAATCTAGGGCTGTATCGAATGTCTATGGAGAGCGATGCCTTTTGGTTGAGGAACAACACTCTTGAGCTAAGCGTCAGCTGGACTTGGGCTGTCAGAGATCCATCCACGGCGTAGTGGCCACGTAGTTATATGGAGACCAGAATATCTATAATTCACCACAGTGGGCTCTGATCTATTTGCTCCAAGGCAGCGTCATGATCATCAGCGCTTTGGCTCTCGCGACAACCATGACACCTATCTGGCGGATGGTGACATTGTTCATCCCTATATATTGGTCGTTAAACTGGAGTCGTCTCATCGGAGACCGTAAGTAAACATTCTGAAGTCTATATCGCCGCGTTAACTAACTTTTCCAGCCTAGACTAGTCTGTGCTGCTTCATGGGCATCGCCCTTGAGCGAACTCGGCCTTTCCGACCTCCCGAAAGTAGCAGCCCCCTATTCGCCCTACCTGTCGCCTCTCATCATCCTGGTCGCCCTCTTAATGATGTCTTACCAGGTTCCTTCTACGAAGTCGCACCTTAGTCTACCTGGCTCCACGACACTGGAATCAAATATTTTCCTCTCGATACATCAGAGGCTCTTGACCGCATGTACGGCTCTCTCGGTGGCATCATTCTTACTCTGGGCATCCTCATCTCCCCACACGCTCGCTGGACACTTAGCCGTTCGCCGCTTCTCTGGCTCCGGAAAGTCAGTTTCGCCATCTACCTTCTTCACGGAACGTTCTTGCGCACCATATTTACGTCGGTCCTGCATTTTGGGCATCCAAAGACCCTCGTCCCCGAATACAACGCGGACGGCGCCGAGTATCACGTCGAAAGATACCCGGTACCGGGATACTTCCAGTGCGCCGTCGCAACCGTTGTGCTGGGTGGTTGTGTCGGCGTGGCGAGCCAAGTTTGGAACAGAAGATTAGAGCCGGTATTTGCGACGATTACGAGTAAGCTCGAGGTAATGGCGACTGGCAAGCCCGAGCCCGAAACCCGTCCCAACGAGAGCACGATTCTACCCCGGCGAAAGGATTGAATACGAGGCTTGGAATCGATGCATGAAACATACCTCACCGTAGCCAGCCAAATCAAGAGCCAGATTGACTATCTATTGCCGGGACTCCCGTTGCCGATTTACTCACCACTTTGATACACTAGAACACTCTCTGGATATACGTCCAGACACGACATCTTGAGCACGAAAGTGACTTTCATCCCGCTCATGGGTTTCTCAAAAAATGGATCACGTGGAGGCAAGAGCCTCAGATCTTTGTGCAAGGCTTCAGCGTGACCATCTACAACCATCCTTCGATCTGATCCTGCACGTTTTCCGCGTCCAACCGGCTCACACAAATTGTTCGAGATATACCGTCTAGGATACATACACTTTCTCGACACCTTGGCATATACCTCTCTTCCAGACTTATCTTGCAGAATTTGAGAGGCCAACGGACTGATACTCGCGGGCCCCAAAAGAAGAAGCGGACTGACATTCGTGTATGACACTGCCAGATTACCTCATGAGTTGATCTCGCGCATCGTGATCCGCTCCAGAACGCGGCAAGGCTCCGGTGGAAAAAGGGTCATAGAGTCCGGCCTAGAGCCCAGGCAGTCAAGGAGACGGACCACGAGGCTAAGCCTCTCCAATGTTCAGGGCTTTTCAGATCAAAGTCATATTCTCGCCCTTTTTGGTGGCATCATCTTCCCCTTTGTCCGTAGGGCGATCTGGGAGCCTGGATATTCTCCAGAAATCATTGAAAAGCATAGCATCATCACGTTCACCTCTCAGGGTCTATCTAAGGCTCGTGAGTATCATCTTTTGCCCTCCTTGTGCCCTTGTCTTATTTCTTTTTTTCCACCGTTCAGAGTATGCAATAGTTTGTTTATGGTGGGTTTCTCTGTCTGCTGACACGCCGGTCTCCTCATCCTACTGCGCCAGCGATGGAGTCATCGACGTGTGACCCTGCTCTTCTGTCCTCGGCCTGTGCTCGGCGCTCGTATTCTCTTCTTCCTTGACCTTCTCAGTCCCCAGACCCTCCATTCCCTCGTCCGACGTTCAGTCCACTTCCCGAAATCTTTCTGTCCTTCCCATGTCACGCAAAAGTCTATTGAAATCCTCGGCTTGCCTAGTACCTACCGCAGCCAAAGTCACATCCGCCCCATTCTCGATCAAGTATTTCGCTACTTCTAGATGACCCTCAAGACAAGCAGCGTCCAACGCCGTACCATAACCCTCCCATTTAGTATTCACACCGGCTCCGTTTTCAACAAGTAGGCGGACAACGTCCTCATGGCCATTCCCCGAGGCCAGTTGTAGTGCCGTACCGTATTCACCGCCCTGAGCGTTGACATTTGCCCCGTGCTTGATCAGCAGTCGGACCATTTCCACTTCACCCATATACGACGCCGCTATTACTGCAGTATTGAACTGACCGCCCTGGGCATTGACCTTGGCTCCTTTCTCGATAAGTAGTTGGACCTGTCGCACATCACCACCCCATACCGCCGTCTGTAGAGGATTAGCCCATTGGCCGCCCTCGGCATTCGCATTAGCTCCAGCGGTAAGCAAAAGGCGGGCAACGGCTAGGCAGCCCTCTGGTTGATGGTCTATGCTGCCCCCCTCTGCAGCGGCCAGTAAGGCAGCATCCAACGAGCCTAGCGTTTGATTCGTCTGTAAGGCGTGTGTGAGCAACAGTGTGACCATGTCCGCCTCACCCACGCTGGCTGCGAGGCTCAAGGGCGTTTCATTTTTGTCACAATTGACTTCAATCTCTGCTCCAACAGCCAAGAGTGCCTGGGCCACGCGCATACTGCCGGCTCTGGCTGCATAATGTAAGGGACGTCTTCCGTGTTGGTCCTGCTGTTCATGACTGGTTCCATCCTCAAGTAAGCCCGTGACCAATTCGATGAGGTCAAGTGTAGACGCAACATGCAGCAAAGTAGGACACTTATCATCGAAATGCAAGTGCCTCCAGGCCACCACTAGATGGCACACTTCGAGCCAAGTAGGTAATATTTCGTTCATGTGCTTCAAGAATAAATGTCTCTCGTGACAGAAGAAGTACGTTCCCTCCGAGCAAGATGCATGGTGGAAGATCTGGGAGGCTGCATACTCAAGAAATGGCGGTAGTGGCTCAATGCATGGCCCGCCATATTTGTCACCCTTTATGCGCAATTCTTCCGAACCCAAGTAGTTGAGACAACCCCGAAATAGAACAGCATGGCTTTCATATATTGAATAGCCTGGATTCCACGCCTTTGGTTCGTTGTGCCGCCATTCCTGACCAACCTCAGCCAGCGAAGACAGGAGGGACAGTCCGCATGTGATGAAGGGTTCATTCACAGGCTTAGATGTGAAGAAGTCATTGACGGACTGGTGGATCACCTGCACTTGGTCCACGTAAATGCGCTTATCGGGCAATGTGGACAACATGTCCCGCCTAGATCCAGGAACAACTTCCATGAGTCCACCGGACCAGCTCACAATACATTTCTTCATTCGTTCATCAGAATCAACAAAACTGTGGGTATCCTGACAACGGAGCCTGCACGGTGAAGACATAGCATCTTCAGCAGCTAGTGCAAACTGCAGTTCAGTGACCGACAATGGTCGGAAGGCCAGACAGACCCACTGAAACAGACGTAAGGATCGTTTTCGGTTGCCAACGTCGATCACATGTTGAAGAATGTGCCTGTAAACAGAATCGAGCTCTGCCGGCACTTCTCCTAGTCGTTGACGAATCTCTAGCGGGGAATGACCGTCAAGTAGATATTTGCGCGCCAGGGGAGCGACCAGACGGGCCCATTGGAAGATGCCTCCGGCGGCCGCCCTCTCAGTAATCTCTGTTACAAAGTCGTTCCAATCCGAAAAGTCATCATGTGGAACAGCTTTAAGTGTGCTGTCTCGTAACGTTTTCTCCATGTAAGACATTATGTCTTTTCTGTTGTAATGCTCTACCGTTATTTCGACGCTTGGCATGCTGGATGTGATAGGATAGTGGCGAGAAGACATGCAAATGCTCACTTTCTTCTGCACTCTGCTGAGCCGCCCATCCAGCTGGTGAAAGTAATCTGCGGTGTTTGCGGCATCCTTGCCGGCCTCATCGAGAGCGTCCACGAAGATGATCAATCGTCGTGACTGCGCCGCTTCCTCGACTGCCTCGATCAAGAGTTTTTCCAGTTCTCGTTGTTGCCATTGCCAAATGCGCCCGGCAGATCCAAACTGAGTTTGCTTTTCCTTATAAGCAGTGCGTATTGGGCCTCGAATCGCAGCGGATTGAGTGTATAACTGGTTGAGAAGACACCGAAGCATCCCGAGTGGCGATTTCTGGAGTTCAGATCCGCGAGCATGGAAGAAGAAGTCGAGACAAATGCTATGCTTTGACGCAATATCCTTTTTCAAGGTGCTGTAGATGAATGACATCAAGGTCGACTTGCCAGATCCGGGTCTACCCTTTATCCACAAAAGTCCATCCCTGCTGTCATGCCAGTTTTGATAGATCTCGTTGTCTTGAATCCACTCGCAGCTTTGACCATGACGATGATCGATATTGCTTCTTCTGTCTAGCATTTCTGGAAATGCGAGCGACTCCAGAACATCTGCGAGCGTGTTAATTGATATTCATCGAGTGGAGGACCATGAATCACAACAATGGCGCTTACTCTGGTCAGTCGACGAGAGAACAGCAGGTGTGTCTGTTCGCATGCGAGTTAGTGATCCCAGCACTAAATTTGGCGTGATTTTGATGCACCGTCGCCTGCCCACTTTTTGATCAAGCGAACAATCTCCCTGTAGTCTAGATTGTCTGCAGACGCAAAACGCTGCATGTTGCGGTGGCCCTTCTCGAAGCCTAACTGGTACGATCCATCAATCACCGCAGAATCTCGATCCACCACCTACACCCCATGAAGTTAGGGGCCGTAGTGCGAAGGTATTTTATCCACTGTGTACTAACCTGGATGACGGGGAAGCCAAAGACTGCCTCTGGTATAGTCTCAAAAATACAGACTGTGTTTTCGATACCGCAGCTTCCTGGAAGGCACTTCAAAAAGTTTTGATGAAGGACGTGGTTAGGAATGGATTTCGGGCGAAGTATGTCCAATGAGGTTGAGCTTGCTCCAGTCCAGTGGCCAAACAAAGATACGAAACGACCCAGGAAGGTCAGATTCGCTCCTTTGTGAGGCGTCCCGAAGAATATCAATCCTTTGGTGTTAGCGACTATAGCATGGCAGAAGGGATCTTTAGCGTCACTCCTTGCATTAGCCAACATCTTTATCCATCAGCCTTGGTCTTCTGGCAAATGGAGTTAGCAGACTCACTTGTTTAATGATTAAGCCTCCGTAGCTGTGACCGACAAGCACCAGGGGTCGGTCCCACTATTATATACCACGTTAGACTGTCTGAAAGCAGCGTCCAAGTTATTCTTTTGCCCCTGCAGCCACCCTAGGTACATCTAGGCAGCATCCTCTAAATGAAACACTCCATAAACAATTCAGGAGATATCAAGTCCACCTTGGCATACATGCGCTGAGACTGGTGCAGGCGAAAGACATGTCAAATGAGTAGAATCTACTTACTTCCTCTGGTTTTCGGGTCTGACGTATGACGCGGAGAAGGTCGTCGCCGTAATCGTGTAATGATTTGTTGATTGCATGTGTGTTCCAACGGCTGTTGTGGTTGAACAGTATTATGCGCATGTTGATATTTTCTCCAGGCAATAAGTCTCGAAGCCAGTTGATGGCTGGTCTTGCCGGCTGACGTGATTGCCATGTTGTTTCCGGATTCGATCCAAGACCATGAACAGCGATGAGGCTGTTCATTCAATTTATTATCAGCCAGAGCTTCAATGATGGGCTTTCGGGTCACTCAATACTCAAAGGCAGGTTCTGGTGGAATTGGAATGACCTCCTCCCACAAACGCGACTTATCTGGCGGCGACAGCGCAAATATACGTTTCTGGAGGGGAGAGAGGGCAATGCAGAAACATCCGTCGAACACGAAGAATATGAGCGGGAAAATCGAAGCCCATGATGGCCACAAAGAGACAAGCACATAGATGCTAGCCAAGAGCAAGGTCAGGGCAAGGCTCCAAACACTGTGGAAAAAGCTGTTGGAAAGGATTGCACAAGCCAAGTATGTGCCAGTAGCAAATCCTAGAGCCCCGAAGAATGCCATGCTGGTGTAAGCATTATTTGACTTCACATACGCTGATGATAGAGTACTAGGTAGGTTTACTGCCTACCGAGATGAGGGTGGCAGGCAATGGCACCAAGTCAGCCGACCAGGAAATGTCACGGCCTAGTAGTGCCACACGCGTCTCAATCCCACCACCACGTCTTCTACTCGACCTTGCAACCACTCAAACACCAACCACCACCTCGCCAAATCGTTCAAAGGGATGCCAATCGAGAGGCTAGAATACAACAGGCCATCGACGACTATTAATCACGTCGATATACTCTTCATTTGGACCGGGGAGGATTCGAGTCACGTAAGGTTGCGAGTGAGGCGAGATTCCAGCTGAGGCGAATGCACGTGACGGGGCAAGATCGGGATGGTAGAGCAGAGAGGAAGAGGATTGACGAGGCCGCGACGACAATGATATTGAGATATATGATGTTTCTACCGCATTTCGTCCTCTGGCTTTCTGATACGCTTATCACGACCGCTAATGTCACTAAACGCGTGACATTGACCCAAGCGTCCGCAACCTAGAGATCGATATTGACGCCTCGCACAGCCATCACGATTTTAACCGCGACAGAGCTTCTGGTATAGCTTATATACTATCCGACAGCTGCTGTGATAGAGCCCGAGCCCGAGCTCGAACTTGAGACTGGATAGGAGCGAGCTGTACTCGTCTATTGTAACTGCCTCGAAACTTAAATCGAAGAGACGAGGAAGAATGCGTCGAGAGGATTGATGTCAAGTTATCCTTAGTACAGTGTAACTCCCCAGTCCTCAGGAATATAGTGATGCTGGATTGTCAGGCCAATATAATGCTGTACGATCGGCAACACTCTGAAGTCCATATGTCGCACCTCACTTCTGTAACTCGGCACTCGAACTGAAAGCTCCATCTATATATATGGTACTGTACGGAGTACTGTGTTTGCCTCTCTGCTCAGAAGGACCCATGGCGGAGTCGAGCACTTTGTCACCACGGATGGCTATGCAGCAGGCAGGTTTCAGGAACGCTTGTACTATACCCCCCAAATCCCTTATAGTAGCGGCTTTCAAAAGGTCCATCGGTCACGTGCCTGATTAAAGTGGCTTCGCTCTGTTTCCTGAACGAAAACAGTAATGGGTGAAGCACGGTTCGGGGTGTATATAAAGTATATATATATATATCCAGTATACCGAGTACGTATATATGTAGTCCTGTTCAGCCTCGTTCAGCCTCGTTCAGCCTCGTGGCGATTGGCTGGTTGTGCGCGGAGATTCGGCTCTAATTTTTGGATCGTGATAAGACGTCACTCGTCGATCTTGCAGGAATTATTGTCCCATATGATCCCATATGATCCCATATGAGCTGCTCTCCCGTTCCCCATGTTCTCGATACTAATGAGGTTTGCCTGGGAGAGACTCTCACGCTGGCACCACCATTCATTCTAAGTCTCCGGCAACATGTCTGCCGTTCTGTCCCCTTCCCAGACCGCTGCCCTATTCGACATTCTGACCCATTATGACACCTACGCCCAGATTCGCGAGTTTCGGAGGCCAGGCAGTCTTGCAAACTACGGGCCCCCATTTCCCGCCCAACAAGATAGCCCATCCAGTTCACCCGCCCTGCAGGCTCTGGTCTCAAAGTTCCTGCTAAACCTGCCCGGCTTGAACAACCTTCCCGAGAAATGGTGGACCGTGCAGTGTCAGGAGATCATCGAGGGTCTGGAGAGGGCCAACCTGAGCGAGAGCTACGACAAGGGCGTCATCGGCAGCCGCAAGACCCTCGCCACGGCAATATCAGCCCTGATCGAATATCCCGTCAGAGGCACTTTCGCCGGCTTCCCAGAGATCAACGACCGCGATCCAAACTACGACGTCACCAACGCCGATGATCTGCAACGGGCCTTTCGGGACTTCCTCAATGAGTGCGTCTACGGTAATATCCTCGACGACTTGGTGCAGAGAACCGGTGAGACGGACAATCTCGAAGACCACCCTCAACTAACAAAAGCCGTACACGAGTTTGTCCTCGTCAAGTGAGTCCCGTTTTGTCAGCCTTTCTCTGCAAGTCCCTCATCCTGCCTGCTTTTCACATACTCACCAGTGGCGCAGTATTGCCTCCCTTATGCATTACACTCTGATCTTGTCACCCAAGGGTCAGTATCTGCTGAAGCTGGTTGACAATGCCAACAAACTGGTGCCCTACATGGTTCTCAGACAAACACTGAAGATCGGAAATGTCGCGACCATGATAAATGCCATGGTCAAGGTTGGTCTGGCCAAGATGAGTGTTACCAGTGTTACCAACTGGATAGGCTTGACTCAGTCTCAAGATGAGGGCACGAATCTCATGCAAACGTACGCCAACCCGCTCCCCGATCTTCCAGAGTGATCGCCTGACTCAATCGCGCAGAATCATCTCCACGGTCCTTAATTGGGACATCAAGGACCTCGAGTCGAGGGGTGCGAAACTCGAGCGAGAACGCGCAAGACTCGGCAAAGAACAGCTGCACGCCTTGAAAGTTTACGCGCACAAACCGCAAGAAGAGCAAGACCGCATCCGCAAGGAAAGCCAAACGCAGTCCATATCGATTGTAACGGCCATTTTGGAAGATACCACACCGCCTGCGATAGAACTGACCGAAGTCCATCACAAGCAAGCGTTGGAGTACCTCTCGATCCACCTCTCCATTCGCGACCGCAAACAACTAATCCAATGTCTCTGTAAATCGACCCCAGACCACCTCACACTGTCTGTCCGCGAAGTTGTCGATGCTTACGAGCCTGTCATACGACGAATGCACAAAGCAATCGATCTGTCCTCCACACTTTCCGATTTCGAGTACTTCCTTAAAGACCTGATCAAGCTAGCAAGAGTCCAAACGGATAAGTCTAACAAGGCCATCGTACCGACGGTGGGGGATTTTGTCCAGCTACTCCGCAAACACCAGCGGTCGTGCCACGTCTTCATGCACCAGTGTGCTAAGAATGATAAGGAACTAACCGGTTGGTACCTCGACTGGGCAAAAAATGCAGCCTCGCACTTCAGACAAGAGCCTGGTGGCAACCATTCGGACGTGGTAAAGCACGGCAAAGGCGGAGCTGGCAACTTGACACCGGCCCTGCACGACCTGTTCTCCTCTCTCCCTCAAGAAACACAATCCCGCATTCTGCCCATCCTCGACTCCCACTCCGACTTTCTGGATAAAATGCACGAACAGTCCCTGGCCCGCCTGGCGAACGTGTTGAAGTCGCCACCGTCCAAAAACCCGGCCATCGCAAAGATCTTCTTCTCCGCCAACCACTCCAACCACTCCAGCAAGCCTTCTTCACGCCCATCCAGCCCTGCTCCACCATTCGATCGCAGCGAACGCCCAGCAACACCGACCTCGACTCCAACATCAACGTCATTCCCCACAATGGTATCAGAAAGCGACACGGCCCGCGAGACCAAAGAGAATTCTACACCGGAGGTCTCTGCGAACCCCGGGCCCGGCGCATTCCTGGCGCGCTGGCAAGCGCTCCTCGACGCCACGCCAATCACGCCCTTGAGTCAGCAAGGGAGTCTGAAAGCGGCGAGTTCGCTGGAGGTGGTGCAGGCGAGCGCGACGGACGTGGACGGCTCGAAGCTCGTAGAGTTCAAGAACAAGGAGGCAAGGGGGGTGAAGATCCGCGTAGAGGACCAGCAACCGCACGGGGAGAATGAGAAGCATGAGAAGGAAGACGATGACGTGGGGATCGGATATAACGCCAGGAAGAGGCAGAAGCAGTTGAAGATTGTCATCGATGCCATGGGAGACGGGTTTCGGGATCTGTTGGCCAAGAAGGGGTGTTATTGGTGAACATTCACGAATATGTGAACATCCAGGGAAGGAAAGGGAGGCAGAGGGGCGTGCGCATATACCTCATACCTCTTTTATCAAGACCGCTTCTTCGCCGAGCGGCTCTCCACCCAGGAACCCATGACTCGACTCGCCCTTCCGCGAACTCGGAACCATCGATATGTATCTACAGACAACACTCACATATTCCACGCTCGCCAGCCAGCACAGTACAACACAGCACAGCAGACGGACTTTTTCGAGCAATCTGGACTCTCTGGTCCCTCAGCAGGATACGCAGACTGACAAGCAACCACCTGAGCCGGCGAGAGACACGCATGAACCCCCTGTCCGTAGATGCAGGAGAGACCGACTAGGTACACATTTTCCGATACAGATGCCTTTAAGCACCACAGATCCACATGGTCACGGGGTCACAGGGCCAAAAAAAAAAACACTGCCTTTTCTTCTTCCTGCCCAAGCAAGGAAGCAAGGAAGCAAGGAAGCAAGGAAATAAGCAAGCGAAGCGGGAGGCACTTACCCCATGGGAGGAAAACAACACATCTACGTATAGACATTGGACATTGGACATTGGACATTAGGCGTTTCTTCCCGCCCAATCCGTTCGAGTTAAGCTTGGATAGGGGTGTTCGGGTGACGAGTCCTGTATCCTGGATATCTCTATCTTGGGGGATCCGTCGACGCCGGGGATGGAGAGCGGAGTCCCGGCGGAAAGAAGCGAGTTCAAGGTGGAAAGAAGGGCAGGGCAGAGCAGGGCAAGTCACAGCATACATGGGACACATAAATACCATCTTCTCTTCCCCCCCCTCCCCCCCCCGTCCTCTGGCCGACGATCAGCAGGTCCAGTGTTGACGCCAACACCTTCCTCGCCTCCGTTGGACGGACGGCCGGCCCATAACGTCCGAATTTGGGACAAGCACGCGGACGCGACAGTGGACATGGACACGGATACGGCTGTCAATCCTAGCGGAGTACAGTCCGCGCGGTCAGCATCACATTAAGACGGCAACAAGGCTGGCTCGAGGCAGGCTCAGGGCTAAGTCGGAGGGTTAGGGTTATAAATTTTGTTTTTATTTGTTCCCTTGCTTTTTTTTTGGCTTTTCAAAAAACCAAGCCAGTCTAGTTGGGTTCCTTTCGTTCTGCTCTGACATGCATTTCAAATTGTCCGTTCTTGCTCTCTCCTGCCCTCTCCGCCCTGCCTCCCTCCTTCGCCAGGGTTAAAAAAAAAAGAACCTCCCGCGAGAGAGAGAAGGAAAAAAAAAAGGAATGTGCTCGGGATATCTGTTCAGCCGTATTCCATCCTTCCCTCCTTGCCCATGCATGTAAATATCTCTTTTTTGTCTTTCAATGACCGTAGATAGATAGATGTTTTAAACCAATCTCGATTTGCACCCGAAAGCCATGATTTTCCGCTCGTTGCTGGTTTGCTTCTGAAACACCGTTCGTGAACTGCGATGCCATATAGGTACCGGTGACAAGGACATCATGCTATCCCTCCAAAAATGCCAATCAATGCAAACACCAATGCCGCTGATTCCGAGACCAGACCATCATCCTAGTATATACCAAACCTGACCCATAATGTGCCGTAAAGACTCCATAAGTGGTGATTTCACATCTGAGAGGTCCCAATTTGCATCTCAATTGACGAAAAATAAAGAAGAAGAAAAAATAGATATTCTCCAAAATAGCGATCTCGTCCGGCAAAAGCAATCGGGTATCAAACTTCATGAGCTAGTGCCCTTAAAACATGCAACTAACATTCGAAAACTGTTCGTCGTCCTTCGTAAACTTTTGAAATTTCGATGTGATGGGGAATCCCGTCGATGTCGACCTTATCGACCTCGTAGTTGCATCATCCTCAACCTTCTCTCATCATCTTGAATTGAACTCACACTTCGGTGAGAAACCGACCCCCTTGGGACACCGTTCACTGGTGAGTCTGGTGAATTCGCCGTTATTGTTAGAGTGCCCGGCAACCTTGGTGATGTTCGAAGGTGAGCCGTCGGGGGCTCGGCTAACAGCGGTGGACTGGGACGGGTAACTGCAGCCCCATATGTAGGAAGAGGTATCGACCGATCAAACTGCGACCTTGGAGCCGGGGTTTTGACAGCTGTTGTATACGACGGAACGCGAGCGAGATCCTCCATGTGATCGTACTGAGGGAATGGTGTTCGAGCACCAGACTGATGTCCTCCTTCTTCTTCTTCAGAAGTTCGCCGTGACATCATGAGACTGCCTGGTTGACTAGGTGTATGGGACGGACCGCCTGAGGACGCACCTTGGTCGACGGGGCTAACTCTAGGGTGTGAGCTGGCATTCGACGCATCATGTGGTGCGAAATAGTCTACCGGCATCGTCATAGAAGACGAATTCCTCCTGGACCGCCCATCCACCGGCAGCGTTAGATTACTTATTTCACCGTCTTCATTGCCCCGCAAATCCTGGATGAAAGAGTCTCCAACCCGGAGATCCTGAAGCCTATTCTCAAGAGCTATGGGCGAAACGTAGTTTCCATTCGCCATGGTGGCAAGGCTCGCGAGGTTTTCGTGGGATGCATGGCGACTGTGGAGATATGGCGTGCCTGGGGTCGAAAGGGCGGTTCCCGGTGTTCGATAACCATCCACATCAGAATATAGAACGTCCAAAGTGTGCTTCCCGTACACTGGCGGCGCCGCGTTGGCCAAATCGTTCGCAATAGCCGCCCGTCCAGCCTGAGGTGATTGGTCGACCAGATCGTTGTTTTCGTTGATAGGTAGACTGGGAGATATGTAGAAGGAGACTGGAAGGTTGGCTCGTAATTCGGAAATGTGACCGTCGGGATTGTGTAACTGAACGTTAAATTTCACCTTGTGCCGGACCTTGATTCCTTTGACATTACAGTCTTGCAAGCACTGGTTTAGCGACTTGGGCAACTCGAGATATCGAGAAAATTGGTATCCTTCGGCAACCTCGTCGATGACCTGCTCGTCCTTTTCTGGATCGACCTTGTAAAGGTCCGATGCGATGACCCTGTCGGTCTTGGTCTGCCCGTTGTTCAAAGCGGATATCCCCCATTCTGGATCAACAATGAACTCTTGCTCTTCCTTGACCTGGGTGGAGACGTTGCCGATAACTAGGCCCTTCAAGAGAGATATCAATTTGAAGTCAACTTGTACGAATGATCCAAAGGCGACAGCCTTGTTGGGGATGCTGATGGAGTATTCTATTTTATTCGGCCATATGTTCTCGACAGACTGGCAGTGGGTCAGCAGAGGGGCAAAGCTGGTTTGTAACGAGGCATACCATTGCATGGGAAAGTTCCAATGCGTTCGAGTCAAGGGTGCGGACAATGCGCAAGGGTTTGCGGACGACGATATCCCTCCCTCTCTTGCGACTGATTTCGGCCTTGAGACGATAGATGATCCACGCATCTTTCATACCTTCCACACTTTCGGGCAGAGAGCCTTCGAGGATGCATCGGAACGGCCACTCATAGTTGTCGGGTTGTAGCACTTCGGTCTTTCCTTTCCCCGGGTCCCGAAACGACCAATTCTTCTCGAAAAAGGTCTTCTCCTTGTACGTGGTGCGTCGGCCAGACATGGAGGAAGTCGAAGTGGTCTGCCATCTGAACACATCAGGTTAGTTGGAAAATGATCACGCGGGCGTGAGGGACTCCCGGGACACCCGTGGGGGCCCATTCAACATACGACATATGCAGGATCCCACTCAATGTCAAGTCAACGTGATGTATGGTCATAGGTTCCGTGAGGCAGAGAACCAGAGATCCAGAAAGTTGGGCACTGGCAGCCTCGTCTTCATTGCCCCGGAAAACAATGTAGTCATTGTCCAGGCGGATATCGAAGTACTTGACACTGCTACTTGAGCCCGAGTGAGGGGCATGGGCACTCAGGAACTTGAGCGCCATGGCTTGTGATTTGGAAGGTGCCGCTCCGTGGAGGTGACGGTCGGCTGAGATAGAGGAAGAAGAGCTCGAGGGGCGCTGGTTCAAGGAAGGGCGCAGCACTGGGTCATGGTGGCCGGAGTAGCATTCGGGTGAATGCTTGCGGTTTAGGCGAAGGAGCGGCCTAATCTGCTGGGTTGGTGTAAGAGCATTAGAGAGAGTGTGACGAGATAGTGGAATGAAAGGTTTGAGGGTGAAGCATATGACAGTGAATCAGGCACGCGCATGAGAAAGCACAGGTACTGTGTTAGGTACACGCAAATCTCTACTCATACGTCGGTGGACATGCATGAGAATTTTGAGGTGATGATTGCGAAAGAAAAAAGATAATGAGCGGAATGGAGGGGATAATTGGATGGAAGGTTACAGAGTGGGTAGACAGGTTGCGTGCTGGGTGGGTGTTGGTGGGTTGTTGGTGGGTGCCGGGCGGGAATGGCTGAGAAGAGGCAACCAGAGTGGCTAATGAAAGGGCCGAGAGGGAACTTACTGTTATCAGCCGTGGGTCCCTCTGATGATGGGTTGGATGGTCCACTCCGGCTGTTCTCCCTGATACCGGGAGTGGCAGTGGTGGTGCCGGTGGTGCTTGTGCTGGTAGCGCTGCCACCACCGCTGCTGCTGCTGATGATGATGATGCTGATGTTGAAGATGCCGATCTTGGCCCCGGGCCACTGGGTTGATGAGCCCTTCTGGTTAAGGCTCCCGTGAGCGATACCGATGACGCCGGCCCCCCCCAAGTGGTGGAACCTAGACTTGGCCCTAATATGCCTGAGCCGGGCTGTGCCTCTGCTGCGATTTCGGCTTCAATGGCCGCTTCGATCGGGCGACTTGCAGCTTCCTCGATACCCTCGTGGCCAGGATCAGGACTGCTGCTCTCGCTGAACGTGATGGCAGGTATCGAGTTCGACGACGAAGCCGTAGTCCAGAAAGAGGCTGTCGTGTTGGTCGTGTCGGATCTGCCTCGCCCTCTGCTGTTTGCGCTTTCGTCTTGGAGGGTGTCTTCGCAGTCCACCTGAGCCTGATCGCTCACAGCCGTCTGGATGCCGTGGTTCAGGATTGAGTCTGGATCCTCCACTTGAGCCGCCAACGGTGTCCTGACCTTGACTTTGGCCCTGATCTTCGCTGTGGCCTTCAGCGAGCCCAAAGGGGCCAGCATCGGTACTGGGAGTTCTCGCAATATCGCTCTTGTCCCTGCCGCTCGTTGATTTCCCAGCGTCATATTTCAACCTCTCCTTGTTTTTCCAGTGCTCTGTGTTCTTCTCGGTGTTATATCTGTCTGCATTTGGCACCCTGCTGACCCCTGTCCCACTGAATCTGGCCAATCTGCTTCGTGGCTGCGCTACTCTTTTTGGCGAATCCCTCCTCAAGGCCGCGATCTCTTCCGAAACCTTGTCACCTGGACGGTTGGGCTCAAGGATAGTGAGGATGGAAATCGTCGGGAATCGCAGGAACAGGCGGGCACTGGCGAGACTGATATCTATGTAGACCAAGATAAGCCTGATAGCACCGATTGTCAGGCTGATAGTACTGTAATGAGCCACAGTAGCCGATGTGGTGTTCTTCTGACCAGAAAAGATGAGTAGCGTAACCACTCTCCTGCTACTTATGGCCACCAAGTCGAAATATCGAGGCGCACGTGGGAAGGAAGCTAGGATGGAGGATGGTACCCGATGCTGATGGCACAAGAGTGAGGCACCCTGGCGTTGCCAATACAGTAGTAAATTGTGATGTCTTGATTTCCTGCTTTGGCAGTGCCTGCGAATACGTGTACTTGTTACGTGCCTTTCGGACCGCGCAGCTACATAATACCTCACACGAGCAGCTGGGCCCTTCAGTCTTTAAAAAAAGTGTGCTCACCCCTTTATCATTATTCGTTGCCAATTCTCCAACAGCCCCCTCGGGGATCGTCAGGGCTGGGAAATGGCCCTTGTCTCTGCGAGCTGATCCCAATCACGGAAACATGGGCTTCTTACAAAGCCGCCGCTCTCCTTTCACTGGACGCACAGTCAGAAACAATATTATGGAGGATGCACCTCCAACTCCTGAATGACAGTAGCCCCTTCGGCTCGTTTATTCCCTGGCTAGGAGTCATCTCTCTTTGCGAGCGCCTCCCCCTACTTCCTTTCTGACTCTGCACCCTTCATTGGCCTGGCCACAGCAAACGAGCAGAGTACCCTGCATTGCCTGCATGACGCCCAGATGTGGCTACTTTTTCATCCCACCCTGTTCGCTTTCTTATGCCGCTTACGACTCCTCTGGGAAAGTCTACTCGGAACGATGGTACCTTGAGACGAATTATGCTCTTCTCGGGCCCGCGCTCTTTTGGAACGCTGCCACTTCAGCATTAGGTTGTGCAAAAAGGCATCAAGATCTTGGAAATGGTGAGTGGTCCGATGGCAGCATCTCGGAATTATGATGCCGCCAGAAAGTCAATGAAGGACAGCCTAGAAGCAACTCGTGGAACCCGGCCCAAGGGAATTGACAAACCTCCCCCATCGTCCGGCTGATCGGCACCCTCCGTGCTAAGCGTCTGCTTGAGAAATGCTTGCTGGCATCAATGATACCATGCAGTCGTCATGTGGTTCGTTGTGGTTGAGTAACTTTTGCTACAAGGAGTATCTCGTCGGTCACACACTGCCCTCTGGCTAGACATTTACGACTTGCACTTGTTATACTGGCAGACCCACTGCGGCTATATTGCCGTGAAAGCCCTCTGGTGTCGATCATACCGTCTGCATTCCCAAGTTTGCAAACATCGGGCAGTTTGGCGACCAGCGAAAGCCAATAGCGCATCATCGGCTGCACCAAACGAAGACTTCTGCTCATGCGCTAAGTATGCCTCATTGCCCTATCGACGTGCTCGATGCGCTGATAGCTAGAACCTTCCACCTCACCGACCTGGAGCCCTCAACGAGGGTTATCTACAATACTTGTAAAAGGACTTGCAAATCGCTGATCATACGCGAAGTGGAATGAGGCGATACAGCCGGCAGTGCGCCTTATGGCATCAGGGCTTCGCCGTCTTCGGGCCTTTTCTATATACCATTCAGGGCCTCGGCTTTTCGGAGATATCTATCTGACTGCTGTTCGGGGCTTCTCGAGGTCGATTCCAAGTGCGTAGATGTCCTTTAAGGTTGTGAGTATCTAATACAGACTCTTCCTCCATTGAAGACGTCGGTAAGAACGCAGATTTAAAAAAAAAAAGCGGACGTACCTTCGTGACAAGTTGTGATGATGCAGTCCTGCTCGAATGCGAGAGCACTCAGGGGATGATCATCTATCTTCTTGGACTGTTAATTGCGCGTCAGTGTATGCCCCGTTGAAGACTCTTGCACGGCAACAACACCAAGAACATACCATTACAGGGGGCAGTTGGGCTGTCCGTGCTCTGGGTTCAACAGGGTGATTGAGGAATTCGGATTCGTCGACCGTGTCTGGCTGGACGAAACTTCCGGTCCGGTTTGAATCAGATCTGATTCGGTTGACGATGCCTGAACTTTCTGTCCGTTGACGGAGCAGTGAAATTGATTGGGCTGAGATACTGCCTCTAGGCCTAGCGGTTGCCTGATACTTTGTGTAAGCGGCTGTTGAATCGACCTTGGCTCCATCTTAATCTACTTACCGCTTTTGGACGATGGAGCATGCCAACACTGAAGTCCCAAAGCAGGAGCTTGCAGTCATCGCCCACACTACCAAAACGATATGTCCTCTCGTCGCAGCGCCACGGATCGAAAGCAACAGCCGTTACCCATGAGTCATGTCCAGGACACCGAGCAATAATCTGGCGTTCGGCTAGCGACCAAATGGTGACAAGATCGTCTTGGCCCCCGGTGAGCACGTATTTGCCATCAGGCGACCAGCATACGCAGGTAAATCCGCCATAATAGGAAGAATATATATCGGTAAGCCTGCGCACACATCAGTCTTGCAAATCCTAGGAGAGATACCGAGTGTGAAGCTGTCGGCGCACCTCTCTTGAGGATAATCTATTATCCGAAGATATCCATCATCCCCGACCACAGCGAGATGCCTATTGTCTGGGGAAAAGGCGAAATCGGTGATAGTCTGATTGGAAATCCGCCAGCAAGCTACCGGGTTGGCTTTTTGATTGGATGAGTTCACACTCTTACTGATGACCAAGGTAGACTGATCTTCATCTTCAATACTGATCGCTTCATCCACCAGCTCTTCCGAGACGAAAGGCGCATCTTCCTTTTCTTTGTCGTACACGACCAGAGTCCCGTCCATATGGGCTGCTAGGAAGAGGTTCTCAGACCCAGGTATCCATCTTATGGCGGAAACGGCCGAGTTGTTGATGATGCCATTTTTGTTGATGCGGGCATATTTCTGTGATATGGGCTCGTACCAGATGATATCACTGGCCGAGGATCCCATTACAATGTCCATGTGTGTCGAGTGCTTGGTCATGCTGTTGACATCATGACACAGCATGTGAGCCTGCAGGTGTTAGTTAGCTAAGACCCGGCCATGACGGAGTGTAACAATGGCTCGTGCAAACACGACATCGTCTTGCGATGAGAACGGGTACTCGCCTTGGTAAAGAGGATTTTGGTCATTGGGTCCTGTTTAGCTCCTGAAGCCAGATCTAACCACTGAAAAGCGCGGTTGATGTTGACGAAGGCGAATGTACCCCGTTGATCTCGGTCTTGAATCTTCTTTGCGAGGGATTCGTGGGGAATGACACGAGAGACGAAAGAGGAGTTGCTTTTAATGATGTTGTTCTTCGGTTTCCGTCGTTTGAGGCCATCTCTGCTGATGATAGGCGACAGGGCAGCATTTCCCTCACCGAACGCTTTCACTGTACTCGACTTGTTGCTTCCATTTTGTGATGTCGTCGCGGGGTTGCTGCTGTCGCTACCGGTCTCTATGGATATCCTTGGCTCTTTCTCTACCTCCTTGATTTCTTTCAAATCTCTCACGTCCTTTGGCTCCTTGGACTCCTTCGTCTCTTTTGAGTTGTTTAATCCCAAGGATCTCCAGCGCAGAAGACTGCTTGTCGCGGTGGTGGTTCTGTAGAGATCGGGAGTAATTTGTTTTGGGCTAAGTGATACCAGGGACAGCTTAACACCGCTCGTTGGGGGGGTAACGCTGGTTGCTAGAGGGTTGGGATTGACGACGGGGGCCTCAGAAGGATGAGGTGGTGGGGTTGCGAGTTGTAGGTCGTCTCGTAAAACATATGTCCCTGCTCGTCTCTTAGTAGATTGTTTGGTGGTGGGATTTCGAACCGCAGCTACCTTCGCCGGCTTGAAACGTATATTCGGGACCTTCGCGGATGGTCAGAGTATTTGCGGTTTCGAGAGTTGTCGCAACTAAGCCGCTGTTGGTGGGATACCGCGGCGGCGGGGGAATCGCACTGCGCAGAAGCAATTAGCGGAAGGCAGCAGAACCGGCCATGAGGTCTCTGACATACAACATGGTAACGGGTCACGATAGCAGGAGGTCTTATTGTCGGCGCAAGAGAGTCAGTGGAAGGAACGAGGGGTCGCGCAAGGCCAGGAGGCGGCAGTTGTGCGAGGAGGAAAGCAGAAAACGCTGGGAACGAGGAGGAGGAAGATTGAGTTTCGAGTTCGATCGTGAGAGGCGGGAAGTCGGGTTTGAGTAAGGGGTCCCTAACACCTTCACCCAACTAACCTTGTTCTCCCGGTGTTCTTCCAGCTTTCGGTGGGTCCCCGACCTTCAATGCGGGGGGTTGTTCTCCGTCCACAGTTCAGCCAAAAAGCTGGATCGTTGTTGCTGCCACTCTGACCAATTAATCACAGTCTGTAGCGAGACGCCATTTGCCATGTATGTGCCGACCTCTGCTCGAGAGAGTACAGGTTGAACTAGCGCAGAGAAGATGTGATTTCGTCCTCGCAGGTATAATAGTGGGTATCCTTTCCCGCCAATTTGTCGACGACGGGCGGCTTTCTGAACGATATCGCAGGTCGAAGGTCCTGTTACAGCGGAAGCTGACATTGTCACATATCGTCCGGCCATTTCATTACAGCCAGCTCTTCCCTTAGCACACTGGCCAGTTCCTGGCTTACAGCCTCAAGGTCCTCCCGGATTTTCTGGGTATCGCTGTCCTCCTCGTGGTTGTCATTCTCCTCTCTTCCCTCCTCTTCTGTATGAGCGTCGATGCCGTTGGCCATCTGCCCGTGCTCTTGGGATTGACCAAGGCCATTCTGCAGGGCCTTTTTCTGCTTCGGCTCGGGTCCTGTCACGGCCAACAGGAGGTGATCGGCAACAGGAGCAATCACGGAAATTGCTCCCATGTTTTGTGCCTCGAAGACGAGTACATCCTCTGACGCAACCGTGTAAGCTGCTGTCATCGTTGTAGATTGAGTTCGCATATCTTTAATTGATGGCGTAGTGTCCCTGTAGGCATATGCGAGTATTGATCCGTTCAGAGCAGACACCATGAGCGACGAGACATTTTCACTCCAGGAGAGAGCTTCTCGTAGAAGCGAACAAAGGTGGTCAGAGTCCAGCAAGTAGACTTGAGTCATTTTGGGTCGTAAGAATGGTGCTGAAGAGGCTCTGGCGTTGGGTAAGGAAATTTTCGACGCAAGCTGTGAGAGTACTCGAGCTGGATCTCCGAGCGGGCAAGCAGTCGCGATGGAGCGCAAGCAACCCAGCAAAGCCAAAGGAGCCTGAGGAACTTGCTTGGCAATGCGCCGACGTCACTCCGCGTGGTACGAGGTATCCTCGCTCTGCTGATTTTAATACAAACACCTACGAAGTGCAAATTACATGCTCGCCCTTCTATACAAACATTGTCTCGCGCACTCCATTTAAGCCTCCATCAACCATCCAGAAGCATATTTCCCTAAGTTGATTCTTGAATGCGTATGTTTGCGGTCGGAATGCAATTCTGAGTAGATCTCGTGGTAGCGCTCAATGAATTCAAGACTGTAATTCGACCCAAGCGCTGAAAGGCTCTGCTCTCATTAAGTGCTGTCGGCAGCAATCACTCTAACGGCCACCAAGTCTGCAGAGAATAATGGGCGGCCACTGACAGAGGCTCATTTGCAAATGGCCATAGGAGGATGACTCGCAGGTGTACAGCCCAACGCGCATAAACGCACGTTGTCGGCGTGTAGCGTTCTTCGATCCCTTCTCGTGGCTGGATAGTAAGCTTTCCCTTTCGTGTTTTCATTGATCTATCGCCTCGTATGCGGCGCTCTAGGGCCAGGTAATGCAAACGGGTAGATCTGCAAAGTCGATTTAAAGCGAGTTCTTGGGTGCTGAACAATGGAACACGCCGACTCAATCCAAGCAATTACGTTCAACTCCAGTTCGGACTCCGCTCTGGTGGCGCGGTTACCACTTGCCTCCAGGTTGCTGCATTTGCGGAGAGCCCCTCGAGACCTGACCGATGTTGTTGGCTTGTTGACGACTCTTGTCAAATTCTCGCACCATTATCTCACATCTGACTTCCCTGCAAAGTCGTTTTCTCCTCTCAGGTGGTAGTTTGTCGGCGAACACCAATCCGCTGGCTCTTTCAACCGCTTCGAGAGGCACCTCGAAGTCGCTCAGACTCTTCGAATTGGGTATCTCAGCATTGGGCAACACGAATGCACCGAGAGCCACAGTTCCGCTTGGGCTCTGAGCGGCCTCTTCCGCGAAGATGATTTTGTAGAAGTGAGTAGGCACTGCAACGTTGGGAGGGTTACCAATCACTTCGTAAGAGACTCTCCATTTTCCATCTCGTTCGTCTTTCTTCGGCAAGTACAACGGGCCAGTCACCACCCTGACGCTGGGGAATCTCTTTACCAGATCTCGACAGAATTCCTCAAAATGAGCCCAATAATCACGGTTGAACCCTTCTCCAACTTGTGGGCACATATTGCTCAAGACGAAGGTCGAGTCCATTGCCTCTTGCGACCATTTTGCGTCTGCTGCCGGAACCTGATGCCCTCGGTCGTACCCACTTCGAAAGTAATCGGACAGTTTTGCTCGAAACATGGAAGGAATCGACAAGTCCTCATAGAAAACACTATTTCGTCGCGATCCGTTGTTCAGCAGCAGAGACTGTGCTGTAAAATGTTCTGCTACCCAATGGGGATTTCGAGTGAACCTGTTGAAGGAAGAGAGGTGTGAGGGAGTGGCTAATGTATCAGCGATAGGACCAGGAAATCCATATCGTAGGATACCAGAAGGATCGACAGGTGGGAGGACGGCAGCCGAAGGATGTGGAGCTGGTGCAGCAACTGGGACCGGTACTGGCACTGGGATGGGAGCGGGAGGAATTGACAGTGCAGGTACTGTTGAAGGTTCCTCCTTCAATGTTGGTGTCGATTTGGGCTCATCTTTTCGATGGCTAGGAAACAGTAGCGCGGTCAGCGACGCACCTGCAAATGCAGACGTCGCTGCTATGATAGCAATGGTGGTCTTGGACATGTACAAAGTCGGCAGGCAATGTCGATACCGTCTCACGAAGAAACGCGTCCGCAAGATGGATAGGAAGGAAAAAAGTTGAACCAGTGATCTTAGGCTTGAGGCCAATCGGCAGCTGGCCCGGTAGCGGATCTGCTGACCCCTGCTGGTGCCTAAGTAGTCGTGCTGGGTGTGATGGGTTCCAGTTAAAGATGACAAGGCTGGACCAGCCCTGAAACACGATTTGGATGGCCCATGATGGGGGGTGCTCGCGGCACTTGGGCCCCGTGGCTCAACTAAGCCACAAAGGGACATGGTCTTAAGGTCCTCTAAAGAAGTCTTGGGAATTTTCGTCATCCCACCTGCTGCAACTGCGATCGAGCCTCCTAACCAACGGAATATAATAGCTCATTCAACCTGACGTCTCGCTCTTTGTTCCTACACTTTACTTCTTGCAACTGACTCCAGACACTAGCATGAGTAACTCGGTGCAACATCAACAAATTACATCCTACCGTACATTGCTATATGAACTTGCGGCTTAAGAGGAAAAGAGACGGGGCAAGATGGCCATCGACAAGGATACCAAAGGGTGGATCATGACATGCATCAGTGCTATTGGTATGCAGCTTTGTCTCTCAAAATTGCTGAGCAAAGAAGACTGATTTTGACTTCATAGCGTGTGTCATTGGCTCTTCGATCATTTGTGTCGATATCGCGGTACGACAATTTCCACGCTGGCGACACTTTTCGATCTCGGAGAGTAATGGCTTTCTTTCCGCATCATTAAGCCTGAGTTTCGGGGTCATGGTACGTCTTTTTCGCACGGTGTGCAATCCCAGAATTGACTCTAGTGATAGTTGTTCTCTGCCCTTTACTCGATGCTTCCGCAGTCGAAAACTTATTTCAAAGACGCGGGCTATTCGTCGCCCGCAGCATCATACCTTCTGATCGGGTTGTTCCTAGCAGGCGCCATAGGCATTCAGATCTTCTCCCGCGTCCTACATCAATACATTCCCTCACATGTCGTAGATTGCGACCACAGCCATGATGAGGAGGAGGCGAAGCGTCACGAAGAAATGTCAGAACATGCGCCGGATGATGAGCATACAAACGGTCTCCCGATATCCAAGAACCCCCCTGGGCAGACGGAAGAGGAGGATGAGGACACTCCTTTACTCTCCCGAACGACCAGCCTCAGTCCCAAAAAGCCCCAATATGAAAGAGCTGAAGAGAATGGATCTGACCGCCAGCATCCATTCCAAGCCGCCCAGACCCATCGGAGGTCGTCACTAGTGCCTAGAACGCTGTCGAGGACCCTTTCAAAGTATGTGGGGAGTCAAAAGGAGAATTGTGACGAGACAGGTCCATGTATGGGATTCTCGGATCCCTGTGGTTCAGACTGCTTCAAGGCTGTGCAGAGACGAGGTTCTGTGTTACCAGGTCACGCTCCGTTCTTACGCTCGCCCACGTGGCGAAGTGGTACGACTGAGGTACGCGTGGGGCCGACGCTGGGAGAAGTTGATGAGAATCCTTTGTCAAACGGATCGATTCCTGGACGTCATACGACTGAGGACGCCGATACGGGGAGCTTGAAGCCGGGGTTACACCGTACAAAGTCTTCAACGCATCACTTCCACCACCCTGCACACCAGCATACAAGCATAGCAGGGTCCGAACGTCGGCCATCTCAGCATTCGTTTTTGGGCGGACATGAACACCACCACCACGTCCCCACCAATGCGTTTATGTCAATTGGTCTGCAGACTTCGTTGGCCATCGCGCTGCACAAAGCTCCCGAGGGCTTCATTACGTATGCAACTAACCACGCAAATCCTCAGCTTGGTTTTGCTGTCTTCATGGCATTGTTCATCCACAACATCACGGAAGGCTTCGCGATGTCCCTACCTCTTTATCTCGCACTTGGCTCCAGATTTAAAGCCATTGCGTGGTCGTCCTTTCTAGGCGGCATTTCACAGCCACTCGGAGCTGGGATTGCAGCTTTGTGGTTCAAAATAGCCAACAGGAGCAGCTTGGGTGCTCCGACCGAAGGGGTTTATGGCGGGATGTTTGCAGTCACATCAGGCGTGATGGCCAGCGTCGCGTTATCGCTGTTCTCGGAAAGTCTGCAACTGAGTCACAACAAGGGCACCTGTATTGCCTTTGCTTTTTTGGGTATGGGGATTTTAGGCTTTACCTTTGCGCTGACAGCGAAATAGATTCCTCAAGGAGCTTGGTGCTCTTTGGTCAATATATCTTTAACCCGTTATGATTCATTAGTGAGAATGAGGATTTGCGCTTTCACGGCAACCGAGAACATCTTTGTGCCCTGAGAGAAACCGTATGCTGCTCACATTTGATGTCCAGTATTGCTTTGGGCCTTCCAGCTACGTTTGCGGACGAATGCTCTGGGCTTTGGTCCCCTTGGCTGGTTTCAATAGAAAGTCGACTAGATGGCGAGCTGTTGGTTACATATCGGCCTGACCAGAACCCCGGTGCAGAAGCAGGCTACATATGCAATAGCCAGGACAACCTAGATGGATTCGCAGATGTCCTTGTACAAACAATGTCATGACGGAGGGGATGATAACTTCAGCCTTGATAGAGAACACGTGAGAAGAAATTCAGGAGGCGAATGTGGCCTAAAGAGGCTAGTCATTGAGACAGTTAGTTCGCCTTGTCTGCCTTGCATGGGGCTCTTCATCAACGCACTCTTAATCGACCCAATTGTGATGATTCAAAGTCCTGCCACCCACCCAGACCACAGGCTGCATAGTTGAGATCTTACTATCTACACGCCGGCTTGACCTAATCTCAACATCTCACATTCATGTTGCCTTTTCCCCGTTGCATGACTCATGACGAAGGCCAATCATGCCTCATCTTAGCGACCCTCATGGTCTCTGCGCCTTGTTGTGCCTGGAATCCTTCACAGGCATCAGCCTCCCCCTAACACGATTTGCCAAAGGCCCAAGCTAGCACAGTCCCTTTAGCGGATGTTTATGAGAAACTGCCAGTTGAGCAGGCTAAGATGCCAGCTAGATTATTCGACTGCGGTGAGTCAACGTCCAATCCACTTCGTGAGTTGTGCACATCAGGCAACAGGATCCTTCAGGAGGCCCGCCAGCTTCACACCAGCTTCACACCAGCTCGGAAGTCTCTTGGAACCTATAAACCTGCAGGCCTCACCTTCGATTGACTTGTAGCCATTTCTCCTCAACTCAATCCTCTTTGCATATATTCAACCCACGATCGTGCTGTAGCATTTTACCCCCTGCCTTCAAGATGCCTGGAACGACACAAACCGCCTCCAAGCCTGGAGAGCGGGATGAGATCAGCAAAGTCAAGGCAGATGAGACCACAGAGGAGGAGGAGGAAAAGCCCAAGGTGCCCGCCGTGCCCAGTGGTAGTATCAATGAGGCAAAGGCACTGTATTCACAGAAGGACAAGGACGGGAAGTACCAGTGGGTGACTGAAGAGCCGGTGGATGTTCTTGAGGCTGCCGAGAATGAGGAGACTGCCAGGTTTGCGTTCCTGGTGCGCAAGCAGAAAAGTTACGACAGCCGCAAGGTAAGTTGCCTATTCCCGGTGTGGCGAGCCCTTTTGTCACCAAATTTCGTTGGCCATCAATAAGGTTCTCACACATATGTGCAGAAATACGACATCCATTCAATCATTGTCCAAAGTCCGTGGCTGAAGAAGTGTTTGGGGATCATCCTCGATGACTATCCAGGCATCACGACAAATCTGGACCGGCTTGTCTTTCGCGCGCCGTTTCATCCGTTTGTGCATCGCTGGGACAGGCTCGTCTCGCTGCTTGAGAAAGATGACTTTGAGGAGGAGATTGCCAGGGACCATCTGAAACTCTTTCGTGATGTCCTCTTTGAAGAGCTCAAGAACGCAATTGCTGCCAAAATCGACCTTGTCAAGAACGGTGTCATCACCTTTGAATACCTCTGGACAATCTTTGAGCCTCAAACCCTGGTTTATAGCGTGTCCGACGGCAAGGAGTGTGTCTTCAAGCTTAACTCCTCGACAAGGGCAACCGATCAACGGCGCGGACTCGACTTCTTGCAATTGGACGTCTGGGCTGTCGACTGGGACGGGACCAAGTTCGGACAGCATCATACTAACCTCCAAAATTACGAGTTCGCCGGTACAACGCCGATCACCTCTCTGCAAGCGTACCCATTGGAGTTTCACCCCGAGAGAGCGCAACTGCTGCATCGACTTGTGGTCCGCGGAAAGCTCTTTGAACGGCTGGCGGGATACCATTACAAAGCATATCGAGGTGTTGCTCTTGGCTACGGTCGATGTGGGATGATCAGACACAATGTCGAATCACGGATTATCATTGACTGCGACGCGCACAATCGATTCTTGCCCAACAATGCGGTGTACTTCAACTCGCTTAACAAGCCACAGAAACAGATAAACGGACTTGAGCTCCCATCTGACGAGTCAGAAGAACAGTTCGATTTCGACGGCTTCTTGGACAACGAGTCCGACTTCCTCATCACTCCGGACTCCGACGACGACGCATGCAAACCCAAGCATCGGCCCCTGACCACGGAAGAATTACTCCTTGCTGTGCCATACGTTCGAGGCTATGCCCTGAAAACCAAGAAATGGGTGAGTCAAACGTGTTTGGAATCGCCTCTCTAGGCGGAGAGTCTTCGAAAGCCCTGTTTCCAATTCCAGATACCATGTTTCGACGCTAATAGATGGGAAACCAGCTCTGGTTCTATGTCGATCAGGTCGAAGAGATCAAATTTGCCGAAAATGCCTTTGCGTCTCTGGTGCTCCCCAAAGAACAAAAGTCGCTGATCCGCGCATTCGTCGAATCGCAAGTCAAGTACAAGGACGACTTCGACGACGTTATTGCTGGCAAAGGCCGTGGGATGATCATGCTACTCGCGGGTCCTCCTGGAGTAGGAAAGACTTTGACGAGCGAGAGCGTTGCCGAAGACATGCGAGTGCCTCTGTGAGTTTTGCCTTGCCGTGACGACAGGGTTGTCAACCAATTATGCGGAGCGAGTCCAGAGCTAACGCGCGATTCTTTGCCCCTCAGCTACATGATGTCCGCCGGAGATCTGGGCCTGGACCCTTCGGGTATTGAGGAGTCGCTCAATCTGGTGCTTGACATGGTCAGCAAGTGGAATGCAGTGTTGCTGCTCGACGAAGCCGACGTCTTTCTCGAGGCAAGAAGCTCCAATGACCTGGAACGGAACAAGATGGTGTCGATCTTCCTTCGTGTGCTGGTAAGAGGAAACCCCGACCCCAAACTATTCCGTCGTATCCAGCCACCCCGGCCTGGTTCTCGTGTTATTTGTCTCTGGGAAACCGGTGTGGACACATCTGGGAAACAAAAACTTGAAAGCAGTCGATCCCTTTTTTTTTTTTTTTTCGAGGGTGCCCCATTCCAATGTGGCCGCCTTGGTCATTAGGCTACTGCTGGATGGGCCAACAACTTGCTTGCACATGAACAACAGCCGACTTGGCTTGTCTTTCTGCGTCCCCATGACACTTTTTGAGACATACCTATCAGGCTGACAAGCAAATGACAGGAATACTACGAAGGCGTCTTGTTCTTGACCACCAATAGGATCAAGAATATCGACGAGGCATTCCACAGCCGTATCCATGTGACGGTCAACTACCCCAACCTGTCGGTCGAGTCTCGCCGCCACATTTGGCAGACCTTTTTGGGCCACGATCATCCGATGGGCGGGAAAGAGCTTGATCGTCTCGCGCGGGTGGACCTGAACGGGCGACAAATCAAGAATGTTCTGAAGACGGTAAGCTAAGTTCTTTCCTCGTTCTCTCTTCGCTAAAACCAGCCCTGTTTCGTTGGTTGGTGGAAGGAAGTTCCCGCTGTCATGTCATTCGCATTTCTGCATGGAATTGTCACTCCCCATTGGCATGGCTTGGCCTTGCTAACTCAGACACTGTGCAGGCCCAGATGTTGGCACGAAGCGAGGAAGGAAGCAGCAGCCAGGAACAGGCCAAGGATGCGCAACGTGGTGCCAAGGTGGAGATGCGCCACATCGAGACGATCTTGGCCATTGAACAGCGAGGCACGTCATGGCAGCAGGCGTAGTTGGGCTATTGGGGTGCCAGCACCAGGGTCAGGTACATACAGGGCGATGCGGCGCTAAGGTGTGGTGTACTTACTTAGGGTACGGGTACTGATGGGCCTCCTACTTAGTGGAAGATTTAAGCGAGAATGGGGGGGGGGGGGCAATAGGACATAGCTAGGATAGTTAGAGTATACTCGGCAGGCACCCATAAGTAGGTATGTAGCACAGCAGTAATAGGTTGGTAGGCAGGATACGAGCCCTGTCCCCTTCCTGGTCCTCAGTCCATCCGGCCCAACCGAACTGAGACATCGGGTGGCAAAAACGCATAACGCATGCATGTCCGCAAGCTGCATCCCTGTATGTATGCATGCATCAATGCATCAGGAACAAGAAAGAAAGGTCGCGCAGCAAAAGACCAGACCTTTGTCTCACACGCCTGCTTTGCTTCCCTCGAAGATCTCTATGCCCACGTGTCTCTCTGGTTGCAGACTGGGGAATTCGTACAACAAGTATGTCCCTACGGAGTAGATACTGGCTACCTACAGAGAAATGTGGTGTGACTGACTGAATTCAAGTCCGAAGGGAAATTCCCCGGACCTGGAGAGCTGGAACTTGGGTGCCCAGCCCAAGAGCCTTGGGTTGCGGGGGTGGACGAAGCTTGCCATGTAAATACATACCCTAGAGAGGCTAGGACAGGGCACACTTTGCGCCCCGCTCTTTAATGCCCTTGTCCGCAGCCCCTCTCTCCCTCTCTCTCTCTCTCTCTCTCTCTCTCTCTCTCTCTCTGTTTTCTTGCTCATGCATTCCGCTAAGCCCGTCGAGAGCTTGTTGGGGGGCACTGCACGCCTGAGGCTGGGCCGAGCTAGCTGCGTGGTTGTTGTGTGGTGGTAGCGAAACCCCATCCCCATCGAACAGCCAAGAGCCCTGTTTACAGAATGGGCATTTACTGCCGCATTTACCGGAGACGAGAGCCGCACCCGAGCTGACTGATGGATGGATGACTGGATGGAGGGCGCGAATGGAGAGCTGCGAGCCCAGCCTCGCTGGAAACTGGCTATACTTACCGAGTACCATTGGGAAGAAGGGTGGTGGTCATCCCTCTGAAGAGGGCCGGGCCAAGACGGCCAAGACGGGTCATCTTTCATGAGGACTCAGACTCAGACTAACTCTTACTACAGTATTCAGCCCCCATTGTCGATGCCAGCAATACCAGAAGTGGCACCAGTGGTGGTAATCGGAGTAGGCATAGGGCTTAATAGAGTGACTTCAGCCAGCCGGTTGTGTTCTGACATATTTCCGATGTAATGCCAGAAATTGAAATGAAAAAAAAAAAAGAAACCTGCGCACTTTCTTCGTCCGCCTACTCCTCAGAGGTGGGACCATGCGAGTTAACCTTGTGAGCCCGGACCTACACGGGCAGTCAAAAAAATACTCTCGCCGAGAAGAAAAGGCAGAGGGAGCGGATGCGGTCACCACAAAACAGAGCAACTTGACCCCGGGAGGGAACTTCCGTGGGGTGGAGAATAGAGTATGAGAGTATGTGTGTATGTGTGTAGGGTTGTAGTAGGGCACATCCAGTACTGGCAGGAACGGACGGATCGAGTGGGTACGGTAGCAAGCATCAGCATCATACTCTACATATGACCGACCACTTCCCTACCTCGCTACATCGTCCCAGGAAGTCATGTACATACTGTACTTGTGACACGGAATGGCACCGTGCTCCTCGAAGCGGTTAGTCACCCACATCATACATACTGTTACCTCCGCTTCTTGGTGGATACGCCAGGGTCAGCCCCCCCTGCAAGCCCCCCCCTCCCCCTCCGCCCTCTCCCAGCACCCACACCCACAGCCACCAAAACCTTCGCAGTACATCTGACCTCACATGGATATGACGGATCGTGAGCTGCATCGAGCGGAGAAGACAGCGAGAGAGAGGGATGGAGCTGAAATGTTGGGACCAACATGCTCGAGTTGGCCTGATCGATCGATCTCCTGGCCCAGGTACTGAATGAGTCCGCAAGCAAAGATGGTAAGGATCACGAGGAGTTTGGCCGCGGGCCCGCCCGTCACCTCTTTGGACGTTCTTTTGCTTGTCAGGTTCTTCTTGGTACATGGCCCTTTGTGACATAATAGCCCTTTGGTAGGGAGGGAAGGGAAATGACACAAGCCAATATGGATTTCGACAGTGCGTTAATGAAATCAATAGAAATGCTGGAGGGACCGACTCAAGACAATGGTATGGTACGGTGGTATTGTTCGCGCCTGACGCCGCTGCAGGACATCAATTGCGAAAACACAACATGTATATGTATAAGTATTGGCCACTATGAATTAATACTGTGGGTGAGAGAATGGAAATTGAGCCTGTTGTCCGCCGTGAAGCCTCAAAGGCTGTACGCGATTGCCAGGCCAGAGTGCGTATGCCCCCCCCCCCCCCAAAATATATTCCTTCCCATTTTGTGTTTTTGTTCGGGTTCCCTTTCCCTTAGTCCCCACCTTCGCCGTTGCTGTGAGTTTGGTTTTCTGTGACAGATGTCATGTCGTCGTGGGTGATCGTTGATCATTGATCAGTTTTTACTGTAGAAAAGTCATAAACATAACCCATATTCATCATCCCGATTTGCACAATTGCCTCCACCACGTTCACTTCATTACATATATCCCCACACTTCAGCCTCTCCCCACTCCTCTCAACTCAGGGAGCTTTCGGCCGGGGGTTTAAAAAATCACTTGCTGGTCCAGTCACCCCAGGTCTTGGTGCAAGGAGCAGTGACGGTCTCGGTGATGTAGATGGATTCCGGCACCGCAGTGTAAGTGACTGTCGCGGTCTCGGTCTCGGTCTGGACCTCAGTCTTGTAGATGGTGCTGTATGCAGTTACCGTGGTGGGGACTAGAGATCGAGAGTTAGCTGAGATACCAACTGTGGATGATTTCTGAAATATGAACTCACCAGTGATGGTGCTGTAGACGGGCTTGGTCTGAGTCACGGTAGCAGTGGAGTAGACGGTGCTGTAGGCGGTGACGGTGGTTGGCTGTTTCCAACAAGTCAGCATTCCAACTCCTCCAACGAAGTTCTCCCTCATGGGTGATGTCTCACTTTGTAGATCGTCGAGTAAGCCGTCGAGTAAGCCGTCGAGTAAGCAGTCGAGTAGACGGTGGAATAGGCAGTGGAATAGGCAGTGGAATATATGGTCGAGTAGGCGGTGGACCAGGCGGTGGAATATTCAGTTGTCGTGGCGTACTCGGTGGTGGTCACGTATTCAGTGCTGGGATAGCAGGTGCTGGACCATTCGTTCCAGGTACCATCTCGCCTCTGGACGGCAGCAGCACTGGCACCGGCAATGAGGAGGGCAGCAGCAGTGAAGAACTTCATTTTGATTGGGAGTGGGTGGTTCGTTTGGGGTGGTGAAACGAGGGCGACTGAAGTTGTGTTTGAAAACGAAAGGCTGTGAGGGAAAGCGAAGGAAGATCCTTGGGAGTTGTATTGGCGGGATTGTGCTTTGGGCTGATGATGGAGGAGGAGGAAAGAGAGTTGGTTGAAACGACTTACCGTGATGTCTTTATATTCTTGATTGGAGGGACTCAAAGGCCACGGGAAGCATGGCTGGGTAACTTGCATTGATGCTGGGGGTGGTATTTCCTTGCTTTCCGTTGTCTCTCAGCTGACGATGGACTGAAAGAGGAAATAGAGATGAGCGGGGACCGTGCTGGGCGGGCGGAGCGAGACAATGGCAATTCAGAGGAGGCGAGGCGAGAGGGCCAAGCTAGAGAGGGGTGGACCTTTGGACGGCCCTGGGCCTATGCATGTCGCAAATGCTGGAGCGAATCCGCATCGGCAGCGTATGTACCCAGAAGGGTCTGAGGGTCTGCCATTTCAAGCAATCCATGACAAAACCCGTGGTGTCGACAGAAATGGGACAGAGCGAGGCGGAAGGCGTGCTGTGCAAAGTTTTGTGGCAGTTGAAGTCAAACTTCGGTTTCTTGGAAATGGCGAAAATAGCTGGCGCTTTGCCGAACCGGGCGTCGTCTTAGGCTGCGCTTTAGCGTTGTCTTAGTGCGTTCTTAGCCCCATGCTTAGCCTCATTTTAGCCTTTCCCCGCAGTGTAGTGAGCCAATGAGGGCCACGGGGAGCGACCAGCCCCCCCGGCCTGCCCTTTGGTTTTCCCGTGTTGGCTGTGCACAATTCCATTCGCTATGTTTCGCCGGGCCTGCTTGCGCTAGTCTTCTTTTGGCCCTATACCGTATTCAAGCTGCAGGCTGCTCAAGTCCAGCCTCCCGTGGCCCAAGCGCCCAACGGCTGTCGTTCATGCCGTGCCACAGGTTCGTTCCGTATTGGTGGGCTGGTTCTGCGTACCCAGTACTGTTCTATTGTGCATGGAACATCGTGTTCCAGCAACAACTCCAGCTACTACAGTACATAACCTACAAGTACTTGCGACTCGTATGATGTGTGCTCCACTAGGTTTTGATTACCGCTATGCCTCGTTTGGATGACGGACCGCCGGTATTTACGTCATGCTCATCATCAGCATCCCATCATCCCATCATCCCATCATGTTCTCATCGTCGGGCGGGTGAACAGCTATGCTTTCGGAAGCGACGCACTTTCCAGAGATAATACATAGCATTGCACGGTGTACCGGACTACCTAGCTGTATAGCACACTTTGAGTCCGTCCTGCAGATTCAAAAGACAATCTTGCTTTGAAGCGAGGTGTACCGAGTAGGTACACGCCAAAATCCGTGTCGACGTCAGGTACCGCGTCCCTAACACCCAATTCTGCATGGTGCAGTACATACAAAGGTCCTTTGTCAGACGCCCTAAAGCCTTCACACAATCTCCCGTTTGTTGCCCCGGTCCCCCAAGCGAACTGCCTACATAAGTCTCTTATTATTGTGCGGAGCCTTTCGTCCTTTCGGTAAGAAATATAATGGTCTCTCTCCTCCCTTTCTCAGCAGGATTCAGTCTTACAAGCCCTAAGTTGGCAACAGCTCGTAAGCCAAATAATATGACATTACACTGTGTGCGGAGCGAATATCAAGCTCGAGTCATTTGAACCTTGCGTTGCGAAGAGCTTACCCGCCTACCTATAGAGTGTCCTCGCGCCTTTCGGGCGGGCTGCCTGGCGGAGTGCATACTCTGGCCAGGTCCATTGCCAGGTCTGAGAGCCTGAGATGTTGTAGCATCACTAAGACAGGGGGTCACCAGGCATCGAGTGAGGATTATGTCTGACTCGTGGGTTGGGCTTCACGCATGGCGAATCGGATGGGCCTGCCGGCTTGGACAGGGTAGGGCAGAGCCAGGTCTTTGATGATGAGCAAGTATCATTTCCAAGCCGGGAATTGTTCAGGAACCTGACCTTTTGACCCGAATCCCTCCACATCCTTCTGCCATCAGCCTGTTTCCTTTTCCATGGCGGACTGGCGGACTGGCAGACTGGCGGGCTGGCGGGCTGGCTGGCGGGCTGACTGAGCCGAGTAGCCCGGCCAATTCGCTGTCAAACAAAACCTGCCACGCCTGGTGCACGGGCTTCTCGGCTGCCGTAGTTCTTGCATCCTGTGGCAGTATGTACACCGTGCGGAGCACTCGGTACAGCAGCATCCGCATGCTAAATACTACGGAGTCCTCCGTACGCATGCATTAGCCATGCCCACTATGCCCCGTGCCTGTGCCTGTGCCTTGTGGCGCCCCAAGTCTAGCTCCATCACATAAGGCTGCGGCACAGTCACAATTTCGCTGTCGAGTCTCACACGGACTGCCAGCCATCTGAGAAGTCTCGATCAATCACAACATGCCCAAGCCAAAGCGGTGTCGGCCTGCGAGAAAATCGAAAGGGCTGGACGATCAGAAAACACAACATTCTTCCACCCATACCTTTCCACAAGGGTGAGGAGGATCGCCACCTCCAGCCGTGCGCTTTGTTACGTATGGTAGCATTTGCACATCCTAGTAGTCCTGGTGATCCGAGTCATTCCAAACCTAAGCAAGGGCCGGGGCTGTTTTGTTCTCCTGCATCTCCGGGCTGCGAGGTTCTTCCGTGGCATTGCTTGCACGGAATGAAGTCTTGCAAGCAGGGAAGAAAGAAACAGCTCTCCTCAAGATCCAGTCCGTGAAAATCCGCCAACAAACTGGGCATTCATTCGCTCCCCCCCGCCCAAAGAACCTGTCCTGTATCGCCAGCAAGCTGGCTCCCAATCTATCTCAGGTTTCCCCCTCGTCCCTCGTCACCTCGATCTACCCAACAAATGACCACGTCCTCCCTAACCCACCCCGAGATCCCCCCCATCTGCCATACACCACCCCCCCAATAGCTTCCGCTTCATGCCTTTCATTACTGCTCACTTGCCAGCTCAAAAAGCGCAACCGTCTCACAGAAATTCGCCTTGTTCACACTATACGGTACCACGTCCGTCCCCTCATAGCTAATCATGAACTGCGATCCTTTGGTGCTCAGCGCCCAGAGGTAGATATCGGTTGAATTCCGAAAGTCCACCATCCTTTCCTGACAGCTCTCCGTGCCCAAGCACGCCTGCGTGTTCCAATTCTCGAAGAAATTGTACAGCCCGCCGCCGTACATGAAAATCTGGCTCGAGTTGACGAACCGGAGGCCCCACGTTCGTGCGCAGTTTGTTTGCACGCAGTCCGAGTAGTCTGGGTCGTGCCATGAGGCTTGTGGAGTGAACGGGACAAGGGCGTTGGGATTGCCCTGGAAATACGCCGTCTCGTGTTGGATGTGGCCCATGAAGACGTTCTTCGCATTGACAAACTGGTAGTCATACATGACCGAGTGTTCGGCGGCGGTGCCATAGAGCCACACAGGGCCTTGTGATTCGATGAGAAAGCCACTGCAAGACAGCCAGGTCAGTAACGTTCTTTCCTCCAAGCCGTCTCCGTCTGGAAGACAGCCAGCGGGGGAAGTCCTGCTCACCCCTTATTGAAAATATAAATTTGCTGCCGATCTGCCAAGTCTAACTCGTGGTCCGCAACCCATCCCCAAATATTTTCAAAGTAGCCATCGGCCTGGCTTGTAACATGCAACAGCAGAAACGCGCCGATGCAGTCCGTCAAGACTGAATTCGATCCCGCAATCGGCGTTGCGGGTGTCTTTATACACTTGTCCTGTTGCAAATTCGTGCCTGCTGAGCCCCCTATACGCCAATGCGCATCCCACATGCCGGCTAACGCGGGGCCAGCAGCTTTGATGTTCCACTCAATAAGAATGGCACCTGGACAAGGCCCCTGGACTTCGAACACGAGGTCAGAGATTTCGACCGTGCCAACGTCGCCAGGATTGCCTATCTTCCACATGGGTTGCGGGTTGAATTGGTCCCCAAAGAAGGGGCCCGTAGCCATGATGATGCTAAGGAGTTCGCCGGTGACCTTGACGTCTGTGGGAACATTAATGGTGGACGAAACGATGTAAGCCCCCCTGTCGAAGTAGACAACTTTCCCTGTGGTATGGGCAAGGTTAAAGAGTGCTTGCATCGCAGCCGTGTCATCTGGAAAGCAGGTTATATTAGCCCGAGACTGAATCGCGTGTCTGGGCACAGATGGACGACATACCTGTAGACCCATCACCCACGAGCCCATTCGCTTTTGCGCTGAGGAATCCCGTAGACCATTGAAGGTTCTCATATTGCGGTTTGACGCGGTAGACATATTGCCCGTTACTATCGACCAGCGACGAAGGTCGAGGAATCGGCGCAAGGGCTCTTTGGATCGTCGTCTCTTGCGCGGTGTACGCGGTCTGGCTAGCGTTCTGATAGACACAAGTTGTGCCGTTGAAAAACTGCCCGTTCAGAGCTTGGCCCGCTGTCGTCCAAGCATTCCCTTGAGCCCAGAGATCGACAAACTGTTGGCCAGCGAGAATCGTTCTTGCTTGAGTGCCACCAGCGGCAGAGATGGCGACCTCACTCCCTGTGAAGTCGACTTTCTCGAGGACTAGAGTCCCGGCGGCTTGGGGAGAGCTGAAGCCAGGGGCATAGGGTGTCAGGATCCCCTGAGTCGCGGATATCACGCTATCGATCAGGAGAAGAGACCCGACAGCAAGGTTGGAGAAACCGCCACTGGTCATGTCAATCCCGACATCGGAATTGGTAATCGTAATCTGGGAGAACAGCCACACCCAGTCGAAGTTCATTTTGATCGCCGTCGAACAGCCATCGAACTGTATCTTCCGCGTCGTAAATTGCTGATTTCCAAGGTACGCTCCAATAGAGCCGCCGGTGATGACCATGTCGGAGAAGAAGCCTCCCGAGCCGTTCTCCATGTAGATCCCTTGTTGCTGATTGTTCACCACGTCCTTAGACACCATGTTGATGACAATGTTCTGCAGACTCGTGGCTTGAGCTACCTGCCAATGTATGCCAGCTGTCTTCAAGGGGGCATTTGTCATGTCGATGATGAAATTGCGAACTTGGCGGTAGAAATTGTTCTGGTTGGCATACCACTCAGCGCCGCTGCCGGACGGGATGTAGATATCTGCATCAAATACAGCCAAACCTATGATATTGGTGAAGTTTGAACTAACTCTAATGGTCGGCGGGTTGATAGCGTCTCCTACCATTTGCGTGAAGTAGTACATGATCAAAGGCTTCGAGACATTATAGGTCCCCGGCGGAAAATAGACGAGCGCCGGCGTAATTGTTGAGGACTGACAAAACGATCCGTACGTTGCATTGCCGCCGCCGCAGCGATTTCCAGGAGCGGCGATTGCTCGGTTGATAGCATCAGAATCATCGTGTAAACCGTCCCCTGTAATCGATGTCAGCGGCCTGAACGAGGATTTGATCATTTAGACTCACCAATGGCGCCATATTCTTTGACATTTCGAAACACTGGATAACTTGGATCTTGAAACGCGACGTGTCCAACATTAGGCTTGTTGGCGAGCCAGTAAGTGGATTGCGCCACTGATGACCTGATGAGGACCGAAAGGTGTAGAAGGGTGAAAAACAGAGCTGAAAGAGGAGAATGCATCTTCACGCAACCCAGATTTCGAGAAGATAAATGGGATTTCCTGTTATGCCTCAGGACGAATATATGCAGCGTGGAAGATACCACCAGATCAAGCTGAAAAGAAGACACTCATGACACGAGCCGACTTGAGGCTGGGACGTGACGCGTAGCAAGCTACTCGTCCGCGAGGAATGTACTTGGCTGGAATGTGGTTCGAGACAGCAAATTCCATCGGGTAGAAGATAAGCAACTGTCAATCTGCCCAAACGCAAAACCCTTTCTCATCGAATACTGCATTGTCGTGATTCCAAGAGACCTACCTCTCCAGCCTGTTTCAAACATGAAGGGGGTTTCTCTCATCCTGGTTGCTGTCAGCATATTGGTCCAGAGCATTTCTGCGCTCACGGTAGAAAAAGGGAATAGCAGGTGTGTAGATTCTGGTGGTGTTATTCCACTGTCAAAATGCTGACCCCAGAACAGCCCGGTCGGTGCCGGTGTCTCGGATAATAACCCCACTCCCATTCCAATCGAAAGTGACAACGAAGGCAGCGTCACATGCAATGAATGCATCAAAGATGCGGGAATATGTTGTCCAGTCCAATGTCAGAGCGACGGCAAATGTCCGAGCATAGCGGTGGAGAACGCAGGATGGTAAATCTATCCTTCTGTCGAGCATCATTTCAAGTTCTGATATGTTGATAGGCTTATCGACGGTATCAAGATCACCAGCAATTCAAAGAAACATTGAATTTGGAGTTCCGATGATCTCGAAGGAAATGAGACGCCTAGCGAGGAAGAAGCTGATAAGCTTTCGTATCGAACGACTGCCTGGTGAAGGAGATCTATGTCTCCCCATGTGGATCGAAGAGCTTGTCTTGACATCAAAGTTAGAATTAAAAAAAAAAATGGCCTGCAGTCGCCAGTTATGTCGAGCTTAAAGGTGTGAGGAAAGGATGCAAGATTGCCACAACTGTATACTACATATTATCATCAGCACGAAGTAACTCCCAAACACCGGGCCTGCTTGTCAGTTTTCGTTCAATGGGTTCCATTCCCCGATTCAGAGAGACGTTTGATTTCAATCAGCGGCATTAGGTATCCGTGAGCAGCGGTGTTGTCTATGTTGATATAATTTTTGTGTTTCAGTCTCCGTAGGCATGCTTAATCTCCTTTTCGAACCGTTGCTGGATCATCTTCCTTTGAACTTTCTGGGCTGGGGAAATCAGACCCTGCTGAATGGTTAGTACTCTGTAAGAACGGGAACTCTGGACCACATACGTTTTGCGGAGTCCATTCCTCGTCAGCCAGAACCACGCCGTCAATGATCTCAATGCCAGAGAGGCCAGCCTCTCGGCCCGCCTTTTGCACTTCTTTTAGCACGATTGCGTTGAGTTTTTCATCGTGAACCATCTCCTCTAGATTTTCTCCATGGATGCCATTGGCAGCTGCGATCTTCTGGAGGGTAGCTTCGACCGGCACGATGATCGCGATCGGCTTGGCCTTGTTTCCAGCAGCGAAAACGCAAATGTTTCCGACGACGGGGGCCGTACGGTAGGCCGATTCCAATTTCTCGAGGGCAATGTATTCGCCATTGAGTGTCTTGACCAAGTTTTTCTTTCGGTCAATGATGCGTAGATGGCCATTTATGTTGAATTCCCCAATATCACCGGTCTTGAACCATCCGTCCTCGGTAATTGCCTCTTGGGTCTCTTTATCATTGTCCCAATAACCTTCGGTGACCGACGGACCTCGGATCCAGATTTCCCCTTGAGGAGGTTTGTTTGTCGAGAAGTAGCCAGCATCAGGAAAGTCAACCAGCTTGATCTCAATACATCCGGTAATATCCCCCAACGCATAGGGATCCCAGGCCAGAGGATCTTGAATGCAGCCCATCGCAGAAGTCTCAGTGAGGCCATAACCAGAAATCATCGGGGTGACGGCGTAGCTGATGAATTTGACGGTCTCTTCCGAGATGGGACCGCCTCCGTTGAAGGCAATGCGGAGACGGCCACCCGTAGCATCCTTCAATTTCTTGAACACCACGGCATCCAAAAGACCCGCACCGGGCAGGCCCATGGACAGGAGAGTCTGTTTCAGAGACAAGGCGCCCCAGAACATGTTTCTGACGATGAAGGAGCCGCTATTCACCCTCGAAAGAATGCCCTTTTTGACGCTCTCCCACACGGCTGGGACGCCTATCAAAATGGTGGGTCGGAATTCACGAATATCTCCTTTGCAGTTCCGAACTGAAGCGTCAGACAAAGTCTTGGGGTTGCCGTAGCCCATGGTTCCACCCCAGAACAAGCAGATGTTTTCAAACATGTATTCGAAAATGTGCGATTGAGGCAGATAGGTGAGCAACGCATCTGCCGGTCCGATATACGGGGCCACAACCGTCTGCACACCGGCCATTGCCGCAACCACGGCCTTGTGCTTAATGGTAACACCCTTTGGCGGCCCAGTGGAACCGGAGGTATACATGATACAGGCTAGATCTTCTGGTGAGGGAGGCACGGGATCCACGGGATTTTCAACACCAAGCTTTCGAAGTTCTTCAAAGCTGAGAACTTTCAGCTCGGGGTGTTTGGATTTCAACTTGTCGAGATCCGCTTGCTTGACCTCAGGTTCCGTGTTGTAGATGACAAACTTGAGGTTCTTCACGTCGTCGAGGACACTGAGTAAAGTGGGAATGAGGTTGGGATCCAGGAAAATGGCAACAGATCCGGTCTGGATCAGAGAATGCTTCAGTCCCTCCTCGCCTAGTGAGTCGTACGCAGTGACTATGGGGATCGACTGAGAAGCTGCAGCGTGCGACATTGCAAGCCAATGGGCACTAGAGAGGTCAGGCAAGCGATAGGTCTGAGGAAGCGAGAGGCGTACCTGGTGGCACCGTACAGGTGCATCTTGTTCTCTTTGGAAATTCCGAGATGCGCCAAACCCGAGCCGCAGTCGAGGGCGAGCTTCTCGTACTCGATGAAAGTCATATACTCGTAACCGCTGAGCTCGAAGTAGGTCCATTTCTTGTCCACCTCTTGCTCCCGACCATCGACGATCTTTTTGACCTTCTTGTTCTCGACGTGGGTCTTGATGATCCTTCTCGATCCAATGGCTTTGGCATTTCCGAACTTAGAAGCAGCCCGTCTGAGATTGTCAAATACGGTTTTGACGTCGTCTGAAGGCTGAACAATGAGTTGATCTTTGGCCAGAGGATGGCGCCGGGGGATGGTTTCGCCTTCTTTCTTCTCGTAACCAGAGGCTTCCACGGAAAAAGGGGGCTTCTTGGTCATTTGAGGTTGGACATAGCCGTCGACCCGCGGCCGGTTGTCATTTTCCAGCGACATATCGACGTCAGACATGGACGTTGTGATAGAGGATGGGGTGATGGAATGTGTGGTGTGGTGCCGAGTCTGAGGAACCGTGTCCTAGCGCAATGGATACCAGGTCGGTGAGAGGGGGCTGCGTACGTGGTGTTTTGTCGCTCACACCGGACCGAGATGATGACAAACAGAGGAGCTCGCAGTAGAGGCGACAGGTAGGATGGGAGAAGGAAACACCAAGTATAATAAATGATGAAGGGAAATGAGGTGCAGCTGCCTGCGTTGCGACAAGGGATGTTTGTGGCGCGGCAAGGTCTTGAGCGTTGAGAATGGTATGGAATGATTGTGTGGTAGTCTTGTGAGCGTCAGAGCCCCAACCTCTCAACCTAACCACCACAAAAACTGCAGGCTGGCTGTTGGCTGTTGGCTGGTTCGCTGGGTGATAGGCGGCAGCCGGTTGACGAGCAACGAATAATCCGGGGTTGGGGGAGGACGATGAGCTACCTCGTTACGTCACTTGGCAGCCCAGTGCCCAGCGAGCAACTATTATCCACCAGTGCCACTGCCTATCTTGCTGTCGACCATCGCCTACCTGTGACTAACCCTAGACATGCCCTGGGCACCTAGGCGCCTAGCACCTAGCAACTGACCGCGCAAGCTCCAAGGCGCCGGCGCCAGCTGCACTTTCCCTTGCCTGTTACCTCGTACTGTACCCAGTAGGGCTGATGTGTTGCGATGCGAGAGGGAGGAAGACTCGCTTGGCCCAGCCCGTAGCCGTGGGCGGTGCGTGTCACCAGTGACTGCTGGATGATCAACGCCACGCTATAGCTCGGATCAACTAGTCGGCCCGTCCACCCCTCCACTTCCACACCGCGACTTTGAGTGACTCTCTACCTCATCCTTCAGGACTGAATCTTTTTCATCACCAGAAGCCATGCAACGTCCCTGGGGTGCTTGTACACACAAGTACGGTGTACCCAGTCCGCCATAAGCACGATATGCATGGTCCTCGGATCGCCTCCAAAAATTCCCCTTAGATCCATCTCACCTCCACGAGACTATTACTCTTCTTCTGCAATATCGGGTCAAGCAATCCATTATTATTCCTCAATCATGTCTCTTTCTGGTCGACGCTCACGGTGACGCTCTCCCACCCCTTCATGCTTATGTGAGCCTCCCCTACTTCCAGTTGGGAGAACAACCAAGCTCTGAGCCACACCTGGAACACCCCTTGCTGGACCTCCCTTTTCTGGAAAATAATAAGCAGCAATGACATCCCAGCCCCTTGCGGCCGCCTTGGGAAAACCGATTGAAGATGCTGGCGAAGGTATGTGACATCGTGACACTCCCACTGGGTATACCGTGTTCTGATCGAGAGCTCTAGAAACTTTCTTATTGTTCAGCCAAGACATCCCAAGCAACAATCTAGGCTTTGTCGACTCCAAAGCTGATTCTTTGGAGGTTGAAATCGCTGGCCATGAGTATATCCTGCGGCAATCTCCAGGCCTGCTCCACTCCAATAGAGGAGAAGGAACTACAGGGGCTGTGATCTGGAAGATTACTCCACTCCTGGCTGCCTGGTTGACCTCTCTGCCTCGAATACTGAGTGGCGTTCTACATAACAGGGCAGTCGTTGTCGAGCTTGGCTGCGGCGTCGCCGGCTTGACAGGCTTGGTCCTGTCGAGGTTGGTGCAATGCTATGTCCTCACAGATCAAGCCTACGTGATGAAATACTTGAAGGAGAACATAGCTGCCAACGCAACGACTCCGAGAGAAAAGAAGACTTTCAAAAAGAGAACCAATGAGAAAAAGTTCACCCCAGGGGAACGCCTCAAGGCCTTAGCCCTAGATTGGGAGGTGGACAGCGTTCAAAATCTGAAGTCAGCCATCCCCCCAGGAGCTCCGATTGACCTGTTAATAATCTGCGACTGTGTTTACAATGAGTATCTCATCTCTCCTCTGGTGCAGACTTGTGTGGATATCTGCCGTCTGGGGTCAACGGCAGCAGATGCGACAGTGGTTCTGGTGGCTCAACAGCTTCGCTCTGACACGGTATGCGAGTTATTTTTGGATGCATTAATGAAAGAATTCAACGTATGGCGCATCCCAGATAATGAGCTCTCGTCACAGCTACGGTCTGGCTCCGGATATGTGGTCCATCTGGCCATCCTGAGGGATCAGGTCAGGAAGGCAGAATAGAACATCGTTGAATCCTCCCGCGGTTAACCCCTTCAAATTCTCCGACATGTGCATCCTTGGCCCGCGTACAAATAATCTGCCCTGCAGACTTCGAATACGGAGAGCACGGGAAGACAGAGCCTTGAGCTCCATATTTTCAAGGCCAAACAGCAGGCGAGGCGAAGGACGGTGCCTTACCCAGTACTGACACTAGTGAGAAAGTGATCAGGCTGGCGGGGCTTGGCGGTGGCTTCCATTCGAGTCCTCCATGTTTTTGGGGCGATATTGATTCCAGTCTCCCTCGCCATCGACTGCCACCTGCACATGGCAAAATATTATCTCCTGCCGGGCCCTGTCTCGATATCCTCATGATATCTCTTTCGCTGTAAAGGTTTTGTGATTTTCTAGGCTGTTTTGTTGTATCTAAGCATTGGCCCTATCAAGGGCAACACGACTCGACGACCATGGACTTGAGAACCACCATCCAGTCGACTTTGTCAGCCGACGCAACCATCCGTTCTCAAGCTGAGACAGCCCTGAAGCAGGCTGAACAGCATCCTGGATTCATTGGAGCTCTTCTCGACATCCTGCAGTCAGAACAGGACCCTGCCGTCCGCCTCTCCGTTGCCGTCTACCTCAAAAATCGAATATCACGGGGATGGGCCACCGAACACACTCCCCACCAACCAATTTCTGAGCCCGAACGAAAACCCTTCAAAGACCGCTTACTGCCTGCGTTATCCTCGTCTCCTCCTCTGATTCGAGCCCAGCTCATTCCGATCCTCCAGACTGTCCTTCAGTACGATTTTCCTTCAAAATGGCCCGAGTTGATGGATATCACGCTTCAGCTGATGAACACTCAAGATGCCAATCAGGTCTACGCAGGGCTGCAATGTCTGCTGGCTGTTTGCCGTACATACCGTTTCCGCGCCGGGGAAGAGAGGCTAAATCTGGACAAAGTCGTCAACGTGGCCTTTCCCACATTGTTGAACATTGGCAACAAGTTGGTGAACGAGACGAGTCTGGAAGCCGGTGAAATGCTGAGGATATGCGTCAAATGTTACAAACATGCTGTCTACTATGGCCTGCCTGTCCCGCTGCGGTCGCACCAAGCGACTGTGGATTGGTGCACCCTCTTTTTGACCGTCATCTCCAAGAAGCCCCCCGAGAGTGCCATGCCCGAAGATGCTGATGAACGGGAACGCAACCATTGGTGGAAAGCACGCAAATGGTCCTACGCAAACCTCAACAGGCTCTTTATGAGGTACGGGAACCCGTCGGTGCTGTCTCCGGCCCAGGAGAAGGACTATGGTGGATTCGCGAAGAACTTTATCACAAATTTTGCGCCGGAAATTCTCAAGGGCTATCTGGGTGAAATTGAGAAATGGGTTGGGGGCAACTACTGGCTGAGCAAGCCTTCTTTGTCACACACGTTGATCTTTCTGGAAGACTGTGTGAGACCCATATCGATGTGGGCCAAGCTCAAGCCGCACATGGACAGCCTCATCAAACATTTGGTCTACCCCGTCATGTGTCTTTCAGACGAGGATTTGGAATTGTTCACAGACAACCCGGCCGATTACTTGCACCGGAAACTCAACTATTACGAGGAAGTCTCCGCACCAGATATGGCCGCGACCAATTTCTTGATTGCCTTGACAAAGTCGCGGAAACAACAGACTTACGTCATCTTATCGTACGTGAACGAAATCGTATCCCGTTACGAGACTGCACCGGACGACCAAAAGAATCCTCGAGAGAAAGATGGAGCCCTCAGAATGATTGGCTCGCTGGCATCAGTCATACTGGGCAAGAAGAGCCCGATTGCAGATCAGGTTGAATACTTCTTCGTTCGACATGTGTTCCCCGAGTTCAGATCCCCACATGGTTTTCTACGAGCCAGAGCCTGTGAGACCATGGAGAAGTTTGAACAGCTGGATTTCAAAGACCAAAACAATCTCATGATCATCTACCAGAACTTAATGGAGTCCATGGCTGATCCAGAACTGCCCGTCAGGGTGGAAGCTGCATTGGCACTGCAACCCCTGATTAGGCATGATGCTATCCGCTTAACCATGCAATCAAATATTCCGCAAATCATGCATCAACTGCTGCAATTGATGAACGAGGTCGATGTCGACTCACTCTCAAATGTCATGGAGGACTTCGTTGAAGTTTTCGCTGAACAGCTCACACCCTTTGCGGTGGCTTTGAGCACAAATCTCAGGGACACTTATCTTCGAATCGTCCGCGAGATTTTGGAACGGAACGAAGCCAGGGCGGCCGAAACTGGCGATGCACACGAGTATCTGGACGATAAGTCGATCGCGGCATTAGGGGTGCTGCAAACAATTGGCACTCTTATTCTTACTCTCGAAGCTACACCTGACGTTCTGCTTCTTCTCGAAACCATCCTCATGCCGGTCATTACCATCACCCTGGAGAACAAGCTTTATGATATCTACAACGAAGTTTTCGAAATCATTGATTCGTGTACTTACGCCTTGAAATCGATATCCCCGACAATGTGGCAAGCCTTTGAGCTGATGCACAAAACGTTCAAAGATGGTGCCGAGCTATACTTAGAAGACATGCTGCCTGCTCTCGACAACTTCGTCACTTATGGTCAGCAAAGATTAATCGAACACCCGCCGTACCTGGCCGCTATAGCTGGCATGGTGCGAGACATCTTCTCCGACCCTAAGGTGGGAGGTGTGGACCGTATCTGCGGATGCAAGCTTGCTGAGGCCTTGATGTTGAATCTTCGAGGTGGCCCGATTGACAGCTACATACCAACTTTTGTAACCTTGCCAATGGAGGTCTTGACCAGCGCACAAGCAAAGACAGTAATTCGGAGCTACAAACTTCATCTGGTGGAGATGGTTATTAACTGTCTCTATTACAACCCCATTCTAGCGCTCCAGGTCCTCGAATCGCATGGTTGGACGAACAAATTTTTTTCCATCTGGTTCGGCATGATTGACAATTTCCGCCGCGTCCACGACAAGAAGCTCTGTCTTGCTGCCATTTGCGCTCTCCTAACCATCCGTGCTGACCAAGTTCCTCATTCAGTTCAAACAGGCTGGCCACGCCTCCTAACCGGAGCGACTTATCTCTTCCGAACTCTTCCCGCTGCGATCAAGCAACGGGAGGAAGCCGTCAAAGCCTCTGACGGGGTTTCTGATACCATCTCAGACTACGGGTCTGACGACGATGCCGAAGATTGGGCGGACGAACCCGCCACCGAGGGACAAGAATGGCCCAATGTTAGTGCCGCCTCCTTGCCAGACACCAAAGGCGACATCAAAGACGAGTCACAAGCCTATTTGGATTTCCTCAGCGAGGAGGCCAAGAAATTTGGCGCCCTGGCCGATGATGATAGCGATAGTGTCCTCGACGACGACAGCCCCCTCGAAAGTCCGCTTGACAAGTTTGATCCCTATTCAGCATTCAAAGACTCGTTGGACAAGCTTCAGGCAGAACAGCCCCAGCTGTATCAGAATCTGACGGCAATCTTGGAGCAAGGAGACCGTGATGTCTTGCAGAGCGTTGTCAACCATGCCGCTGCGATGCAGGCTGCGCAAGTTCAACAAGGTCAAGTGCAGGGATAGAATCGCTGGAATTGCGATGCCGAGAATGACGAGAGACTCCTCCATTTGAAGTTGAGAATTCTAAAAAGCGAGCGATGGCGGATGTTGTATAAGCTGCGTTAACGGGGCTCCGGCTTAGGGCGCTACTGAGAAAGAGGTGATATCAAATCGGTTTTACTTGAGCGTGAAGAGCAAGCGTTGTTTTTCTATTGCGGGGGGGGGTCAACGTTAAGTGACGGCTATCGCGGTGCCAATGCCCTGGTGCTGATCTTCGGAGACGATAGACGCTTGCAGATCTGTTGGTTGAATTAATGCTCCCCTGCGCTTTGGGGGCTGAAGGACGACGGAGATTTGAAGATTGTTAGCAACATGACTGTTCCAAACCTCTGTTCAGTGGGCGGTTGCATGGAGCGCTGGCTGTGGCTATCAAGGAGAGCGCCAGCGAAAAAAAAAAGCCGGCCAGTGTTTCGAGGTGCCGCAGCCCAAAGGCGATTCACTATGTTCTTATTCCCCTTTGCACAGCCAGCGGATCGAACATAAGCCTCGTTCGCCGAAAACTTGCCCGTCCTACTCCCTTTCTCGGGCTTCCAGGTATATACTAGGGGAGAAGTAATATGTGGAAGCAGACCAGGACATCGGGCAGACAGAGCTTACAAGAGTCCAAGAGATAGAAGAAATAAGTTACCATCGCTCTTACCTAGCCGTCTAGTTCTACTCGCGTTAGATATCGTCGACACTCTCGGCCTGGTGGCCTGTTGGTTTGCTCTCATGTCTCCTCTGTCTGTATCCCGCTAAGATGAGTCTGTCGGATACCTCATGTATACTCACAGTCTAGGTTCCTCGGCGTGCTAATAAGGCGAAAAGAGCCAACGTCGTACTCCACAGCCTGGACAATAAATAATGAAAGGTTCGGTATCTCTAATCAAGGAAGCACAACCTCGTCATCTTCCTTGTGTGAAGACGGAATCAAGGCTGAGAAAGGGTGGAACAACCAGGCTCAACAGAACAAGCAAGCATACCTTGTCGAGAGGGAGGAGCATCGCTGCCACCGGGTTTGGCCAAGCCAGCACGAACGAGCGTTCAGAGAGAAGAATAGAGTGGACGCAGCAAGAGTCACTCCTACAACTCGGAGTTTTTCAAAGTAATTCACATTGTCCACCCGCGTTTGAACAAGTTAAAGCCATCCTTAATACCTGCTGAATGATGCCAATGTCCAGCTTCGAATTCTCCCTGTCCTCAAATAGCCATGTGCAAACAGATCGTACTGGGGGCGTCCTCAAAACGTATGTGGCGGGTTGTGTCGCAGGGTTGTCGTGCTCGGTCCTGACCTGTTCGATGCCATACTGGATATTTTCCACAGCTTTTGTCTGTCCATTTTTGCCCTTGTCCTGTTCCATACCTTTGTTCCACGCTCCTGCTCCTTCGCTATGCTGGCAATAGCCTCTAGACAACACCAACATACACATGTGCACGCACAAGCCCCAACACAACACATTCCCATCGATGCCATACAGTTTTGCTCGCTCTTGTACCAAGTAGTTTTCGTTTTTTTTTTTCTCTAGACCTCCATGCTCCCTGGTTCCTGCCACCTATTCCTGCGTTTTCAATCGCAATTTGGTGCTCTCTCCGCAACTTCTTCAATCCCCAACCCATGGTCCCGAGCAAAAACACAAGCAAAGTTCTCTAGGTCGTCCCTCATATGCAAAGATTGTGTCCCATTGCCGGCGCTTTCGACCAAGTTCAAACCCTCCAGCAGCCCAGCCTCCAGCACCGCCCGCCAATATCCACGATACAAAGCTAGTAAACAGATGTGCATTTGAATCTGCCAAGAATCAAGTACATGAAAGTCGGGAAAAAAAGAAGTAGACAACCTTGCTCAACATGAAAGATGTCGTCGAAGTCGTTAATCGGTCAATGAGTGAACTTTAGTGGCGTTGAGTGGCGACTTGGAGGGCAGAGTTCGGTGGATTAGGGGGGGTAATTAAGCAGGGCTTTTCGCGCTCTGAGGACCACCATTGCGACGAGGGCCTTGGTTTTCATCAGGCGTCACCATGCTGAGGCTGTCTATGCCAGCGGAGAGGAAGGCAAAAGGATCTCCACCCGGTCCGTTGCCGTAAAAGCCATTCTGAGCAAGGTTGCTGGGAGCATTCGTATCAGTCGCACCACTGAAAGCAGCTTGAGCCGCAGGGCCGAAGGAGGAATGAGACATGTTGCTGGATGCGTAGCCGGGAGTCATGCTGCCCATCTGTGGGAAGGGAGCACTTGGTGGGCCCCCCATACCAGAAGGCATGCCAAATTGACTGGGTGGTTGGGCAAAGGCTGCACCAGAGCCGAAAGCAGCAGCACCAGCGCCGTATGGGGCGGGTCCTGGAGTACTGGCTAGTGAACCGGGTCCCATACCATACTCGGAAGGCGGTGCCATTGGAGAAGGATAGGCCGAATCGACGACAACTGCAGCTCCAGAGCGAGGGGCACCACAGCGCAGACAGTTGACATTCTTGGCAAAGTTGTGGTATGAGCAGCCTTCTGCACCGCATCGCCAATCACCAGCTCTGAAAGGAACAATACCAGCTCCGCCGCGGCCGTGATGTCCCACGCCATGTCCATGATGTCCCATGTGAGGATGATGACCCATCATGTGAGGCGGTCCATAACCGGCGTAGGAATTGTAATATGGATCAACACTGGTAGCTCCTCCGGCAGGGAACGAGCATCTGAAGCAGGCGGTACGGCGTTGGAAGTTCGAGAAGCCACATGAAGGACAGTTCCAGTCGCCTGGTCGTGGTCGATTTTTGCTTGGAGGGAATGGAGTCAGGATTTCGGCGGCACGGTCGAGGACTCGGCTTGAAGAAGGCGAGACCTCGATGGCCTTTTCGTTGAGAGCGCGTCCGTTCATACAGAGACTTTCAGCGGCCTATAGAGAGAGAGAGAGAGGGAAAATATGGGTTAATACAGGATCTAGAGTATGGGGGCCGATGGTGAATTTGAGGGCATGGGAAAAGCTTGATATCAGTGCGGCGGAGGTGAAACTAGGAAATGAAAGTGAGACATACCTCTTCATGTGAAGAGAACACGGCGAAACCTGAACCTGTCGGCTTATGCTGATCTGGAGTACGAAGAGTCCAGAAGGCGATTGGCCTCCCTCCAAATTGAGTAAACCAGCTTTCGAGTTCTGACTGGGTTGTGTCGTGCGGCAGACCGTTCATATGCAGAACCTTGCTGCGTTCCTTCAAGAAGGCATTCACGTCGGCCCTGGCGTCCATGGGGCGAGTCAAAACATCGGGATGCTCATGGACGGGCTGAGACTTCCGAACGAGGCCCCGGAGAACCCTGGCAAGAGTGACTGCCTCTTCCATGGCGCGGCGAGGAGAGGCAGGCGCCAACGCCTGCAGATGGAAGGGCAGATTGTGCTTGATTGGCGCCGACGATTGCACAGGCTCCACTTCAAGAGCAGCACAGATGTTTGCTAGAGAACTGGGGCCAAATGGCAGGGACTCTGGATGGTGCTGCTGCCATCGGGCATACTCTGAACGCAAGTCGAAGGTTCGGGAGTGTTGCAGGTAAGCCGGTAGGACGACTGCCTTATCGCGGGCTTCTCGAGGCAACTGGACCCGCAAGTCCCAGGAATCCAGTGTGACAAAGGAAAACTCCAGGTTCTTGGATATAAGGTGCTCCTGAGCAAAATGGTCAAAGCGAGTGACTGCATCCCGGAAAGAGCCGGCGTTGCGAACATGCTCCCAAGTCAAGGTGGTGAGGCTGGCTGTGATTTCAAGGATCAGTTCATGCAAATCTCCGTCCTCCCGACACAAGAGAGAACTCACTGCAGAGAGGTGTGATAGGCGTATTGACGGGCTTGACTAGGACGCTCTCCCGATAGATCTGGAACATCTGTCAACAGGTCCGGTCTTTGTTTCATCGCCTTTCATCTTCTTTCTCCTCCTCCGTAGCAGGAACCGCCAAGAAACGTACCTCGTCACACGTCTTACTGTCGAGCAAGATCCAGCCCAGTTCAATCACTTCAGCGGAATCTTTTGTCACATAAACACCATGTTCATCGCAAGTGGTCGCAACGTGGATCACCACGTAGCGGTCAAGCTTGGGCACTGGTGGAGCAGCGGTCGCCATGATGGATAAACGGTACGGGGAAATCGGTACAACGGGAGCCAGGCAAACGTTGACGGGGGAGAAACGCTGTGAGGACAGGACAAGAGGGCAAATTATCGAGCAAGTCGAGATTTCGGACTGTGCTTTGATCTTGTCAGCCAGAGGTTGAGACAAGTGGGCAGTGTCGGGGGAAGGTACCAGAGAAGAGCTCACAAACGTCGAGTCAGAAAAAAATAGCAGACACCCGACCCAACTCCAGCAGCTCGGGGGAAGGTAAGTGTAGGACAAGCGGCGACGATGAAATTCGATACAGGCCAACCTTCTCGCAGCTTTCCCCCTGAAGACGACAGGATACGGAGGAAAAGAGAGGCAATTCGACAAAAGATCAGAAAGGGACGGGAGTGGTGCCGATGGGATGGCTGCGAAGGTGAGTTGGGGGAGAAAGATGAGAGTCCCAAGTGGAAACCGACTGAGATGGAGTTCAGTTCGGGTGCAAGCAGCAACCAGAGCAGACAAGTCTGTCGAGGCAAAATCGGGGGGAGCTAAACCACAAACTCACGTTCAACTCGGCTTTTTCGCTGCCACTGAGTGGGCTTACTCTATCCCACTGCGCTGCGCTGCCCACTCCCACGCAATCCAAACCGCTAAACCCAGGTTGAAGAAACAACGCTTGCAGACCACTGACCGGATTCCTGGGTTTTGGTGGTGGCTGGCTTGGAACCGATTCTCTCTTGTCCCCTTGCTGCCCGTTTCAACCGTTGAAAATACAAAGTCCACGGTACCACGTCCTCCGATCGCTGCCTACCTATAGATACTTAGCCAACCCGTTACCCAACCCGTTACCTAACCCCGTGGCCCGCCCGCCCGTCGTTGGGGCTGTTGCTGTCACCCCGATTTCTCGAATCTCAGCTGCATGGAAGTGCGACTCTTTGCACACTTGGTCTCCATCTCTCCGGGATACCGTGGCCATGGGTTCGCCATGTCGTCCTACGCGTAGTTTGATTGACGACCGCACAGGGAGGGGGAAAAAAAACTAATCTGAGTGCAATCTGAGTGCAACCAGCAGTCCCCCCTCGCTCGCTTCTGCTCTACTAATACTTTCTCTTCCAGCAAGCGACGTCTTTTTACAATACCCTCCTCATGGATGTCTGCAGCATCTGGCAGCCTCCTTCGTGTGCAGCCAACCGCGGCCACACTCGCACAAACAAACATAAACCCAGGACGTCAGAAAAAAATTAATAATTGTCTCCCACCTGCATGGTCAGTGTGGCTTGTTTCAGGACGCTGGGGCCTGGGCTTCCGGCAAACGGCCTGGGTAACTAATGCTGGGCAGTGGAGCTGCGAAGCACGGTTGAAGTAAGGCTCCCACTGTCAATTCCGTGAGCTAGAAGCTCCCATGCGTGCCAGGGGAGAGGCTACGAGAGAGGCTACTAAATCGTGGGCTTGCTACCACATCCACCAAATTCCGGAAACGTGGGATTCGCAGCGAGCTCTCTGTGCGAAAAAGCTTATTGCAAAGAGATACACCACTGAACCAAGCCAGAACCTCGCACTTTGGTGCTTCGGGACCCCATCCATCATCAGCGCGGGGTCCACACGCAACTCTGCACTGTTTGCAGGCTGATGCGTTGGTCTTCAGGTCTTCCCATGAGCCCCGAGCATTGGCGTGCGGTGGTGCTGCCAGTGGCGCCCCCGAGGGACCCAAATGTACCACCGCAACAAGGTCTGTTGTGTTGACTGTCTTGCTGCCTTGCACAGATTGACAACCGGGGTCCTGTCCATCACATCACGTCTGCCAATGCACGCCCAGTGCGCATATCCTAGCCCACCGCCCGCAGTCTTCAACCCTGGTAGAGCCTCTTGGTAAGTACTGGGTACCACTCCTGCTAGCTTGGGATGTCAAGTGACTTTCAATTCCAGAATGGAAAGGCGCCTATTCCCGAGTTCCGGTGCACGAGCAGATGGGTTTTGACAAGGCCCCAGGGGCTAATGCAACAGGGGTTCATAGCTGGGGGTTCCATGGCAAGACATCCTCTGCAGAACAAGTGACACCGTCTGACGCGGGAAATACACTGTGCACCTGAAGAGGAGTGCTGGAGACGATGAAGGGGACATTACTCGGTATGCAAAAGATGAGGACAGAGGACACCACTGCTTCTACAGTAAATGCACATTTACAGCTAATCCCCATTCCCAACATGATAGCTAACGAGTTGCAGTTTGCTCCCAAGGAACACGTCATTGTCAGAGTCGGGGACACCATTGTGCTATTTTTGCAGAAATGGGCTTGGTGCTTGATGGGAAGGGCCGTCTGGAATGGGCTTGCTGCAGGCAGGTGCTGAAGCGGCACGCCTGTGCCTGTGTCCGTACTCCAAGCTGCCCACGCTTTCCCTTCCCCTTCCCCTTCCAATCGGCTAACAAGTGGCTGTTTAGCTCGCTCTCTTCTCCCAGCCGAAGCCCAACCAAGCCACATTTGGCTTTATCACGGGCTACAGCACCTGCACGCAGCCCTTTCATCACGAGCCGATCCAATGGTGCCATATCGAGACTGCTTTACCTCATAGGGAATTTCTCCCTGCAAAGACACAACCACAAGGCAATGCTCCAGATCTTCGGATCCGAGGTTATCAGAAAGCAAAGCATAGATGCCCAACGTCAATTCTTATGGCAGGCGTTCAACGTGCACTGTTGGAATCCTGTCCAGATATTGATCGGCCTGTCCTACGGCTGATCCTGATGCCCAATCCGAACACCCATCCCCGGTTGTGTCGCTGCCAAACTCACCATAAACAAACGGTTATATCAGCGGTGGAAGGCTGGAACTCACTCTTTTGCTCAATTCTTGCTCAAAATCAACCACGATCAACCGCTGATCGCAGACTACTCTGGAACATTGAACTAGAGAACTGTCAGATCGAATGCGGCTTCATACCCATTGTAAGCTACGCCTCTCAGGTTCTAAGATGATCGTTCACAGGTTTGCGTGTTGCCCCCAGCGTCGGCGGCTTTGGCAAAAATCCTTTTGGCTTTGCCCTTCTCCATCTTGATCTGTGCCTGCCACAAAGACCAGGTCCACCGACTTGCATCTTTGCAGCCATGGTCGAGATGGGCATCGGTCCAAGTTCTGCCTTCGTCACCAGACATCTGAACCCTCAGAACCGGACCTTGAGCACCTTGTGGAACAGCATACCCAAGCACCTCAATCATTCCGGAAGAAAGCAGAACAATGGTGGAGTTCGAGGTTGGGTGGGCAACACAAGAGTTAATGGGCATGTCCAGCATCGAGGGACACCGGGCCCAATATTTCTCAGCGGTTTCAACACAAACTGCCTCAGGCGGCAAAATCTTGTAGTCATGCTGCTGATAGAAACATGGTGATTCCCTGTCGGAGACGGTAATGCGATCGAGTCACTTCACAGAACGAGCGCCCAACACTCCCGGGACGATTGCGCGGACGGGGAAACCGTGACGGGCTGGCAAAGGGAAGCCATTCATCTTCGTCCGAGGAGCAACAAGTCAGCGGACATGCCGCAGACGGGGGGGAAATGATACGGTGGGTACTCGATTCGTACCTTGACCGCCAGGATCACATCCATGGCTGGGTCCATAGCCCGATCGAAAGGGATGCTGCCTCCATACCACTCGTCGGCCTGAGTCTTGCCTCCGTAATTGGCAAAGTGGACGTGTTTCGGTCGTACGCTGTCACCCATGGCGCAGTGGTCCTGGGCTCCGGCCGCCAGCAGGATGTCACGAACTCGAGGACCCTCCCAGACACATGTCATCAGAGCAGCATCCTGCCAATCCACGCCCAAGACCTCCTTGATGCGTGTGCGCATGGTGTGTCGGCGGGTCCCAGCGCACTGCAGCGTGCAGGTCACCCTGGCTTGTGGGAAGTCATTCACGAGCTGGTCGACGGTGAGACTGAGAGGTCTGGAGACGAAGCCTTTCCCGTCGACTGTGACTCGGTGGTCTATTCCGATCTTGTGTTGAATCGGGCCGTGAATTCGGTCGTAATTGTCGCTTTTGGTGATGAAGCTGTTCTCTCCATTGAGAGCTATTCTTGATCAGGAAAAGGAATGCCCGCATACCTTGAAATGAGGTCAATCATATAACGCTCCCGATTGATGGGCTTCCCGACCGTGCCATTGTCGTACGGAGAAACCTTGGCCTATCGGGGGCGGTCAGGCATTGTGGTCATCGCTTGATAACGTGAAGCACACTCAACAAAATGCATGGATATCCTTACAATTGGCATAGCGAACAAGGACGGGACATTTGATGCTCCCCGAAAAGACAGCGCTCAAAGAAGATATCCGTGATTCTCGAGAACGACGGTGTGGCGTTTCCTTGCTGAGGGAGCGGTGGGAGGTTAGGAGGACGAGGGTGGTGTTCCCACCGCCATCTGTCAGTTGCATAGATACATACCAAGTATACTGACGCTGGTGACGCTGTTCCCCGAAACTTCAACCATTTCTTGAGGAGAGAGGAGAATGGGCAGGAATGGGTCAATGTATAGCGAGTGCGGGGCAAAGCCTACCGATTCATGGTTGACGCTTCCCTTTAGTTGGTGATAAAGGATCCTCCTAGAGAGTCGAGGTTGTATACAACTGTATGGAGTCCTCCTGGTATCAAGTAGCAAGGCTGAGCATATTCAGGATCCTAATCCACAATATGGAGTATTACTGACTGGAGCTGAAGGACTGACAGGAGGTCGGATTCGGCCACTCAGAGACGACGCCGAAACGGCGAGGACGGGTCCATTAAGCACGCAATTTACGGTGGACCATAACACCTCATCTGCTCGACGACGGAGATGGGGCCTCACCGTATTACCTTCTGCCAGCGGTCTAGATCAAGAACAGAGAAGCACTATCTCTAGATTCAATAGAATTTTCATTATGTGTGAAAGCCGCCTTTTAAACCTAATACTGCGATGGTGTTCGGAAAGAAACATATCCGTTTCCTATGCTCCCCTCTACACGGGATGGCTGCCAAGCTGCCAAGCCAGTCTCGCTGCAATAGTTGAGACTCGGGGAACCTACCAAGTGAAGAAGCTCCGTACTCCGATTCTGCCAAATCCCCCAAAACATTGGATCGACTCTCTGACCAGCAACTGATGCCAGTCCCTCACCACTGGTAGAGTCAGCTATTACTCCCACCTTTCAGCATGACCTTGTGGAAGTGTGTTCTCTCGTAACTTCCTTGATAATTCAGCGGTAGCGTGTGGCTGACCCTGTCTGCAGTTCCTACAAGGCTCTTTCGCCGAAGACGCGCGCCGTCATCGGTGTTGCGCTCATGCTCAACGCATCCGCAATGCTGTTATTTTCGGACCAGATCGAAGCTTCCCTGGGATTAGCTCCGCCCCCTGGCGACCAACCGAAGGTCTTTAAGGTATACAGCGTGGAGCGGGAGACAAAGGGGTGAATTTCACCAGGATCATCGAAAAGAGGGGGGAAGGTACGGGGACTGCTGCCAATAAGCCCCCCATTCGACTGCAGACACGACGTCTAGAACCAAAACCTGCAACAGACTTGGCTGGTATGTTACATACGGTATATGTCCCTGGGACAGCCGGATCTGTTCCGTGCGCCTCTTGGGTCACGTCACAAATTCAGCGTTATTCGAGACCAAGGGATTCCTGATGCGCCGACGGTATTCGACGTGTTCGAACCGTCGACCGAGTTAAAGAAGAGAGAGGGCGTCAATCGATATTCTACCGGCGGAAGGACTGATAGTCATTTGACCGTTGGGGTGGAACGAGAGGATTGCAGGGGAGGGCAGCATCAGGGTCGAAAAGAACGCTCCCCTAGAGCTCGCCGGGTTGCTCAATACATAGCTTGCCCGACTGGGAAGCATGAGCCCCATTCGAAGAATGAATACACTTTCATGAGGTATCGGCGGAGCAGAACAGAGCTGAGAAAGCAATGAAAGATATTCTCTCGATTCGAAACTACACGAAGACTACAATGTCCTCGAACGCTGCACCCCTGGGTTCCAATGTGACTGGCGGGAGGTGGTACAGAGAGAAACTGTGGTGACCGTAGGGAGCTCGGTATGGAGCTGTTGCACAGCTGTGTGGAATACACCAGGGACTTAGCGTCCGCCTCACCCAAAATATTCCCTCGGCGCCAGAATCCTCGAGATAAATCTCGACGCCGGTCTTTCGAAACGATTAATACAATGTATTTGATCATCCCTGTGAGAACTATTTGCTCGTCATCCGTCGGCGTTTCATTTGCCCGAAGTCGCCGAGCAAAAATGGGCCCCCCGTCTGTACTGGCAACACCAAGCCTCCTTTTCCTATGTATCTTGTGACAACGAAATCGGTCCAGAGAGCCCTCCAGCCGACTCGGTGTATGGTCGATCTTGATACTGTGTTTTTTTCCTATAGGGGAGACTGGGTATCTAGTACCCCTTTTTCTTTCTTCCTTTATTTTGGTTTGAATTTAAATTTGAATTCATAAGCTCGGGGTTTGTACTTGGCGGCCTGTTCTGATTGTTCGACGGGGCGGGACGTCCAGGGTGGGAAGAAGACGAAGAGGAAGAGTAAGAGGAAAAATCCTTGAGGTGTATATACATTGATATCAGGGTCGAATCTGTCCGGTCTTTGCCCAGATGGCGAGAAGCAGACCGACGCCCGCAACCTTGTACCAGCTCAAACACACATGGAGACCGCGCTCCGGCCACGGGCCAGCTGGTGTGTTCCTGGCCCGGACGTTTGCGTCTTCAGAACCGCTCCGCCTGCGCACCACGGAGCTCGACGGACCCAAGTTGAGCGGCTTGAAGGTCAACTCAGCTCGGCTGTGGGACACGATCCACGCGACGGCACAATGGACGTCGTCAGCGAGACCGAAAACAAACGATATCAGAACCGCGGGCCTCTCGCGCCTGGCTCTCGGCGACGAGGACAAAGCCGCGCGCGACTGGTTCATCTCCACCACTCAATCCCTAGGATGCAAGACCCACGTGGATCAGATGGGCAACATCTTCGCCATCAGACCGGGCCTGTCGTCATCGTCGTCGTCTCCTCCGTCCGCGGGCAGGGTTAAAGCTCCAGCGACGTTTGCGGGCAGTCACCTGGACAGCCAGCCCAGCGGCGGGCGCTTCGACGGCGTCTTGGGGGTCGCCGCGGGGATCGAGATGTTGCGGGTCCTCGAGGAGAACTCGATAGAGACCGAGGGCGACGTGGGCGTCGTGAACTGGACCAACGAAGAAGGCGCCAGGTTCCCAGTCAGCATGATGGGGAGCTCCGTCTGGTCTGGGCGTGTCGGCCTGGAGAGGGCCTGGGGCGTGCGTAGCGTGAGTCCTGGCCTGCCCGAGGTCACGGTCAAAGACGAATTGGAGAGGATTGGATATCTGGGGGACGTGCCCTGCTACCATGACGGGAAGCCCGGCACCGTCGTAGGCGCGCATTTCGAACTCCACATCGAACAAGGCCCGAAGCTCGAACGCGCGAGGCAGAAGATCGGAATCGTCGAGGGCGTCCAGGCTTACAAATGGTTCACCGTCACGATAACGGGGAGGGAATCGCACGCCGGGACCACGGATTTCGACAATCGCGCCGACGCCCTCTATTTTGCTGCGACGTTTCTGCACAAGGTCCGCAGGATCGCCCAGAGTTTGAAAGGGTTGGCCACCGTGGGAATCATGAATGTCTCTCCCGGGAGCGTGAACACGGTCCCCGGACAGGTTGTGATGAGTTTGGACCTGAGAAATCCTCTCGACCGGGGCTTGAGGAGGATGGTCAAGAAGGTCGAGGAATTCATTCAGCTGGTGAACGAAGGCGACGACGACCACACGGACCCAGCAGATGACGAGAGAAAAGGCGGCGCCGGTGGCAAGAACAACAGAAGTACTTCTACAACAGGGCGGCCGGCAGAGAGGATTTCACGCTTGAAGGAGAACCCGCTCACGAAGATCCGCGTCGAGATGAGGGAAGACTTTTCCAGCGATGCCATCACTTTCAACCACGAGGCGATCAGGTGTATTGAAGAGAGTGCCCTGGCTGTCTTGGGAGGTGACGCGGGTAAGATCCAGAGAATGCTGAGCGGCGCAGGGCACGACAGTGTCTGTACGAACGTGCACTGTCCTACGGGCATGATCTTCGTGCCGTGCAAGGATGGCGTCTCGCATAACCCGAGCGAGTGGTGCGAGGAGGAGGATTGTGCCGTAGGGGCGAATGTGCTTCTGCACTCGGTGCTGAGGATGGATCGGTTGAGGAAGGAGAGGGGAGATTTTGACTGAGAAAGGGACAACAAGGGAGGAGGATGCAATGAAGGACTGGGCAGATCAAAGTGGCGATGAGGGAAGTAATGCTGCAGCAGAGATGCGGCGAACGGTTTAAGGGAACATTGCTGCCTCGCTGCATGCATGACACTTGTCATTGCTCTATTTGTTTGATTCCATGTGAGCTTGCAGAAGCCTCACATTCGCTGCTCACTTCGAGACATGCTCAACTCTGGACCTCTCTGCCTCGTGTTCAAGGCCATCACCAACGTACTCCTCTGGAAAGATGTCGTCGTCATGCAGAAAAATTCGTGCGCACAGAGCCGAGGTCCTGACGAAGCGGACATTGCAACTGTCTAGGAGGCCGGAGGAGCACCGCGACCGCGACCGAAGCCACCACGGAAAGTAGGCGCAAACTCGCCCGGCGCACCGCCCTCTTTGCCCTCACCGCGGTCCTCGCGACGACGATATCCACCCTCACGATCACCGCGTGGACCACCACGGCCGCCGCCACGGCGCTCACGGTCCTCACCACCCATCATGCCACGTGGAGGAGCGTGGCTGCGCTGCTGCTTGATGTGCGTGGCAGGGACAATCTCAGCGGGCAAGTGAAGCCATTCGCGCAGGTAGTCTAGACCCTCGGGAGTCAGGGTGTAGTAATAGTATTGCCAGGAGAACTGCGTCTTGAGATAGCCGCGCGAGGTGAGGGATTGGCAAGCCTTGATGACCTATAACAAATCACGTCACGTTAATTCCCCCGCTCTCACACTGCTTCTATGCGGGTTGCTTTCCAACGTACGAAGAGGTTCTTGGTGTCGATGTCGCCGTGCTTAGGGAGGTTGTAGTCCTTCTTGGCCACGAGCACACCTTCACGGAAGAGATACTCGTGGATCTTCTTGCGGTCGGCCTTGGGGATGAGCCTGCAGGAGCAACGCACACAGAAATTGTCAGTATTCTTTTTTCCTGTAGAGGAGCGCGCCGCAGCAGATCTCACATTTTTGCGAGGTCCCTGATTTGTATTCCTTCTGTAGATGGACTTCGGTGTAGACGAGAGGAGCAGGAAGAGATGTTGCTGCGAGTTCCTGGCGCTCTTCGGGGAATCGCACACAACAGGAGGTAGGTTGGAAAAAAAGGGTAGTGGTAGAGGTGGAAGGGTCGTACTAATGTGACTTTGATGTAGACGACCGAATGTGTGTCGCAGTCTACGCCAAGATTACAGTCTTGGCATTATCTACCTCGTACAGCAGATCATTGGGACGGTCTAGAAGGATTTCTGTTCACCCCATTGTCACTGGCAGGACCGTGGCATCTCTTCAGCAAACTGAGGCAGGAGTAAAACCGACTCTCAGAGTGTCAGCAGCGCACATCAACTACAGTGCATAATGGACAGGCTGGTTCCATAAGAGGAAAGTGGCGGGTAGTACTTGTCCAAACGTGACTTCGAAATCTTCAAAGAGCTCGAAACGGTCTCGAAGATGGTGATTCCAGCGTATTCTAGGAACCCCATATGAAAGGCTCCTTAAGTATTAAGAGGCAGCCGATGTAAGATTTAATATCAGCAAAGATTTGGGGATCTTGTGTTGTTGCTAGCTCGCTAAGTATCCGTTGATGTACCCGCCCGCACCCATCAATACCAGGGCCTGTGCACATGCGTGGAAGTGCACCAATAATCCGCCGTAGCCGCAAGCGGCCCTTGGCAAAAAATTCTTGGCACGCGACCCGGCGCACGCTCTCGATTTTGCGATTTTTGGATTCGTGGGATTGAACGACCCTTTGCACTGAGACGACAATCCACATCCCATCTCAACGAGTTCTCGAACGACGTACTCTTAATTGCTCACTGAGGGATTGCTGATTTGATCAGGTCAGTGTTCGAAGTTCTGTCTTCATCCAGCGGGAGGAAATGTCTAGAGGAATCTAAATACAACATACCCCCACAGAGCTTTTGGTCACTTCCTACGATTGAAACCTGCTGTTGTGGACATACAGTTGATGTGAATACTGATAAGTCCTTCTCCTCTACAGTCCTCCTCGGTACCGCAATCATGGGTATCTCACGAGACAGCCGCCACAAGCGGTCTGCCACCGGTGCGAAGCGCGCATACTACCGCAAGAAGAGGTATAATATCTCCCCGTTCTACAGGGAACAAAAAAAGATGGGAATGATTGGAATCTGACATTTTGCCTTTGTTTTCTCCCTATATAGAGCATTCGAAAAGGGCCGCCAACCCGCCAACACCCGTATCGGCGCCAAACGCATCCACCTTGTCCGCACCCGCGGCGGCAACACGAAGTACCGTGCCCTGCGCTTGGAAAGCGGCAACTTCTCCTGGGGCAGCGAGGGCATCGCCCGCAAAGTCCGCGTCATTGTCGTGGCCTACCACCCTTCCAACAACGAACTCGTCCGCACAAACACCCTTACCAAGTCCGCCGTCGTGCAGATCGACGCGGCCCCCTTCAGGACCTGGTACGAAGCCCACTACGGCACCAACATCGGGCGGAAACGACAGCAGCAGACCAAGGCCGCGGGCGCCGGAGCTGCGGCTGCCGAGGGCGGTGCTGGGGAGACCAAAGTCAGCAGAAGTGTGCAGGCGAAGAGGGAGGAGCGGCTGAAGAAGAGCGGCAAGATCGAGCCCGCGTTGGAGAGACAATTCGAGGCTGGTCGACTTTACGCCGTGGTCAGCTCTCGGCCCGGCCAGAGCGGTAGGGTGGACGGCTACATCCTGGAGGGTGACGAGTTGGCATTCTACCAGAGAGCTATCCGGAAGTGATGAAAGGAGACAACACCCTACCTACTGGCGAAATCGTGGACGAGATATGGTTTATTGGTTGGTTGCTGGTGGGCATCTCTACTGCCAGGGATGCTTCTTCGTGGAGGGGGCTTTGTCTGGGGAGAGGGGAAATGGCAATGAAAACAAGATGACGAGTCCCAAGTCTCGTTCGTCGTGGACAAGCAAGCAATCGACAGGGCGCGATTGTCTGATGATTAGTACGAAGATGGTGGGTTCTGTCGTCGGCCCTGAGCTTAGATCCCTTTTTTGTACTCTCCTCTACTCTGCTTCTGGCCCTATCAAAGTCCTTGATATCACTACGAAGGCCTTGCTTGCTTCCAGGCAGGGCGTCTTGCCGAGAAAGAGAGAGAGAACAAAAGAATGCAAAGAAAAGTGAGGAATCAGCGGCTAGAATTCAATTTCAATCATATTGAAAGGTCCTTCAGGGGAGTCTGTTCAACGAACTCTGTGTCGTTTAAGCCTTCCATGTATCATTCATCGTGAAGGTGGACATTCGGTTTCTCATTCTTCTTTCGCCGACAATATCCACCTCGACAAGAGGGTCATTCTCATTGTCTAGTCCGATCCAAGAGAGCCATCCAAAAAGGAAAGTCTTTCCAGGTTTGGGCCGCCAACAAGGCCTGTCTCATAAGATCGTGGTCCGTTCTTCTCACAGCTCTTTCAGTTGTGGTACATTGCGATGTATGCAATCCGTTCTTGCCGACCCAATGACTCCACTGGGCCAATATTATTCAACTTGAGGGTCTCCGGTCCGTAGGGGGGTAGCAATCTTTGAGAACAGCTATTGTTCGAAGAAGCGCACCTCAGGATGTGGCTGAGAGACATCGCTACAACGCCGCAGTGGCATGGCAACTTAAAGTCGACCTTTCAGTGCTATTCATAGGTCAAGTCTTGAAAATTACACTATGATCAGTGAGTTCATTAGCGATGGCCGGCAGCGAGATTGACAGGGATCACACTCACCGACGGGCTCTTCAGTTTCTGGTTCGCCATTGAAAGAGAAAAACTCCTCACAAATCTCCTTAGCATATTGACAGACAGAGGCTTCAACTTGCGGATGGTAGGGTATCATACCCGCCATACCCATCTGCCGGCTGAAAGTGACTGCGTTGGCTGCGTAGGCAGCTCGGATTCTTGCCTGGCGTTCGGCTTTACGGCGGGCAGCTCTCTCACGAAGTTCCTCAAGTTTGGCTTCGTGGATCTCAATGGCAGTGAGAAGTTTGCCATGGGTATGGTAAAATTCCTTGGAGACTTTGAAATTGAAGAGGTTGTCCGTTGCAGTGGTGCTCGCCTCCTGAAGTCGGTTCTTTTCGAGATTGAGCAAGGCGTCAAAGGTAGCCCGGTCGATGTCGGTGTAGTTTGCAACTTTGGAGACAGCCCCTGGGATGACCTTCACAAAATGGGCCAAGAGCTTCTTATCATCACGGGAGATGAAGAGGGCATGGGTGAGCTTGATGTAGAGCTCGAAGCCGATCAATTCAGCAGTTGTCATCAACCAGCGACCTTGAACTTTCAGGAGGTGTTTGTAGAATGCCAAAAGCTTTTTGCCGCCAGGAGAGCTGAGCAAGAAGGAGCGAATGGCAGTCAGAGCAGGCCGAAGGTTTTCGTACTGGACTTTTGGACCGGGTTCTTTGCTCAGAAGGTATTCGACAAGTCTTGGGGTTGCGAGAATGTCGTTAACCGGAAGGGGCACTTTGTTATCAAGGAAGTGTTTCAAGGCCTTCTTGTTGTCTTCGTAGAGGAGGGTGAAATAGGGGTCAAGAGTAACTGACTTTGGTGGCGCAGTTCTCAATGGAAGGGTCAAGGTAGTGGTCGAGGACATGTTCGGGAACTTGTAAGGCAACATGTTTGCTGGTAGAGAAGGATGTGATATTGTACAGTTACTCTGAAGCTGATGGTCTCTTGCGATGATGGTGGTCGATGCTGATTTGGCGGTGGAGAAAATGGACGACGGTGAGATCACACTGAGTGAAATATTTATACAACTGAGACTCCTGGGAATTGGGAGGCTGGGAGGCCGGCCGGGCACAGTGCATTGCATCCATGGGTGCGGCAGAGATGAGTGAGTGATATGGATGTCACTTTCACCCACAGAGTGTGCGCTTGTACGTCCTTGACCCAACAGCCTCATCGACTGATATACCACAGCATCTTCTTGACACTGAAGGCTTTCCAAAGAAAGTCCAAGATGATATTTTAGGTGCCCAGTGACCACACAGGCCGATCGTCATCTCGTGGCTTAGTGGCTTGTAATTTCATCAGGGTTTTCTAGATGAAGGTTCCTCGAATGAGGATGTGTTACCGACCAAGTCGTTCTATACCTTCTAAGCCGCATAACTGGGACTGGAGCTTCGATTGCCCGAAGGAGACAACGAATGGCTGCCAGATCTCCTTGGTTATGGGCTGGTCGAACAACAGCTGCGACGAGCATGGGACCCATGGTTGAGGAGACCAATGAGGACTGTACCTGCAGGTCATGAAAAGAAAGGTACACCGTTCACCTCCCTAGGCAGGTGGTCTTGGAATCATTGAAAGCAGAGAGTACGGAATGGTGACTTGCTCTCTCACGGGATCATCAATCTGGAAACAGCAAACACACACTGGTGAAGTTGTCGTGGGGCTGAATAAGCATTCCGAAGCTGATGCCATTCCATTGACCGTTGCAACACGTTTCTCATTTTTTCAGCTTCGTTGAGGTTGGATGGAGTTTGGTACACATATCCCACCACCGCCAGGGTTGAGGTCTCGCCCCGGTGTAGCAGCGAGCGGAATCAAATCTGCTACCAACGGCAGCACTGAGGCATGAGAGAGAGAGAGAGAGAGAGAGAGAGAGAGAGAGAGAGAGTGTGTGTGTGTGTGTGTGTGTGTGTGTGTGTGTGTGTGTGTGTGTGTGTGTGTGTGTGTGTGTGTGTGT